ATGCACCGCTGTTGTTGTAATGGGCATCCAAAGACTTGCAGAGGTAGTTTGCTTTGGGAACTTAAATTATCTATATTAAGGTGGCAAGTTGGGCTGGTTGTTTGCACATTCTTGAAGTTAAAACGTCTAAAGACAGACAGAAGAAAATAGATGCGGACAGTTTTAATCTATTTTATTGTCCCCGTCTGTAGGCTTTCTAACTTCAAGAATATCTATATTCCATTGTGACCAAGCAGCTTCTGCCACCAGAGCGGCTTGTGGCACTTCTAATCTGGGTTGTTGAAAGCGGAAGTGGAACCATAAGAATGCGACAGTTGACCCTAGTATTCTTTGTTCCCGCTGGAGCCACGGTGTGTTGCAGCTTTAGCTGCCAGAGTTATGGCACGCTTTCTCTTGTGCCACCTTTTGCCACAATTGGTCAGTTGCATTGCCATGAAGACTGTGCAAGCTGGCTTTTCATAACAACCGACGTCGCCAAAGATTACCGAGTGGGCTCAAGCTGGATTTGGGCATCGTCGGCTATTCCGGCTTTCTGAAGCAGGACCTGAACTTACCTCTGAACGTCCTCTTGGTCCAGCATCAACAGTTTGATTTCTTTTTCACATCAATGCACCCCGTTTCAAGCTTAAAATCAACATGCTTGAATGAACGGAGCAATGAAACTCCGTTGTCATGGTGATTTCCAGAACCAAAATGGAGATTACCATCCCCGTTTGTGCTGTCTTATGTCTGGCTTTCTGCAAAGTGGCGTTACTACGACAGCTAAGGTTCTAGTTCCTGCTAGAGCCACTGAATGTACCCAAAATGGCAAAACTGCCAAGCTTCGGTTCAGAAGCGCGTTGCAAGGCTGAGATCAATGGCCACAATATGGCAGCCTCCACAATCAGAACAAAGCACTTTGATTCAGAACCATATTGTGGTGCTAATATGGCAGCCTCCACGATCAGAACCAACGTTACTAGAACCAGTCAGTTGGGAAACTGCCATAGAGACTACTCTGAAAAAGTGGCCCCAATCTGTCCACCAGAACAGAGCTAATGGTGAAAACAATGCTGCCATTTATCCCGCAGCGGCCACTCGAGGAACTGCACGTCACTTCTATTTTGGCTTTAACCGGCCATTTTGGTGCCGAAACAGATACAGCGGAAGAGGTTACAGGGGTGCCACGGACGCGCCGCGAATTTCTACCGAAGTTAAAATGCACCCGAGTCGGGACGCGCTACCTGAAAGGACCGCTGAGGCATGGTTGTATAAAAACAATATTAATTGTTCTGCAAAAGCTTGCAAACTAAAGATTATAAAAACACCACGTGCCCTTCATTTTGTACTAAACTCCAAAAAATTTTATACAAAAAGACTCTTTTCCATTTGTTTTTACGCAAAAATATGCTTCTTAAAAGCTCAAGGTGACCACAGTACAGACAAATGATAAAGAGTGGCGCTGTTGTCGTATTTAGCTCGGTCTCGGTGGACGCCAGCGGCCCAGGTTTCGACGGCGAGTATCCCAACTGAGTGTTCTAGTAACGTTGATCAGAACACACCGACTAGGCCTAACCAAGCCGAGCCCGACGGAGCTGATTCACAAGCGTTAAAATAAACAAGCATTCTCTGTTAGCTGCTCGATATGGAAAGCCCCTGCGAAAATCGGCAAGCTTCTTACTTTCTGACGAATAGAATTTCCCTACGGTGTAGAGCTTTGTGTACACGACACGTTTCACATAGGCCTATATCGTCGCCATCGATATCTGCCAATCAGGAAGCTTGATTAGCTCAATACTTAAAGCAGACGCTATAGAATGCGGTACTCTGGGTACGTTCAGTAGTTCTAGTTCCTGCTGATACCTTGTGATTAGTGCAAAAGCCAAGACAAGGTCCTTTTTTTTTTTTTTTTTTTTTTTTTTTTTACAATTGCAGTACATTCAGCTTAGCCTTACTGCTTTTAACTCTAATGTTGACTGACACATCCTTCGCATGGAAAAACGAAGCCATTTATGTACTGCAGTGCTTTCGAGATGTCAGTTCCAATTCCCACTCCTTGATAGAAATATTGCCACTGCTGTATTGATGTTCAAACACCTAGTAACAGCATGGTCATTTGGTCCCCAAACTTTTTAAACAATTACCACTACCAAAATTGGTGTGCTTGCTGTCATGGATGGGACAGCAACAGCAGCGTGAAAAAAATTAAAAGATTGCCAGTGACTACGGATTGATCAAGCATCGCCCATGTGAGTATGTGTTCAAGCGCTGCGTAGCGAAATTTTTTGGTCACTTGGTACGCCCTTCCACTCCAGGTGAATAAGTTCGAGCTACTTGGCGAGTGCCCGCTTGGCTCGCGCAAGCGGCACGCAGACAAACCGCTCGCGATTTAGGAGCACAGAAATATGCTCGGGGCGTGCTTCACATTTTTAAGTGGAAGGGGCTATAAGCTCTGTGTACCTTAAGCGAGGAAGCACATATATCGAGCTCGGGCAAAGTGTATTACAGTTGTACAAAAACAAGGTCCTGGTAAATTTAACTCGAGCTACCAATATTTGTGTTAAAGGGCTGGGTTTCCAAATTGTCACTCGCAACACTTGAATGACCAGCAAACTTTGCGACATTAGTCAGTTCCATCAAAGACTATGCTTCTCCGCACACTATCCTCTTTAGAGCCATTGGACGGTTGACCGGTGCTTAGAGCACTGTCGGACCACTGTTGATCGCTCAATAGGAAACCAATTGGATGCCACTCCAGACACAGCTTTTCCTATTCGCAACTGGGGTGAAAGCTATGCCTCTTAGTGGCAGAGACATGAAAGAAAGAAACGGGGAACTTGCACCTATCCAAATGAGTGGTGATGTCTATAACCAGCTGAGCAAGTAGTTACATCTGTTCTTCAAACCCAACTTCTTACTTATTCCATTTTACTTGCCCAGTATTTATGGTGAGACGCCTCAAATAGAAAATAAAGATGACTCATTTGCCTTTCTCCAATTTCACTAACAAAGGGTCCTAGACCCTTTGGTGTTTAAAGGGGCGATGCAACGATGTTTGTATTTTGCGCAAATACCACTTAGGACGGATCCCTGACGTTAATGACCTGTGAAATACCCGTTCGTTTTTCACCACACGCAATCGAAGTCGCAGGAAAAAATTAAGAAAAACGAGCAGAGTTTAGTTCCCTCAACTCGCAGCCAGAACAAGCGGCCACGTGATCTGGAGCCGATTATACACCTTTCCAAAAAACACTCGACCCCAGGGGCAACAAACCGTTTTCGAGTCCAGTCACTGAGTTTGAGGCTAGACTCTCACCGGCGTCCCTCCTAACCGAGGGGACTGTGATTTCAATAGGCGCAGCCTGCGTAGGCGCAGTTTCAAACGCTGCTGGCAGCTAAATTCTTGTCTTTTCCCGCTATATTTTGTGTTTTATGGTACATGTATTTTCACAAGGACATTGAGAAAGCATTGTGCCAGATTAAAAAAAAAATGAAAAAGAAAATCTATTTTTGTTGGGTACGCATTCAACAGAACGAATGCGACTGGAATGTATAGTTCTAGTTTTTTTTTTTTTCTTCCGATAAGTTTTGACGGCGCCGTGGGATTCGCCGCATGTGAAACGACAAAGCGCTTTCCTGGCAAAAATAAATTGCAACAGAAGAGGGCCGAAAAACGTGCATTTTTCACGCTCACAAATAACGTGTTTGCCGATGGACAGGACACGGACATACGATTGAGGAAGTGTTAACATTCGAACAATATATCGTACGTACCACACGATGCAGCGTTATCCAAAATGAATTTATTTGAGAAAGATCTCAAATAACAGAGTCACAGTCGACGACAGTCACATCTTGACAATCGGACGGAATCCAAGATGACTTCATTTTGGGGCACGTTTTTGGGGAGAGCTTCCTTTTTTCACAACCGCACCAAGGCAAAGAAACAAGCGCAACTGACCTGTTTTCTCACCCCAATCCGGACAACTGTTTTTGGAGATGACTGAGGATTCTATGCGGATTATCTCTGGGAGGGGGGAGAACAGTGTTCGCAAAATCGCATTGAGGGTCGTTCGACGTCCTTCACCTCCTTCGTTTCCCGTGAATGTCGAGCAGAAAAGCTTGAATGGCAGGCACTTACCAGCCTTATTTCTCACAATGGAAGATAACACAAAAAGGGTACACAGCACGCATAAAAAAAAAAGTTAAGTGGAAACTTTCAAGAGGGGCGAGAAAACGTTGAATGCAAAACCGCAGGTAGAGAACCGCGCTGAGCGGGTCTTCACAGTCCCAGAGAGTGGCAGAAAATTTCTAGCTGATGGAGGGCGCGAGAGTCGTACCAGCTGCATCAGCATCAGCAACATGGCGGCGGCCTAGGAGCGTTTTTTTGGAAAGGTGTCGGTTATATGGCGCGAATGTTGATCTTAGCCTTGCGCTGGGGTTGGCAAGGCACAGGACACGCGCTGAGTTCTAGACATTGTTATGGTTCGGTTGTTGTCGTCATTGCAGCGATTGGACACAGGACACTACCCGAATGCTTCTCGAGCTATCGATTATCACGAGCCCAAATTGAGTGTCCACGCCATGCTCGGGTCCAATCTATAAGCCGCATTCAAATATCGTCACTGGGTGGTACTGCTACCGCCGAGCTACGCCATCAGGTTTTGCGAAGGAGAGATTGAATGAAAACGCTCGGTTTTGTCCTCGAAATTAAAACTCAACAAGGAAGTTTCTTGGTCAGTGGCGTTGAGTGCGAGTATCCTTGAGTGCCACTACTGCCAGTAAGCTTGTGTAATATGAAAAATATTCCAATTGAATATTGTTGCACCACCCCTTTAAAGCAACTTAAGCATTTGCCATAACTTCCTGCATCCTTGCAAATTACTTAACGTTGCCCAACTCAGTTTCCACCTCGACCATTCAAATGCACTCGCAGGTGGCGAGGGATAAGAACCATATACTTTGCATAATTGTTTATTTTTAGAAATGAATCGGATTCAACATAAAAATACAACAAAATGTTTTTTTTTTTAAATTTATTTATTTTTCCCACCACACACCCGACATAACTACTGTCACACACACACAATGTCCCACACTTAAATGTCAACAGCGATATTCTTCACTATATCTACACTGCACCATTTCCTTGCATTATCTGTCAATGAGCACATTTAGCATGCCCCAGTTCACACAATGCACATTCGTCCCCTCGCCTCATTTACAGAGATTTCCTATGCCACACACTGACCACTGCACTGCATCCATGATGTATTGGGGTGGCACTTGTAGACTTGCTTTGTTGTCCATAGCTGGTTTGGCACTTGAGCAACATTGAGTATCACTGCCTGTGAAAGGTTTTCTTTACCATAGCCTCCCAATGTTTCTTATGTTGCAATTCTTGCCACTGCACTTCATTCAGCCTTGACCTTGTTCTGTCCTGAATTCCTATGAGGGGTAGCTCTGGCTTCATTGAACTATGCTCCACACAGCTCGGAAGTCATCAGGGCCGCCTGTTGCCTCGCTGACATCTTCAATATCACCAATCTCGTAGTACCTGCACAAAACAAGCAAGTTCTGTACCAAAAGGAGACATAATTTCACAGTAATTGTTTTATTTTATCGCCACACTCGAACCACCTACTTTGTTTCTTCACCTCTAACCGCCTTGTGAAGTAAGGTTACAACGATGAGGATTGTTTCTTCTGTACATAGCTTAGGCGCAAGGCTGTAAAATTAAACAATTGCGGTCGAAAATACCCCCGAACAGCAGGCGTCAGATCTTTCCTCCAACCTGGTAAACCTGACTTTCCTTCCCTTCCCTTCTCCCTTCCCCCCCTTCACCAAGATCAAAATAAAAGGCCACTTGAATTTTGTCAGTAAGATACTTGTGTTGCAAATGGCAACTCGCAATGAAGAGCCATAGTGGGCAATCGCCTTACCAGTAGGATTCGCCATAGCCATGAACTAAAAACAGTATTTTTTTTTTTCATTTGATGTATTATTTATGTCTTTTCCAATATGTTTATCTCGCCACCCCTGCTCTAGTATATTGGGGTGGTTGCAGTTGGACTCTAAACCAAACCAAAAAACGGATTATTTTTTGGGAAAGTGAAGGTTCTTCAGAAAAAAGGAGTTGGAGATAAATTCTAGAGTATTTTTATCCCGTGAATCTTAATACCACATTTGTTTTCCCCAAAGATATTCTAGAGTATTTTTGTCCCGTGAATCTGAATATCATGCTTGTTTTCCCCAAAGATGTAACTAAACGCGAGAAAATGTGAAAAATCTTCAACCAGTCGTTAAGTCAAACCTAGGTCTTTTGGCTGCCAAGCATGTGTCGCTCGTGTGGTCAGCGCGTGGAATTGTAAGCTTGCCAGGGATACTCCCCTATACTTTTTTTTTTTTTTTAATACAGAATTGCTTTTTTTTTTTATGCTGTAGCAAGATATTCGTTGGGTAGTCTTCAGACACCATAATAAATTGTCTGGCAAAAAATATAAAAGGAAGTTGGGGGGTGTTGGTGTCCCTTTAAAGGGAAACTCCGGTCGATACTTTTTTAGTTTGGGATTACGACTGCTTTCAGTTAGAGTAATGTCTAAATTTCAAGATATAATTTAATTTTTTTTTTTTTCTATTTTTGCGTGGTGTAGTTTTATAAATATTATGGCTGTTTGGTTTCAGGCCTCTATGACAAAACCGGAACTATCTGCTAGAGGGATAGCAACACAGATCATCAGCCGCACGGCTGCGACGTGCCGTCACAAGAGTGCTGCGCCAGTTTCATTGACTAAAAGCTAACCCGCTTGCCGCTCGCTAAAGACCAGCTGGTCGCATCTTTAAAATCTGTTTTAGCGGAGTATGTGACCTCACATTGACGTAGTATTTCGGGTGTGATCATATTTCATGCCACTGAAGCGATACTAGTAATTTATTTAGGTTTTGTCTTCCACCAGAGTTGTCCTTTAAAGAACCAAAAAACTCTGTGTCCGATGTACTTGCGATGAGGTTTCCTGTGGCGAGCTTTTCTTCGTAGTAGTAGTAATAAGCAGTTGAAAACAAGTTGAAGCCTGGAATGTGGCCGGTGAGTTTTTTTCCACCATCTCTATTGCAGAATGCAGTGCGGAAATTTCACTAAACCATTTTACCTGTGATAGCATTTCTAAGTTTATCAAACCGACATATCATGTGTCCATCTGCAATTAAAACCAGTGATGACATTGCGATAACGTCCTTACAGGTCGTTACCAATAATTCACCTGGTGACCTCACATTTCGTGACTTTCTGAAATAGTCTATTACTTGTTTCAAATTTTCTGACTTCTCCAGGTTTCCCCTGATGATCTTGAAAGAATTCCATGACCATTACAAATAAAAATAATCCAGAAACTGCAATCAAATTATAAAGTAGACATTTTGCAACCTCAGACAATACTGAAACGACGAGACAATTAACACTGTACTTTTGGTTTTACGTGATAACACAAGGCTATCACTGTTTGTCATCATTATCTTCTCATCTCACAACAAAGCTTCTGTGGAAATGGGCTTCTTAAAAAAAGTACTATGTAGGAAACTCCAAAGCACCACCTCTGACAGTACACAGAACACTCCATATGTGACAGCAACACTGAAACCAGCACACATTTGGTTCAGGGTTGACCAAAAGATATTCCAGGTTTTCCAGTTTGGTAGACAACCGGAGTTTGAAAAAAATATTTGCACCGAAAATATTCGGTGCAAACGTTTAAAAGAATGCAAACAAGGCCTTGTCTTTCTTTTTTTTTCTTCTGCTTAACCTTTGCAGCACTGCATTGATGAAAGTGAATAAAAAAAATATCACCTAAAGGTGCAACGGTTTTAATGCTAAAAGAATTTCCAGTTTGCATTTTTTATATTGTTTATCCAAGCCCAAGTGACAAAAAAATGCCTCCCCTTTCCCCGTAAAACTGCTATTCTGCTGCATAATCGCAAGGCCATAAACAAATTATTTGCCGATCTGCAGCCGCCTGTGGCAGCTACGGGAACTTAAACGACGGCGTCTCAAGTCAACAAACCCTGTCCCTCTCCGCTGCTACACTCGCCGTCAGCCCCGTGGTGAACGGTCTTTTCTGTCCATCGCTTGCCGCGACCTTCGACGAGGCTAATCCTATAAAAGTAGACAATCACGGAGGAAGCGGCTGGGGTCTGAAGAGAGGGCCCAAGGGGAAACCGCGTGAACCCCCAGAGTACGTCACCCGAAAGTCGGCGTGGAGAGTTGAGAGGCACTTCGACCTTCGATTTGTTTCATTTTTTTTGTAAATCTGAACTAGCGCTCGCAAGAAAATGTGGTTTTCTGTTCTTCGTTTCATAGGTGACTCAGATTAATTGGCCAAAGTCTGAAAATCGTTGCACTGCCCCTTTAACTACTTGAAGGTGTTAACACAGGAAAACTAATGAAAGTATTATGTGTAAATATGATTCTCTTTATTTGCAGACAATAAAGCGCGGTCCCAACTGACATATTTTTGCATATGTGCACCTGAACAGGTATAGATTCCTGCTCCATTTTACATGTTCCGGGATGCATATTGAGAGCTCAAACATTCTAACCTTTCCGGGTGCTTGTATTGTGATGTAGGTACCCGTATTGAAGGAGTGGCCAATCAGGGGGTTGGCCGAATGCACGGCTGTTGCCCTCTAGCAGCAATTTTTCTGTGCTTTACCTACCCGGGTCACGAGTCTTGTTGCAAAATTTATGTTCATATCCGCTTTCATGTGCGAAATATCTGTCAGTTTGGACCGCGCTCAAAATAGAGCTGCTACTCTTCGACTCTTGACCACAAAATATTAACCCCTTAACTTCTTTGGACTAGCCTAGCTCGTCAACATGGAGCCGTCCCCAAACCGTTCAGGATAAGTATAGCTCTTCTGCTTTCCCCAGTTCACACACTGAACCCTTTTAGACAAACCAGTCTCGCTCATTGCTTAATTTGTGGCTCTGCCAACAAATGGCAGCACTGAATATTTTTAAATTTTGCTCTCATTTTGTTTCTGACTACAAACTTTATTTGAAGGCGACAAATCTATTGAGGTTGAGAAATTCACCAAAACTAAAACTGGTTAATAAAAAAGATTGATGAACTATCACTTTTTCTATTTAGGTTCAAAATGGTTACCCTACTCATGGAAGAAGAAAGAATAAAACAATTAAAACGGGGACAACACAACCACATCTTTGAAAGATGTGGTTGTGTTGTCCCTGTTTTAATTGTTTTCTTTCTTCATCCATGACTTAAACCAACACGCTCTTCTACCCAAGCTTATGGTTACCCTCATTTGCAGAAATTGCCACAAAACTTCCCATTGTTAAGAACAACTTATCAAAGACAAAAATCACAGTTGGTATTTCCCGGTTCCATCAACTTGAAGCAATGGCGGCCCGTGGCACCGCTTGACCTAAGCCAAACATGCCTTCATCCGCAATGCAACCTACTACAATGGACATCAGTCATCGTCGTTCTCCCTTGACACGGCAAGCCTTGCATTCTTTCTCTTCAGATGGTGTCTGAACTATGCCTGAACTCATCATGCGTTCATGCTGAAACTGAGGACTCACGTGATATGATGTGATTCTTCCTTTATGCAGCTGTTTGCTCTGCGACACTAACCAATAGAAGCGCAGCACAAGGTGTGCGCGCGATTGTCACATTATGTGCATGCGAGTTGGTGACACGCACGCAATATTGGTGCATACTAGGCACTACATAGAGAATTCAGCTGGGAAGTCCCTGTAAGATTATTGCTGTAAAATAGACATTGGAGGTATGTTTGCTTTCTATTTTATCGGGCTGCTCTTCATGATCTGAAAGAATGGCTAGGCCTTACGGGAAACAAGCGATCACTGCTATTTTTTATCGCTTTTGTAGTTCATAGATATGTTTTGTTTTTAATCGCTATCTCTAGTTAACACCAAAAGGACCTCCAAATTTTTGTGTACTGTGGTGCTGGGCTAAGCTGACATTATTTAAAGACTACGACGGATATTCTAGCCGACTGAAAACAGAAAGAATAAAACAAACTTGGGACGAAGGATGACAAATATATCTTTCAAATCAATTCCTCACTAAATTCCAGAATTCGTCACTAATCACATTCAGTACACTTATACTAACAATGTAAAATCAAGCACAGTAACGTCTTCCTTCCCCCCCTCTTTTTTTTAATATACATTAATGGTCTCCACCATGGCATCACTTCTGAAGCATGTTTGTTTGCCGAGGACTGTGTCGTCTATGGACCGATTCATTCACGCCATGATCAACTAATCTTGCAGAACAATCTCCAACTTATAATTCAGTGGTGTCATAAATGGCAAATATTTTTACCCTAAAAGTGCCATATTTTTTTTTTATTTTGAATTTTTCTTTCTCTAGTATTACACAAATAATTTGAAAAGTTTATTACAAAAAAATAAGCAGAGGCGAAAAAAAATATTTGCCAACTAATACGAGTGCTGCCATCTATGATCAGCACCGCGAAACTACACGGATGAGCCTTTTTCGTCCGTGGAATTGAGGGCTACCGAAAAAACCACTGGACGAGCTGAGCTCGTCCACGGCATTTTTAGCCCAAAAATAGCCGACGAGCTCAGTTCGTTCAAGGCACTTAAAGGAGCGGTGCAACGACATTCAATTGGAATGTTTTTCACTTTACACAAGCTTACTGGCACTAGTGGGACTCAAGGATACTCGCACACAACGCCAGTGGCCAAGAAACTCCTTTGTTGCGGTGTAATTTCAAGGACAAAATCGATCATTTTCATTCAATCTCTCCCTTGCAGAATTTGATGACGTAACGTGGGGATTGAAGTATACCCAAGTGACGATATTTGAATGCGGTTCATAGATTGGACCCGAGCATTGCGTGGGCACTCGATTTGGGCTCGTAATAATTACTAGCTCGAGAAGCATTCAGGTAGTGGCCCGTGTCCAATCGCTGCAATGACGACAGTGAGCCGAGCCATAACAATGTCTGGAACTCAGCGCGTGTCCTGTGCTTTGCCAACCCCAGCGCGTGGCTATGATCAACATTGGTGGCATATAATCGGCTCCAGATCGCGTGGCCGCTTGTTCTGGCTGCGAGTTGAGGGGGTAAACGCTGCTCGTTTTTCTTTAATTTTTTTTTATGACTTCTATTGCGTGGTATGAAAAACGAATGAGTGTTTCATAAGTCGTTAACGTCAGGGATCCGTTTTAAGGGGTATTTGCGTCAAGTACAAAAATTGTTGCATCGCCCCTTTAAGGGGTTAAACTAAAAAATGTAAATCGCTATCTTTTTCCCACAGTTCACATGTTCTATCCTCCTCTTACCGCCTTTCTAGCATCCCAGTAACTGCTTGTTCATCATATAAATATCTAGGAATTCATCCGACCTGTTGTGGACCACTCCCATAGCATCTGTCATCGCCGATGCTAACCGCACTCTCAGATTTCTTTGCCGTAACCTCAGACAAGCAACATCCCCAGTAAAACAATTAGCTTATACTACCTTGGTCAGAACTAAACTAAAATTCGCTTCTTCCATATGGTCACAGTGGCAGGCATACCTAACTAACAACCTGGAATCCATTCAAAGCAGAGCCCTCCGTTTTATTTATTCCGACTATTCCCCTTACGCAAGCATATCAGTATTTCGCCAATCAGCTAACCTTGACACTCTTTCTCACCGCCACAGGCTGTGTCGTCTTTCACTTTTTCATCGGATCTTTTATTACAACAGTCATCTCAGACAAAGTGTGCTATCGCCTCCTCACCGCATTTTTCTTCCCCTCAACGATTCTTGTAAACTCCTTCGGATTTCATTGTCAACAGTCACTCACCAAATGTCTACTTTGCCATTGACGACTGGAACTCACTGCCTGATGTCATTGTTTCCTTATCTTCCACTAAGAAATTTTCTGCAGCCATTAGCTTATTTCTTCTAACCTATAACTAGGTTGCAGTGTGTTTTTGTCGATAAATAGTTTTTTTGTTTTTTTTTTTAAGTGTTCACTCTTTTGTATAATAATGCCACCTGGGCCTTCAAGGAATAATAAATGATGATGATGATATCAAGAAATGTTTGTCGTCCTTTGTCCTGAGCTTGCTTTATTCTTTGTTTTCAGTCAATTTTACCAACACGTTCTTCAGTTAATGTGAATATTGTAGCCTTTGTTGGAATGGGAAACAAATATTTTCTGCACTCTTGCTAGTCTTAAAAGCCATGACTGCAATGATAAACCAAACACTTTCTTTCCTAGTAGACAGTGTTTGTGATTATTTGCACATTTAACAATGGGACGTTTGACATGAAACATTTCAAAGTTTTCCTTGATGCACATACAATGCTCTCGCTGTCCGCAGCCTTTCCTGCTAGATACTTGAGCCACCATGTGGAGCCACCATGTGGAGCCACCAGTTTGCTGCACACCACCCATAGGTCAAGTTATGTGGCTAACATATGGTCTTGACTATTATCTCACTTGGTGAGGAACAAATGGTGCAGTATGAAAGGGTTACTTACATTAGTATCCACATCTTCCAAGTTCCAGGCAAGTTCTTTTAGATATCACTGCACTGTTAGGGCTGTCTTCATAGTTGTGTGTGCCCCCACGTCTGGGCTGGTCTCCTGCTGCAGGTCATCTCGAGCAGGCCGCAGGCACAATGGCTTGCCGTGGCAGATTTTAAGGCTGGTTCAGATAGTTGCGTCCGACTGCATTACAATTGCTTAAAACGAGGCAATACATTGTGTTGGTATGGCAACTGAGAGGCCCACAATGCATTGCAGGAACAGTATCTAAAAAAATTGGCCTGCTTTGTATGTTTATAGAGCCTTGATGTTGGTACCCCTCAACGGATGACCGTTCGCTCAGCTGTAGATGAGAAATTTAGCCAGTGCAGTACAACCGCTAACCTGGGGTTTTTAACATACGTCACGGAGTAGTGATTACACGAACGCGTACCGGTACGAAGCAGGCGGTGACGGCGGGGATCGAACCCAGGAAGTTCGCAGCGCAAGCTTTTGCACCACGCTCCGAGCTGAGACACGTTAGCCCACTCGGCCACCGATTCCCCTCAAAGTATCTACATTTCTGCTTTGGCTTTTAACTCTCCCAAGTCAAAGCAAAGTTGTAAAGACTCCTTACACAGCCTTGAATATCATAGCAACAAAATGTATTATCTCAGTGTAAGCTGTTGTAAGCAACTGTAACGCAATGGGGTGCACTTGCGTGAACCAGTCTTCAATCCAAGAGGTCAGTGGTGTCTGTATCTCGGCTCAGGAAACAATAGAACAGTGATTAGCAAGGAAAGCTGTAGATTGCAAAACATTTGATTTGCACTTGAAAAAAAGTTAAATTTCAGCACAACTGCAATTCTGACACAAAGCAGAGAGTGCACAAAGAAATAACTGCAAGGTCACATGCACATGCAACACTTAATACAAGGACCTGTCTCTGTCATGTTATATGTAACATCTATATATGGAGCAAAATGTGTTATCAGTATTTAGTGGAAGCTGGATGTTAGAGAATGTCAGGCGATGCCCATCTTGCCTTCAGCGCGAGCATCCCTTGACATTTTCTAAAGGAAAGCTGCAAGTTCTTTTACAGTGATATGTAAAATAAAACAGAAAAGCCACAGTTTCAGGAAGAATATCTAATAAATAAATTTTATTGCACACTACCATAAAATATTAAGCATCAGCCCATTTTATACTAAGAGCCCAACCCCAAATTTTGCAACATCTGAAAAAATATGCACAGTAGTACATAGATAAAATTGATGACCTAACAAGCACACACTCCCCTCGAGAACAAAACATGAAATAACACACGAAAGATGTACACATTCCAACCTAAACAGCCTTTGAAACAAATTAAGAATACAACTAGAGACACTGTGATAACATGTTAAACTGCCAGCCTTTGGCTGTGAACAGTTGTTACTGATTCGTGCCAACATTTAGCAGAAGCGGGCTGCTGGAGAATATGAAGCGATGCCCATATTGCCTTCAGCGCGAGCATCCCTTGACATTCTCCAAAGCAGATAGACCAATAACAGGGGTGGTTTAGCCAGTTGTCACCCCAACATCGGGCCTACTGAGAGAGAGGGTTGAGACCTTGGGCCGGAGCCGTGCGGGAGGGAGTCCCAATTTTCCTCCGCCCTGCCTGTCCCTAGCTGTGCTAGTTAATTTTACTCTATTAAATTTTCCCTCAATAATTTCCACCAATCTTCTAACCTACAGACAAAACCAAAAACTCTTCCAAAAACCTTTTCGTTTGCAGATTCGTTTACTTTGGCCCAATTTTTCCCTTTGGGTGCAGCAAAGCGCAGGCAAGCGGGAATGTATCAAGTTGCCAGAAATGGCAAACTGGACCACCCCTGCAATAAGCTACCACATATACTGGCCCTTTTTGTGCAAGAGGAACGCTGTTCTTCTGGCACACAAAAATTGGACTAAAAAGCAAGGAATCCTGTCCCTTGTTTTTTTATTCCAATTGTCATGTCTACTGCTCTGCACAGTAGTCATGGTCCCTAAGGACTAAGGCAGCAGCATCCGCAAGAAGCCAAGTGGATGCTGCTACCCGTGAGGAAACTCTGTTGTCTACAAGGTCCTTCATGATGGACTGTTGCTCCAACCTGTTTGGACGCTTTACATGCATGGAACCAGAACCAGGGCGTCTCTTTTTGGTTGAAATGTACCGTGGTTGCTTTTCCATTTTTTTGTTGTGAGGAACCACTTTGGGTTTTAGACATGATGCATCGGGTGCAGAATCAACTAGTTCTTTGGCCTTTGCGAGGTACTCTACTACCATGGCCCGACTCGAAGCGCTTATCAATTTTTTCCTCGAGAGGGACTCGTTCAGTGCATTCAGGGCTAGACGTATTTCGTCCTCCGAATCTGGTTCAGATTTCTGCATGCTAATCTCAACACTGTGCCGAATGTTATCCAAGAGAGACTGGGGCTCATCGACCAATGTAGAGCCTGCTGCATTGCAAGAGGTTGATGGCACCATGTCTGGCTGAGTTTCGACTTCCTCTACAGTTGTCGCACGACGCTCCAGGTAAGCTACGGCGTGAATGTGCTTGCATATTGAAACTGAAATCAAGCTGTCATTGCAAGTGCACTGGTAACTGTCGATACATATGTCGCAGTCCTTGCAGCGAAGGATGCAGCCCTGACAGGGATCACCCTTTCTTTCGACATTGTAGTTAGTTCCAGCCTGGGACTGGGACTTCACAAGCCATCCACTGCCATTTTGTAGCTTTTCTACATCTGATGCGGGGATCTTCATCCCATCTTGGTGCCTTTGGAAAAGGGCTGTGGCATGCCGATTTGTTTTTCCTTTTATGAGCGACTTGAGACGCTTGTAGAGCCGGTCACGAGTTAGCTCCAAGAGTATCATTAGCAGCTTGTCAAGCCTCTGGTTGTGCGTTCCATGCATGTAGTTTGACTTGAGGTCCCTGTGCATTGCCTCCAGATGGTTGTTAGTGGTGAATGGAATGCCTTTTCTGAAACAGTGCGCCCACTGAGTCGCTCTTCCAGCATAATGACTCCTGAAGTACTTAAGAAAATCCTCACCTTCTTTACCCAGTTTCTGATCGCGAAAGCGTGGTAAAGCCTCTTGGAATTCAACCTCATCACTGCAATTTCTGAGAGTGAACAACTGGTCTTGAAGAGTTTTTCGAATTTCCTCATTAGTGACTTTCTGCAATTTTCCTTTCCAGCTGCGGTTCACATGCCAGGTGCAGAGCATCCGATTTTTGACAGGGCCCATCACGTGCTCCCATGCATTACCGTATGCGGGAGCGTCATCGGACATGAATGCCTCGCATTCAAGTTTGCCAATTTGTTCCTTTATGGCCTCAAAAAAGCGGATCATAGTCTCGGCATCAACTTTTTTGGAAATCAGATATGCACATGGCATTCCTGATTGGTCTTCTGCAACTGTCATGAGAGTCGTCAGCTGTAAATTGTGACCGTTTGTTCCATGAGTGGAGTCAATGCACAGGAACTTGGGACCAAGCTTAGCAAGAAGGTCTTTCTGAGGGGCAGTCATCAGGGCAAGCTCAAAGTCACAGGTGTCCTTTTGCGTCTGCTGTTGAAAGTACAGCACAGGGGAATCTAGTTGCCTGGTTAGTTCCTCCACCCACATCTCGACACTTACAAATTGATCTTTGTGTCGTCGCTCTTTGGTTTGAATTTCGTGCTGAACAGAAATGTTGCCAATGTCCTTCATTGTGAGCAAATGAAGCCTGCCCATCTCACTGCCACCAGAAGCACGTGCATCTACCAAGACCTTTCGGGCAGGGATGCCTTGCTTTAGTTTAGTAGCTAAAGCCTCCTTCTCTGTCTTTGAGAGTGGTTGGTGCTTCAGCTCCTTCAGGTGGCCGTAGTGCTCTGCCTGGTACTCTACTGCCACCTTGCCATCTTTCTCTGTTGCTTTAATTATAGCTAAGCACTTCACATTAGACTTACAACTGCCCTGTGTTTTTAGTTGCCGTTCACCTTTGCTCTCACTCTGAAATGACCCAGAACGGTGGCAGTAGTACTTCCGTCTCATTTCACCATTTTTGGAACGCTTGGCTCCGGTGCGAAGAACGAAGTGAACGTGTTCCTTGCTTTCCTCGGCTGCCATCCAGATGCTGAATTCTGGCAAGCAAAGAAAGAAGATTTGAAAATAAATGGTCATTGTTCATTCATGCCACTTCACATGCTGAATCTCAATGCACTAGAGCATGTGCTCTCCATCTCCAACTCGGTTCCCTGGAGTACCTTCAAAGGTTCACTGAGCTCAACACGCTCCTCAGTGGTACACGCGCCGTCCGAAAAGGGTGACCCAAATGGCAAAAGTTCTTCGCGTCGTGCGTATAGTCATTTCCGGTCAAAGTGCATGAGCTTGTGCGTATAGCTTAGCTCTTTCGAATAAGGGGGAAAAAGGGTTTAACCCGATTTTCAGCAACTCTTTTGGGACGCAAATATTAGAAGATTTTGGGTTTCACCCTAATATGAAGGAGGCTATATATTGGGGAGGAGGAGACGGTAACGCCCCAAGCGGTTAACTTTACAACTACATGGATGGAAACAACAAATACAATGACGCAGCGCTCGGCTGACATAACCGAACGCGGCGTCAGCATTCGGCTGGAGTTTGTGTTCTCCGGCGAGGGGGAGGAGGGGCTCTTTTGTTTCCTTTACGGCCTGCATGAACAATGCAGCATGCACGATCCCAGCTCAGCACAAAAGCGGAAGTGGGTCAAGCTCGCATTCTCTGAGGGGCAGATCCGGCACTTAACGTCGCTTCGTCGATTGTTAGATTAAACTGTGCCCGCGCTCTATTGTAGAAGATGACATGACCATACCCATAAGGCCTGTCGGCATGTGCACAGGCCTTGTGTTGAGTAAACACCGAGCGTGGGGAAAACAAACGGGTCAGAGCGCCCCCTATAGTTTGATCTCCTGCCCAATATATGAGCTAAAACGTTGTCATCTTATGAATTTTTTTTAATAACTTTTTTTGTTGACTAAGTTTACGGACTTTGTCTGTCTAAGAAACAAGTGACTGCCTTTGAATGACATCAATAGAGCCTTTTAAGCAGAGCAAAACCGCATTTGATCACAGACGTAGCATGGTAGGGTGTACACCTGCAGGTGGAAGAGGAATGAGCTTGTTGGCAGTGCAAAGCGTAATGCATTGATAACAACGTTCTGAGGGCACGGAGGTGCAGGGATGTTAGATCGACTTCTCACGAGCTATCAGGCAAAGCCATAAGCAGTGGTGCAACCTGTTTAGCAAAGAGCTCAACATGACTGTTGCCGTAAGCTTCACAAAGCAGTATAGGCTGCCACTACAAACTTAACACATAGAAGGGCTCCTCCATCGTGTGAAAAAAAAAGCCGACTAAGGCTAGAAATGAGGGAAGTTAATGGTCACTACAACATATCTACCACACAAAGTGTCAGCATTAACATTGTAAGAAATGACTGCACACACAAAAAAGAAATGCTTTGTAGCTTATGGATTCTAAACACTGTTTAGACCTGCAGATGGATGGGATGGATTAGGTGATGCAACACACATAAAAGGTGTAGAAAAAGAAAAGGTATTGAAATTTTCGAGCCAATACAGTTTCTGATTTGTATCAAATCATGTGGCGATGAATAGTTGCACGCGAAGTGCAAGGTTTCAATTAATTGGAGGACATATATAATGAAGCAAGCGCTCAAAACTACTCACCCTTAGATGAGTCGAACTGCAAAGTCGAACGCTTTGCAACAAACCCGTGCTGCTCTTCGAAGTGGCATAGCAAGTCCGCATGGAAAGGAAACGAGATCCGAACAGTGCACTTGTCGCATACGAATGGGCGACGGTCAGAGGGAAGCTCGGTGCACTTTCCCTTCGCGGCCGCGTCGTTGTGGATCGACACTAAGTGCCTCTTCAGATTCCATGCTTGCGTGAAGCGCTTGTCACAAAACGTGCATGTGTACTTATCGTTGTTGGACGCAGAAGAGGCAGCACCGCTTCCCCCAGGAACCGGCTGTTCAGCCATAGTAAAGCTAACAAAAACGCCACTTTCGAAACCTGTCTTACTACACTTAACGCGGTCAATAAAACGTCACACGAGTATCGCTTTAAAAAAAATTTCTTAAATTCTAAATTAAAAATTTGTAACCACCCGGCAATCCAAACCTCGTGGCTACAAAACACAAGAACGCACTAGGCTAGAAGACGAAATATTGATGCACGGCGGTGCTAGCTAAGATTATTCGCTAGCATTGACAGCTGAAGCTACGTGGCTACCACTGACGATCTAAATGCCGAACGGAAAACTACTGTGAGCCCTTGAACATCGCGCTGTGTTCGCCTCATTTTTTTCCCCGATACTAGCAGTTGGCAACCAGCGTTTTCCTCACACGATTCCCCATAGTAAATCTCCCTACGCGGCTACGCGGTACCTAGATTTCTGCAGCCAATCACAAAGATGATGGGGCTCTCCGATTAGGTGCACGCCGAGGAGCGGGAGCAGGCGACGAGGGTTCGTCTGCTGCGATGTGTCGCGGAACCGAACGGAACAAAAAGTAGATTTTCTGATAGAAATCGCGTCCCGCGGGCCACGAAATCAAACGCGAGCTTGAATTGTGAGCGTCTGCTATTTCCCGAATGAAGCAATTGACAACCCGTGATTTATTTGCAGGTTTTAAATCGCTCTGTTGCCGTACAAACGCTGAAATATACCAGTGTGTAAAGGAATGCTCAGAACAAACGTAACAGCGGCCCCCGAGATATCTATCACGATCCGTGTGCGGGTGAAAAATTTAACATTTGTCGACAAAACTCCCCAGCAGAAACCTCTGACTGCCCAATAAGCATCAAAGAAAGCTAAAGATGGTAACTTTCCCCGAGGATTGGGCAACATCATCATGTTTAACATTTAGCTATGTCAGCTAACTTACCCCGTCGTATTTTGTTCGAGAATGCTCTCGTTCTCGACGCCCTCACCAAGGCTAATATCTGATCCACCTATAATGACGATCCAAATCGAAAGTCCCAGTTTTGGTGGATATTCCAACAGGCTAGTTTTAAGCCGCACCCTTTCAGTGGTTCACGCATAATACCACGCTCAAACGGATCATGCTTGTGCTCGGACAGCATCATCAGTTTTCTTCAGTGTAAACGGTTATAGAATTGAAAGATCGCAACCAGCTGCTTTGTAGACAGCTGGTTGCGGAAATTTACGCCGTCTGTAATTATCTCTACGGCAGCTGAGCTGCTTGAAGTCATCGCAACTATAAACTACAGGTTGCAGCGACCAACGTTTGTAGACAGACGTTGGTAGCGACTGGCATTCTCGCATTCCCACGCATCACTCCGATCAGAAAGCCGCTAGTTTCGGTTTGAAGAAGGTACCTTTTGTACAACATAGATGGCGGCAGCATTAGTCTTCTGCACTCGGTGCATTTGGCGAGTTCGTTTGAGTCCAGTTTTCCGTGCAACCGTGCAACACTCTGAGAGTGCGATGCATTCTGGGAGAGAACTCGAACGGTGCCAGTGCGTGTGAAACGAACTCGCTATAATATAACTAGGGGTGTCGCGAACTTTTGTCGAACCAGAATTTTAGGTCGAACTTTAGGGGTTCGACTTGGTCGAAGGTTCGTCGACCTTTTTAACAAAATTCGACCGGTTCGACTTTGTGGACAGTGTGGCCAGACTTTGATACAAGCATGTCTAAGTTTGGAAAATTTTTTTTATAAAAAGGGTTATTTTATTTTATAAACAGTTGCGATTAAAAGAAACTAATTCTAATCACTGAAGAAGTTAATAACTTAATTGTTTGTACTGTATTAACTGAAATAACCAATCAGCGCTGCCTTTAATTCATCCCTTAGCTAATCACCATCCAATCCGAAGCCAACTGGCCAGCCTGTCGCGCATGCGCACACGAGTCGAACCTCAACACAAGGTTCGTCGATTTTCCACTAAAAGTTCGAAAAAGTCGAACCTGGTCGAACTCGAACCTCGGCCGGTTCGCGACACTCGTATTAAGGCACATTCACACTGAGCAAAAAACGCGCGTTGCGGTCGACGTCGACGCCGGCCACGCCGGCGTCGTAAAATACGAAGCAGTCACACAGGTTCACCCAAACGGCGGCGTCGTCTCGGGGAATCTCACTTTTGTCGAGAGAACACGGAATTTTTTATTCGTCTGCTTCGCACGATTGTTGTTGCCTTGCCTTCGCGATTGCATATGCGGTGGGAGACAACCATCTTCACTAAATGGACAACGGTGATGATTATATATACGTTTACACTCCGGTTATTTGCAGCATTGGCGAAAGGCACGGCCTCGAACGGGCAGCTTCAGGTGCTCTTTTGCCGCGTTTTTGTGCAAACAAAGCACGGTGCTACGCCGGCGCGTCCCAGAGCCTTCGCGTCCGTACCTTTAACACTGCACGCAGCCTGTGCGAGAGTGTTTTCGATGGAGGGCTGTTGTATTCCGTAGTGATGGGTGTACACAAAATTACACAACACATTGGGAGTGATCGCTCCCGCACAGTCGGAGGTCGGAACACACCGCGAACTTCGGTGGCAGCTTTCGCGGCAGCTTCGCGCAAACGATGAAGAGTAGCTTCACAGCATCGTACACGCACATAAAACACTGCTCACAGTCAGATGTTCCAATCGGCTTGCTTCTTTACACACTGAAATACTTCCAGCCCCGTTTGGCGAGCGCACGAATCCCCCGAGCTCTCTGCCTTTTCGCCTTCATTGTGAGTCGAAAATAAAAAAAAACAGCGAAAACATGTCCCAACCGGAAAAGGGAACACGTCACGTCCGGACGCTCGCTGACTGGCTCAAGCGCGCGCGTCGAGGGAGAAATGGGCGCGTTAAGTTAACGCGCTCGAGCGCGCTCCAGCGTGGCTCCAGCGGTCAGAGTGCACTCGAGCTAAACTAAACGACATCGTCTCACTTCCGGTGCACGGTGGCGGAGCGCGCTCCGCGAGCTCCGTCGTCGGAGATGGTGTGCGAGAGCTCGAACAGATTGGGCGCGTTAAGTTAGTGAGCTCCAGACTCCGGACATCTGCGCTCGAGCGCGCGGGTCCGGAGCGTAGCTTAACGGCGCACTTTAGTACCGAGGCGCCATCTGACGCCTATTTTTTTCACGTTTCCGGTTCCGGCTTTCTGGCGCGCGTAAACATGGCTCCCGTCTCGTCGAAACTGCACTATATCGAGACGTCGAAAAAGTGTTTCTTCGACGACGAGTCTATGAAATAAGTGCGCGGAGACGGCGGCAACAGCAAGAGCTTGTATTTGTGCTGCACGCTGTTGGTGCGGCTATTAAAGGTACGCCGAACGCCCCCTGAATTCCCAAAAGCCTTAAAGAATGACGGCTGAATGGCCGAATTCATTGGCTCGCCTGATCGGGAAATTGCGGTAAGGTACATGAAGAACTTCGACAAGCATTTGAAGGATGTATGCATACCTTTCAACACCAGCACCATGCTTTTTTTATTTTTGTATTTTCCACGATGACGGAACGATTGCACGAGCTGCCAAGCGTCCGAGGGAGTCCCTAAAGGCTTCGGCGCAAGCACGAACGACGCCGAGAGCTCCGAGCACTGCATGGTAGCGCAGTACGAGCAGCTCCTACCCACGACCGGGCCTACCTCGGTGCCGTTCCTGGCTAGGCCGGAGCCTTTCGGTCGCGGGGTGCGGTTGCGGTCGCGGTCGGCGAAGTTTGGCGAGGCGAGCACGGTGGCATCCTCGGAGCGTTCGGAAGCGAACTCGCTAGCCAGGGATTGCGCACACCCGACGCCTCTGGTCCAGAGTGGCCCGGCGGCCCGGCCCGGAGCCCAAAACGCTTGGGTTTTGATGTTTCTTCGTCTCGTGCAAGACCACCGCGTAAAACAACGGTGTAAAATGGTAAAACCACCTCGAGTAACCGCGAGACTGGCCGCGAGAGCGGAAACGTCGTCACTACACCGGAAACCAACCTGTCCGAGCTCTCGCGCACCATCTCCGACGACGGAGCTCGCGGAGCGCGCTCCGCCACCGTGCACCGGAAGTGAGACAATGTCGTTTAGTTTAGCTCGAGTGCACTCTGACCGCTGGAGCGCGCTCGAGCGCGTTAACTTAACGCGCCCATTGGTTTCCGGTGAGATGACGGCGTTTCCGCTCTCGCGGCCAGTCTCGCGGTTACTCGCGGTGGTTTTGCACGGTGGTCGTGGTGGTCGTGGCTTCACCGGTTTCACACGGTGGTGCGGTGGTCTCGCACGAGACGGAAGAATCATCAAAACCCAAGCGTTTTGGGCTCCTGATACTTCGGACCGGGCCGCCGGGCCACTCGTGACCAGAGGCGTCGGGTGTGCGCAATCCCTGGCGAGCGAGTTCGCTTCCGAACGCTCCGAGGATGCCACCGATGCCACCGCGCCCGCCTCGCCAAACTTCGCCGACCGCCACAGCACCAACCGAACCCCGCGGCCGAAAGGCTCCGGCCTAGCCAGGAACGGCACCGAGGTAGGCCGATCGTGGGTAGGAGCTGCTCGTTCTGCGCTACGATGCAGTGCTCGGAGCTCTCGGCGTCGCTCGTACTTGCGCCGAAGTCTTCAGGGACTCCGTCGGACGCGCAAGTCGCGCCTGTTTGGATGCGTGGATACTTCGACGGCGATCGCTTGGCAGCTCGTGTAGTCGTTCCGTCATCGTGGAAAATAAAAAAAAACATGGTGCTGGTGTAGAAAGGTATGCATACATCCTTCAAATGCTTGTCGAAGTTCTTCATGTACCTTACCGCAATTTCAGAATCAAGCGAGCCAATAAATTCGGCCATTCAGCCGTCATTCTTTAAGGCTTTTGGGAATTCAGAAGGCGTTCGGCGTACCTTTAATCGCCGCACCAACAGCGTGCAGCATAAATCATAAATACAAGCTCTCGCTGTTACCGCCGTCTCCGCGCACTTATTTCATCGAAGTCGTCGTCGTCGACCAAACACTTTTTCGATTTTTCGACGGGACGGGAACGATGTTCAAGAGCGCGCCGGAAAGCCGGAACCGGAAACGTTAAAAAAGCAGGCGTCAGATGGCGCCTCGGTACCAAAGTGCGCCTTTAAGCCGCATTCACACTGAGCAAAAAACGCGCGTTGCGGTCGACGTCGACGCCGGCGTCGTAAAATACGAAGCAGTCACACAGGGGCTATGTTCCAAATCTTACCCGAGTAACCTGCCTCCTACGTCAGCGGGTAATACCACGTGACATCGCGAGTAAACGATCCGCGACTCGATTTTGGAACGGCCAGGATAATCACCTGGATACTACGCGGATTGGCTTCGTCTTGGGCGACGGCAAAAAGAAAACACAGCAGCGATGGCAGAAAATAGCAGACGATCCTTTTGATCATGGAGAAAGCACCCGAAGAACGGTAATGTTAATGACGACGCGGTGTATTTTGAGGTGGATCCACCAGCTCCTTTTACTCACCTTCGTTTTGAGCTGTATATTCAGATCAAAATTACTTACTCCTTACAGCTAGACATTAAAAAATGTGTTTTTATTAATCAGCGCGATCGCTGCAATTCTAGTCACGGTGCCCTAAACGCATATATTCCACGCATTGTAATTTGCACCGATTATGTTTTGCAGAAATATATTCCACAAGGTGTAGCGGTACAGCGCGGGGGTGCTTTCTCCAGAATGATATGAAACTCACGTTCGCTTTGGCGCGAATGTGATTACAGTGAAATTTTCGAAGCCTTCACTGCTTTACAAACGTTATCCTCTCATTACACACACTCTAGAGGAAACAAAAATATTACATTATCATATACCGAGTTCAAACATTTTCGGCCTTGAACGTGAGATTACGGCATTCCCCCAACGCCGAGGACGAGGATGCGGAGAAGCTCCTGCTTACGCTCGCACTCAGATAATAACAAGTACACGTTCCCGGGGAAGGTGGACGGTCTGGATGTAATGCAGTCAATTCCTGCGTTGACAACAGCAAATCGCAATAACCACACATGCTGCAGCTAATTCTTTGTCATTTCGAACGTCCGTCACCAAAACCAGCGGAGCAAGCGAGCCTTGACGGCTATCGGCGCAGAAAGCAGACGACGAACAGATCACGTGACGTATTTACTCGATTTGATCCGACTTTACCCCCCGATCGAGGAGGGTAGCGCGAGTAATTACTCCGGAGTAAACAACCCGCTTCTGGAACGCGAGTTCTGACGTCATCGAGTAAGCTCGAGTAAGTTTTGGAACGCCACGGTATGAAACTTTTACTCCGGAGTCGGATCGAGTAAATTTTGGAACACAGCCAGGGCCACGTGACGGACGAGCGATTCGGAGGAGGAATAATGGAAGGTCACGTGACCCGACGTCACCGGAAGTGACGTCACAAATATAACGTCACGTGACAAAGAAATTTTGTTTTGCTTGTTTTTGTTTCTTTTGTTTTCTGTGACGTCACAGTTTTTAGCGAGGAAACTCTTTGTTATTTTTACTTTGTTGACGTATTATTTTTTTTTTTATTTTGTTTATTTTCTTGCTTTTTTGCAACCGCGGGACCGCGTTTCTGCGCTTCAGATTGCGTTTTTCCGACTCCTTTGTTTGATATCGTGTCGTATCGTCGTATTTATGTAGTTATTAGGAACGGCAAGGCCTACGTTGTTGCGTCCTTTACCTGAATATCGTGACCGAATCGAGTGTCGTCGATTTGAATCGTGTCTTGCGAACCATCGTCGAACAAAAGGTGAGTGATTTGCGTTTTCCTGTGATGTGATTTCGATGTGTTCGTTCCACGCGTCCGAGCTGCTTCTTCGTTTCAAATACATTTGGCGCCGCTGCCTATTGTTTGAGCCTGTGCTCACGATTAAAACACGCATCGCAGAAACCTGAAAGCCCGCCAAAAGAGCTCTAAAAACCGCATGCCTCCGACCCCAGACCTGCCGGCAGACTTCCGAGCTAAGCCTGATTAAACAAAAACGTTTGATCCGGCGGAATAATGTGTTTGATATTACATCCCATGTCAACAAGGAACTGCGCTGTCTGTCTTCGCCCCCAACAGGTTTTATTCTTCCGGGTTTTTCAAATCTTTACCAACCCGCGTCCGATCGTAATACCCCGATCACAACAAATAGTTGGTCGTGCTCCGATGGCTCCAAACATCAGCCGGCAAGGAAGTTACGTTTTTCGCTTCTATATTTTGACCCAAGTAAACTCATGTTCTCAAACTATGTCAGTCTGTCACCACCTCCAGTTGCACATTCTGGCGCACTTGCAGCCTCGTGCACCCTTGCGAGGTTTCCTGCTATCGTACCCTGGATATCATGGATTTCTCGCCGTACGCGAGTGCTCACGGAGGCGTGCTATACACTCTGTATCATAAGTTGTGTGCAGCAGAGGCGCAGGCCCGAGCACATGAAAATAAAAAGCGCCTTTTTTGCACGAGTACCCGCGCAAAAAGAACATTCTGCAGAGCTGCCCCCTCGCACCCGTGCCTTTGCTGCACACAACTTACGAGGCAGTATAATAACCGAGCCGTTTTTGTTTCTTTTGCACATTACTGTGAAAGAAGTGTCATTGCTGTTTTCTTCTCAAAGAAAACTCAGAGACGTTAGACAAAAGCAAACAGATAGGAGACTGCACATTCATGTTTTTCCCCCTTGTGCTACAGGTGATGGCTGGTCGCGGTTCATCAGCGTTTGTTTTGAAACTGATGGGTACCACAAGGCATGAAGGAGGTGACTTGCAGCAGCAAGACACTGCAAGCCTTCGCAGCAACTGGCTAGCCAGTGCTGCTCTGTTCTGAACTGCACTACGTGTCATGCGGAGGTTTTGTGCAAGCTCTCTGAGCGGCGACGCTAGCCACGGTAAGTGCATTCTATGCAGCTTCCTTTTAGGGATATATGTGGCTCGCAGGCCATGTCGTGCCAGCGAAATATGTGCCACCCGAGTGACAGCAGTGCTAGTGGCAAGGCTGCGCTGACAGTAATCAACACTGCACTGTGTTTTCATTCAATAACTAGTGACAAGGAACCAAATACTCCCGAGAGAGTCTCGGTTGTGCTTTGATGAACTCCAGCTCGCTTATGAACAGGTGGATGGCACAGATGGCTTTTCCTGGTGGACTTGGTGTCCGTGTTAACATTGCAACCAGACTTTCTTTCAGTTTGTGGCGTTTTTTCGTTGCGGGTGACCAGCATTGCAGTAGAAAAAGATGCAAAATAGTATAATGTTTGCATTCGTTACCTAAGTTAATGGCAAGAACAACTGACATACATTTCCACCGACTGCATTTCTCGGAGGAATAACCTGGACTAAAAAGCTTGCTACGCTATGTCGTTCCCTCTTAGCCTGTACAACTCTGCGTCTTCCCTCGATTGTCTTATGTGGCTGCTGCTGTGTCTGCCTAGGCACTCTGTTGAAATGGGGAAAGCTGTCTGCGTTGCACATAACCGCCATTAGAGCCAGCGTGGGCGTAGCTGGGGTAGCCCCCACTATGGCTTCTCCAGCTCGACACAAGTAACATTCCTACCGCTGTTGTGTTAGCAGAAAACAGACCTGCTTAAAACGTACAGTGCACATAGCACACAATGGAGAGGTTGCTCGCCAATCATTTTCTTGGAAGTGTGAGTTGAGCCCTTTCGAGGCAGTTTGCTTCCGCACCGTGCACTATAATCCGCCCGAGAAGAGAAAACAAGATGAATAACCAGTAGGATTTCTTTGTTCCAAGGCTTCTTGACGCAGAAAAAGACTAGGGAACCAGTATTGTTGCTTTTTTACTACCCCGTGCGAGACTCAAACCCGACATGCAAGGAAGTGGAAAGGCCTCTTCTTTTCTGCTTTCTTGTGCCTTGGGTTTTAGCTGTGTTCACAATTCACAGCTCGCCTGCATGCCTACTCTTTTGTTCACTGTGTTACTGAAGTTTTCTGTCGTTGCTGTCCCAGATTGGCTTCGTGGATGCACAGAAATACTCAAGGCGCTTGACGTCTGTGGCTCATCTGTATTGTTTTTCCCGGTACCACGGCATGAAGGAGCTGGCCTCCCTCCCTTCCATCAGCTGCGAGATACTACAAGCACTGGGCTACAGCTGCAGCTAGCCCATGGGTACCGTTCTGCGTCCTGTACTGCATCTAGTTCGAAAGGCCATGTGAAAGGCAGGTGTGGTCTTTATGGGCTCTGTCACTATGTGCATTTTCTGCAGCTTTTTCGGGGCAACTTCATATTAAGATTCAATACGGACTCGAGCGAGAGGGGGGCATTCTGAGAAAGCCAGCCTCTTTGTTAAACCATTGGGACTGGTATTATATCTACAGAGTTTATTTACACCTTTTGTTATGTACTTTTTTATTTATTTTTATTTTACTAGTTACTTATACTTCAATCTGACACGACAGCCACCAAAAATGGGGAAAGGACAAAAATGTTGACATATTGGCCTTTTTGTTTTCTGGCAGTTTGTTTGAAGAGCCAATGTTGGGGGCCGTCATTCGTGTTATTTTTCCCACACGCACGTCCAGCCTATGTTTACGTAAAGCCCCAATTGCCCCTTAGCAACAAAAATAATTTATGCGACAGACTAGGCGGCAGCATTGTGGACGAAAACAGGCCAGATTATATCTGCCATGTTTAAAAACTACATTCGGTGACAGGTTATGAATTCAGTGGCAAGAATGCACACCGCCTGCCAATCGCTGCTGTCAGTTGTCGTGACGTCACGTCCTGCTAAGAAACTAGTATATATTTTTTTTAAATGGCAGGTTTTGGTTGCTGATGCCTCGTAGCACGTCAGCACTCTAAGCAATTCTTCTGCTCTTGGCCTCTCCGGTTTTACTTTGCAAAGTCATGACGGCGTCTGCTTTTGTTTGCGGTATTTCCCGTGTGTCGACGTGAGAAGGCAGCGATTGTATCGCCAAGGAAGTAGCGATCAATCTGCGCATTTATTCCAGCGGCACAGCGTTTACAAACCGGACTTTGCCCTTCACCGAGGGGAAAGTCTACCGACCGGCCCTACAGTTGGCGAGCATTGTGCAGCCGTGAGCGCGTAACTTGTCCGAATGCTTTTGTCTGTATACAGTGACAAAATGACTCGCTGAAATGCGAAGTACCATACAGTACCATGCCGTACAGCAAACCATCGATCACTTGCTGCAGCAACTTTGCGTTTTAAGTCGTAATAATAAAGTGATTTTTAGGCTAAAATCATTTTTTCATACTGCTCAATTATTCCGAATTCTGCACGATCCCCATCGGGTCTGCAATATCGGTCGGTGGCTGTATAACCTTTAAACACAATGGTTACACACCACAGGTACCGGGGACCATGACATCAGTGAGCTGGCTTTCACCTTGTCCAAGGCAGCAGCGGAACACTACGGGCGGGACCCTGGATCACTGCACCATGGATGCCGTCCTGTACCCTGCACGGCACTGCGTGTGGCTTAAGTGGCCAAGCAGAGGGTCATTGCATGACTTTTATGAGGCGCCGCTAGCCATTGTAAGTATATTTTGGACACTCATGTCTGGTGATGTACTTTTGTGCTCTACCGCAGAGCACATTTGGTGGCAGTTCAGTCTTGCCAATTACACCATTTTGAAACGGAACACATTTAGTGGTGGCTCGGTTTAGGTTTCCTGGCTCGGTGATCTTGCAACAGTGTCTAGACTTGGCGTAAACCTTTTTGTACTTCATTGTCAAGGCTAGTGTAATTTCTGCAATGCCGTTGAAGCCACTTCTGCACGCAAACAAGATAAAAGTCGAAGCCACATGCTCGTGCACAGTGTATGACTACATGTATGCATGGGCACTCGTGCCCATGCGTACCCACTCGCAACACGGAGCATGTTTGTTTCGGCCGACTTTCCACGCGTTCATTTCGGCGTCGCCACTCCACACGTCTATGCACTCGCTGCACCTTGAGAATCAAGTGTGCACCAGAATGCACTCCCGTCATGCATCACTCGGGAGAGGAACAAGAGCAGACGACTGGGGTTTTTCCGCCATAAGGAACGAGAACCGAAAAAAAGGGGATTTTCTGCTAAGAAACTGCGTCCCACGGGCAGCAAAATCGGACGCGAGCTGGGCTATTTATTCTGTGAAGCAAGCAATCGACAACCTGTGCTTCATTTTCAATTTTTCTTTCAGTTTGTTGCCACACACTTTTTTATTTTATTTATTTATTTCTCAATACTGCCGGCCCAATATAGGGCCAAGGCAGGAGTGGGGTGATACAGTGTCATACCTGCAAATTATAAACACAACAGTTCTAAACAAAAAGCAATCTTAGCACTGAAAAATATCTACGACTTAATCGAAAGAAGAAAATCAATCAATATCAACAGTAATACAGTAACCAAATGTAAGGCTAGTAATAACAGTAGCAGTAAATGTAACAGCAGTAATAACTAATAAAATAAAGACAGTAAAAATAATGTCATAACAGCAATAAATGCAATCTTAGCACTGAAAAATAATATCTATGGCTCTTCCGAAAGAAGAAAGTGAATCAATATCGATAACATCACTGGGAAGGCTGTTCCAAAAATCAATTGTATGCACAAAAAAAGATTGTTTAAGATTGTTTATAGCTATTTATTCGAGCTTTAATAGGGGCTACGGTCTGTGAGTGATGCAAGCGGTCCGAGTAAAAACTTTGTTTTTAAGTAAATCACGCTATCAATTTTTATACTACTCTTGAAAATCTGAAAGAACAGCTTCAAACGTTGGCTCTCTCTTCTGTTTGACAGCGGGCTTATATTGGCTCTCCTTTTAAGTTCGGTCACACACATAGTTTGTCTGAAATCTGAAAAAAAAACTATACGCACTGCTAGCAATTGAATATCTTCGAGTTCTCTGACCAGAGAGCTCTGCCATGGGCTCCACACTCCAGACACGTATTCTAACACAGGTCTAATAATTGTCTTATAAGCAAGAATTTCAACGGAAGGGGGAGATTTACCCAGCGTTCCCCTCAGGTACCACAATTTGTTAGTTGCCCGCTTCTTAACATACTGTACATGCCTTTTCCACCCAAGGTCACAAGACAAAATCACTCCCAAATATTTGTAACTGTCTACTTCAGTCAATCCTATGCCAGCAACCTCATAGCTAAAATTTAAGATAGTTCTTTTTGTTGTAATATGCATGTACTGAGTTTTGCTAATATTAATATCTTCATGTTATTTTCATGACACCAAGACGCAATGTTAGCCAATGCGTCACTCACTTTTATCTGGTCTGTAAAGTTTATATTCATCTCGTCTCGTGACATGAAGTCGCTAGTCTTCGGGTCTGTGCTGACGTCGTTGTCGCCGATTGCCAGTCAAGGGTTTTAGTGATGTCGGGATCATAGACTTAGGGTTGAATAACTTGGCTTAATATACAGGTGTTATACACAAAAATTACGGCATAGTTAGAGTTCGCTAGTTCTCAAAACTCAATGGCCTCTGCCGTTTAACTCTCTAAGTGACACCCCTGCACTTTATCCACTTGATTTTTTTCCGCATCGCTCTTGATGGGCCTTTTATCTCAACTCCTGCTGCATCGCTCTCGATGTGTCTCCTCTCAAGTCTCTCAGTCAACTCCCCCTTCTCAACTCTCCCGCTCCCAACATAGCTACCCTCGTCTCTCTCTTTCACTCTCTCCCTCTAACATGCATTCTCGTCCCTGTGGTAGGGCTACACATATCCCGACAAGCAAAATAATAAATGAGTTCAGTTGGCGCTATCCAAAACAAAACGGCCCTCCGCCGCCGACTCTGTAAACATTCCAATCATAGACCCCTACAAACGCATTTACAAGTCCTTAATATACCTCTCATGTTTACAATAGCCGATTCCCCGTACAACCTCGAAAGGTTGACAACACGGGATGGGACATGCCATCAACGGCATAATGCGGCACAATGTGCGTCAAGGGCAGCTAAAATAATACTAAGTACCTTTGTAGGCAAAGAAGTTATATGCGGAGTTCTATATAAACAGGTGTAAGGTTATAATGTTCACGTTGGCGCCTCCACTTGGGGCCCATCGACCCCGGGAGGGGGCACGCAAGGTGTAGTAAAGATGCTCGAACCCCCGATGAAGGCAAAAAGATACAAAATTACGCAACACGCCCCTTTAACCGAAATGATAACATAAAAAAACAAGATTTGCGAGCCTCTGCTCACGAAACGCCCATTGTTTTCATTGCACAGTGCAACTCCTCCTGTAATACTGCTTTATAAAACTTAGCATCCGAAACAGACACGCACAAGTGAAATGCTCTGAATACAATAAACTTTTTTTTTTTTTTTCACATTCTCAACGTTTAGGTTTGTAAAAATAAAATAAAAATCTTTGCGACTACATGTTCAGTGGAGAAGCAGATCGCAAGCCTTGGCAGGGCACTACATTCTGATCATAGTGCCCATAGATACGCGACAAGGCGTCCGCATTCGAATGCAAGCAACCCTGTTTGTAGTCTATCTTAATCTGGTAGGCCTGCAGCAACAGGCTCCAACTTTGTAGACGGTCATTGTTCTGCCTGCCGTTGTTTAGCCATCGGAGCGCGTTGTGGTCCGACTGGACTGTGGCATTTTGTCCATCAACATACACATGAAAATGTTTCATGGCCCATACAATTGCCAGACACTTCTCAATTGTTGCATACTTCTTCTCACAAAGAAGTAGCTTACGGCTGGCGTACGCAACGGGGTGCTTGACGCCCTCGCTAGTTCGAGCTAGAATGGCCCCGATCACCCTGTTGCTAGCGTCTACTTGGAGTATATAGGGTCGACTCGGGTCTGGGCTCCGCAGCACTGGACTGCTGCATATTCTCTCCACACTCAATAAAACAGGAAGTATGCGAGTGTTACTACTCAGATTCCTCAGAGCCTTCGTCCGACGACGAGTTCACTAACACAATTTAAAGGGACGATGCCGTCCCTTTGAATTGCGCCCTCGAGAGGTCGGAGGCACGAGCAACCTCAATGCCTTTTATATGGATGCTCTCCGACATCACAGGTATCGATCTGGCGCACAGATCCCGAATAAAGTTTGCCGCCTTTGTTTCCAATCCGGGGTACACTGCAGTCCTTCCACGAAATTAAGTTTTCTTCGCCTTGCTGCACGCCGCCGGTTTTTGTCTCTGGTTTTGCCAGTAGCATATGCTTTTCTCCGATACATTGAACTCTCGCTGCGCTGCAAGATTCCGGTGGATCTCTGCATAGGCGATTGCCTTGTTCTAAAAGGCTACTGTGAACTGTCTTCTACTTCCGCTCATTATTGCTGCGGTAGATGTAACAAACCAAGGAGCACAAGTAAAAGTGAATCGTGACCATCGTGACAAGTGGACGAGTGCTAGGCCATTGCAAAGAAAAACAAAATGGCGTCTTCAGGCACTGAGTGTTGCGAGATTATTTTTGTTTTTCCGCTAATGACCGTCATATAAGACGAGGGTCGACTTTTTCAGGTCCAATTTCAAGAATAAATTCGACCTATATTCCGGTTTATATGCTAGTTGTGCATAGTACTGTGGAAGCCACAGGCTGGGGAGGGGGGGATTAGCAACTTTTGTCTGAATGTTGAGCGACGAGCATCAAGGGCCAATTTCCTAGGGGGAGAATGGTGATGTGCGAGTACAAAAATGAGGATCCAAGCGCCATGAGCAAGAGGGGAGTTCCTCCTTTTCCTCCTCTTGAATTGCTAGAGGTATACTTATGCCCCTGTACCTTTGGTAACACTGCACAATTTGTAAGTTGAGGAAAGCTAAGAAGGAAGTTGAAGAATCGATTCATGGCCCCTTTAACATTTACCTACACTAGTTACCTTGCACCATTATATTTTGTTTGAGAAAGCTCTCATCCTCACCCCTCCCATAAGGGATAAAATCAGAAGTGTATACAACGATCGGAATCTAAAGTGCCACGAAACCTATTGCTGGACATTCTTACGGGTTAGTGATCAATTTTTGTATGAATGCGGCCTTACCAGTGCCTTTACCTCAATAGTGTGGTAAAAGGGCAATTTTCTTGTTTGTGCACACAAATTTGTTTTGAAACATAACTTGCTGGACTGCCAATGCATGTTTCAAGATCTCTGTTGTGGTGAATGTTTTGCTGCCTGTTATATTCTTCAATAGCCAGTATCGTTTAAGTTCTAGAACTCTATACAGTAAACTCCCACTTGAGCAAACTTCTAGGGACTCAAAGAAATAGTTCCCTTAACTAGGAGTCCACTAAACTGAATATATTCACTGGATTATGGAACAGCATAGGGCACAGCATACATTGAGTCAAAAGGGTGAAATGCAATTTATGGAGTCATGTACATTGATATATACAAAGTGTATTGCAGTTACGCTGCTGCCTTTCTCATTTTGAAAATAGTCAATAATTTTCATTTGCACCGGCGCTCTGAAAGCGCATGAAGTAACAAAGTTGCCCAGAGAGTATCTTTTTTTTTTTTTTGCATATCCTCTGGCACGGCTAGTTGCTGTGAGGAAGTCATACCGCAATGGCACTGTCCACTGGCTTGACATATTCAGTGCAGAGCCGTTCCCTGTTGGGATTGAACGCAGTTTCTCTTTCAAGCTTCGACTTTTGCTTCACTAACGTTGACAACGTCGACGGTAGCATCCGATAGTCCTTCGCAACGTTCACTTGCCTTTGACCGTTGTCCAGACGCTGAAAGTATTTCAATTTGTCTGAGAGACAACCGCTTCCATTTCGTCATACTTATTACGTAAGTGGGCGCACAAACTGCCGTTGTTACCCAAAACTAAGATGGCCGAAAGGAACCAATGATAAAGAAAAAAAAAAATATGCACCGCATGGTTCGTTTTTGTCTACCGCACCGCTGCTGCAAAGGCGGCGGCGGCCATCAGCTACGCCAGCACTGCAGAGCACAAAACTTCGTTGAACTGATCACAACAGTAATCCTGGGTCCACCGATCAAGTTCGTTGAACTGAAATATTCGCTATTCCGAAATTTGTTTTTCGTAGAGCAAACATTTGTGCATAGAATGCAAAGGAAAACCACCATAGATTTTTTAAAGTTTGTTATTCTGAAATACTTGTTAAACCGACATTTGCTCAAGTGAGAGTTTATTGCACCCGACTACTGTGCGTTGCCCTACATGTTCGGGTAAGGTACTGTTTCTGTTTACCTAATAGGCACTTTCGTTCTCTGCATATACACCATAGGTTTCAAACCACCCTGAATCGTGGATCAAGCCTTGCAAGATGGAAGTTCTCTTTAGGCCCAGCGCCTCTTGATGGATCAAGTCTTGTACCCCATTCCCTCGTGTCTTTCATATAAGTAAATTGTTGGTATTTCTTTTATGACAGTGCACGTTACCTGCGGACCACGTTTTACAGTCGAAACACAGTGTACCGAAACTTCTTTTATATAGACCCCTTTCTTTGCAAGCGCCACCAGGCGGTGCTTCAGTTTGTTTGATGTCTCAGCAAACTTCTGATTCCTAACAAGAATGAACAAAACCCACTTTGACACTGCTGCCTAAAATGTCGATAAAATGTGTAACCACCAGTTCTCCAGGTGAGCGCCAAAAGAATGAAGAAACGGGAGATATGTTAAAATGTTTCAAATATTTTGTACACCAACTTGCTCCTCCAAGACATTAAATAATACAGGCAAATGCCCTCATTAAATCTCCAACTTTGATGTATGTTGGAGATTATGCTTTCTAGCACTTTTGATTAGAAAGCATTTATGCTTTCTAGCACTGGTGACATGAACAAGCTCAACAGGCTTGCAAAGACTGAGCGACCGGAAGTCACTTGGGACACAAGCGGCAGTTCATGTTTGTAACAGCAAAAGGGTCTAGATAAACGGCTGTACGTTGCCGTTGCCACGGCAGCTTACGCAACCGCAATTTTTACCGAGACGCATGCGGGGAGCTATGTACTTCACATTGTTTGAGCATGCCTTGTCATCTATCTTGTGGTTTTAACACTTGTGGTTTTCTTGTTGAAAACTACAAGTGTCAAAACTATGCGATAGAAGACAAGGTGCGCCGCACGATGCTTTTCTGTCCACTACTGTTCTGTTAACAGACGGAAAAAAAACCTGACCAACGGAGTCCTATACAGCTTCGCTGTAAAATTGCAGTAAAATGCGACGAAAAAACGAATAGAACGCGAAGGGGAGAAACGAGTGACAGTTTGAAGCCACCTAATGGCCGCCGTGTCACGTGATTTCAAGATCGCAGCACCCATGCGACGGAGGGCGAAAAGGTCTATAGAATTTTAGAAATAAATTGAAGGGATAACATAAAACCATTTGCAGGGGGGACTGCCTAGCTCGAGCCCAAGCTACTGTTGCATTGGTAGGAATTTGGCATTAGGAAGATGATGTGGCTGTAGCTGGCTTCAGTTGCTGCATTGGCATATGCATCTATTGACATTTGGTGACCATAGCATGCAGAATTTATTGTACAGGAGGAGAGACAGTTGTGACGAGATCAGGAGCACGATTGTACTTGTTTGCAGTGCTTTTCAATGTGGCTGCAGGACATGAAAAGGACTGAATGTGTATGGCCAATATTTTCCAGCACCTAATATTTTGACAAGCCTTGCATGAAAGGAGTTTCTTACAGCAGAGCTGTTAAGGGCTAGTTTCCCCAGAATCATGTCCGGTACCAAACAAATGTCAACACCTGTGGTCGACACAACACTGTTTGCCTCCGTCGCTCATAGATCGCGGCAGCCTTTCCAGCCTTGGCAACCAGAGAACTGGTTGCTGCCATCGCTGATAGATGGCGGCAACATTTCTTAGGAGGAAGAAGAGCGGGAACGGAACGAGCAGCGATGTGCGCAGCAGCGCGAATGGTTCTGCTATTACCTAAAGTTCCACTGCGTCAAGCGCTTCAGATTCCTTTACGAAAGAAGAGCAGATCGCTCGCCTGAAAAGCCACCACCGAAAACAGAAGCTACAGCTCCGCTGCTCTTCCTTCTTCACCAAAGTGGAAAGACTAAAAATTTTCTTTTTTTTTTTTTTCTTTTTATCTGGAACATGGTGCTGAAGTTTCAAACTGCCTCTGATGTTGCAAACAAAAAAAATGCCACCAGAACATCTCGGTGCTAATAGTCGCCAACAAGGTGGGAAACGCAGGGCATCTCTTAATGCCCAGCCTCCAGCAAGCACTTGTTGCCTTTTCTCATGCTTTGTCTGCGCATGCATTGTTGAGGCTTGCAAGACGCCAAAGCATTGCCAAATGTAGGAGGCTCCTCCCTGCAATTCTTGTTGTCCTACATTTGATCCTCAAGGCACACCCCAGGTTGGTAGAAAAACATGCGATAGTCTATTCAACACCTGTACACGATTCGGGCAATATGCTAGATATAGTCCCTAACGGAATGAGAACGTATGGGCGTGTCTTGCAAATGCTCGGGCTCAAAGCATTGCCGAAGGTAGGAAATTCGTGCTAAAGTGAGGGCAACTGAAGCTTCACCCTGCCGTCCTCATCTTGCAAGTTGCTAGTTATTAATCCATTTTAAATGTGGCAATGCTACACCATACAATAACGGTTTTTACAAAAGTAATTTGTGGTTCATCTTATCAAAAGCTCGTTATAAATCAAAATGAATAATATTAACTTGCTTCCAAGAGAGAACAAATGGCACTGTGTATTCAAGCTTACAAAATCCAATTTTTACTGAGCAACTTTCTAAAAAAAAATTGCGTTCAATGGTGCTCTGTTCAAAACTGGAGTAAAAAGACCCACGTCTGTGTATAACTATCTCAAACACTTTCAAACAAACATACAGTAAGGAAATGGGGCAGTGATTGTCTACCCTACACATGTCACCCACCTCCTACACACCAACTCATGTTTAAAAACAAACCAGAGTGCCCCTAGCGGACGCCGCGCGGTGGTTGGTAGGCAAGAAGCTCGCCGTCGCCCATAAACAAACCATTGAATTGCGTTGTTGTCGGCGTCGGTGTGAGTCCCCGTGCTCTTTTTCCATTGGAATTGTTTATTCTATGTCCTCCTAACGATGTCGACTACTTGAGCGGCTTCAGCAAAATTAATGAGGCTCGTTGCACCGCAAAACTGCGTAAATAATGCGACGTGCAGCGATTCATTTCACGTGGACGCCGCAGAATGAGCGCAAAAGCCCGACTCCCACGATGAGTCATCTCGCTATTTTCAGTCGCAACGTCGCTCGGGCTGTAAAAGCGTGGACCGTAGCTGAGATGGTGGACGTCAATACTGAAAACGGCAAGTAGAATCGGGCATTACAAGTCGGTGACGGCCGCTGGTAGCAATGATCAATATCTTCTTGTATCTCCTTACACTTGGCCTACTTACCCCAACCAACCCTCAAAAGTGTTTTGAGGCCTGCACTTACTTCTTATCACAATTACCAGGTCAAAACTTGGTTTACGGGCAGCTGTCGTTTGAAAGAGCAGACGACAGTTCGAACGGATGCGCAATGGAGTGCAGGCAAGAAGCACCGCGTCCCACGTCAACAAACCATTGGAATGTCACGTCAGCTTCTGTGTGAGTTTGCATACTCTTTTTCGTGTTGGAATTGTCAATTCTACGTCCTCGTAACAATGCCTTACCACTTTAATCGCCTGAGCGAAATTATCAAGGTTTGTTACGACGCTGAACTTTGCGTGAATAATTTGACGTGCAGAGATTCATTCGCATGAACGCCGCAGAATGGACGCCGAAACCATGATGAGATTCTTCTAGTTATTTTTGGTCGCAACGTTCGTGCTGCAAACGTGTAAAAGGTAGCGGCGATGATCGACGTCAATACTGAAAATAGGAAGCTGAAACACACCGAGCGTAACAAGTCGGCGATGGCCACTGGTACCAATGATCAACATCTTTTATCTACTGTTTTCACCGAGCCAACTTAAATCTTTTGAGGCTTGCAATTACTTCTTATTACAATCACCGGGTCAAAGTTTGGTCTGCGGGCCGCTTTTGTTTGAACGAGCAGACGACAAAAAAGTGAAAGCCGTTTACAACTAACTCCCTGTAACGCCGAATTAGAGCGCAGCTCTTGAGGAGGAGGGAAGGGTACTGGGGGCGGGGGGGGGGGGGGGGGGGGTGATGATGACGATGCCGGTGACGTCATCGCATCGTCATCAGCGATGACGACGATGCGGATGCGGATGCCGGTGACGTCATTGGGGGGGTCACGTGACCCTGGGGGAGGGGTCATGTGACCTTAGAATGACCTTGGGGGGCCACGTGACCTTGGTTACGCCGACGCCGCTCAAGCCGGGAACGGGCCCCTAAGAGCTGCGCTCTAAAAGCAGACAAGTTTGAACGATCAGGCGGCCGTGTGAATTTGAAGACTCGCTGAACCCCCGGGTGGTCCGGACAACTTGGCGGTTTTCTCTCGTTCATGTTGGAACACAACTACATCTGTCGAGCACAAAGTGTTGCCAGCATAAGCAATCGTAGTTCGACAGCGTCTGGTTAGCCCTTGTCACGAATACTATCCACGTTTTTGGACGAATGGAGGGGCAGAAACACATGAAAACTGATCTTCAAACCTTTCCAGAGTCTCTTGGTACAGTTCTGTCGCAGCATTTTGACGAGAAGGCAGGTTTTTTGTCTGGTTTCTCCCAAAAGAATGCAGGAATGCATGTCTCGCACCGCGACTTCTGCCCACCACCCCAGACCGGAAGTGCGCCCGACGCGCCACCACCGTGGCGTGACGTAGGAGAGCCGAGTTCATGTATACCGGTACTACAGTAGACTTTCTCCACAACGATGGAAGAGCATGATTCCTTAGGTGATATGCATGCTTCAATAATGGGGCAAACAAATCGGTGCTGCCCTTAACAATAAAACAAGATATAAAATCTGCACCCAAGAACAGCCTCGCTTTAATTTCTTTATTGCTTTTAACATTTCGGTGTCAACTTCCTTGATTGCTGAAATGTTCCTCAATATTACTGAAAAAAAGATGTGCTTGCATTGATGAAAGTGTGAATGTTGTGAACAAATTACTCAGCAAACAGCAGATCTCCAACAATATCTGGACCTGCTTGGCAATGTTAGCAATGTGTGTACAAATGTTCTTAGATCTAGGTCAGTTCACACACTTGGAAAATGCCCGACGCCTTTTTGCGGCACATCCGCTCAATGGCATCTGCTACACTATCAGCGTCCTATGGACAGATCCGGTAGAACGTTGGATGCACATTACCTGCGGTGGAAAGTGGTTTTATTGTGGTTCTTATAGTAAACATAAGGTCTGCACAATACTTAACGCAAAAAGAGCATTCAAAAAATGTTTTTTTGCTGACCGTGGAGGCATTGACGCTGTGGCGCTAAGAACATTATCCACCCTTACCTGCTTGCATGCCGGCAACAGAAAACTGTTTTTGAATGCTGCTTTTCCGTGGAGCTTGTCAACTGATAGATCCAAGAACGTTGGCATGTATGGCCCAAGGGGAGGCATCTATTTTCCAAAGCACCGGTTTAGAAACCCCCATTTTATTGAATCCTTTCAAAAAGACGCCCAGTTTAGAGAAAATGGCAACGAACCTCCTTTTAGCAAATTTGTTTTTAGGAAAACAATTAACCGAACTCGACTGCTTGCTCTAGTATTCGCTTGTTCTGTCTTGGCTGACGGTGAAGCTGAGCCAGTCAGCGAGTCGCTCGCTTTTGCGGCCAGCATATTCAGAGTATGATGGACACGTTTTCGTGCATGTCACTACCCTGCTGTTTTCGCAATAGTACTTTTAAGTTCTGTTTGTTTCACAACTTAAATCATGCCTCAGTGAATCATATGCTAGCCTTTAGGTGCTTCCAGATTTGCTTATCTTAATTCAATCGAAGGGATTCACTAAACTGCGACCCTTTTTCAATAAATGATGCTGCTGTAAACTGAGCTTCGATAAGATGTGCCAGTCCTCGAAAACACGCTTCTATGATATGGTGTTTGGTCAACTGCCATAGACCCCTGCACGAGTGCAACTGAGCAGCAGTTGTAGGTGCAGCACATTCTATTAGCATAAAATAAAGGCACACAGTCAAACAAAGCACCTCAGTGATGCCTAGGAGATCAGCGAACATAGAAATATTTTACACTGGGTACTATTCAGTTTCATATCTCTTAACATTACCGTCCCGCTTCGGCTAGTCCCTAGATTGTTGACAGCTGCCCCGGCGAGGTTGCTTTCCGGACATTCGGAAATAAAACATCTCAGCACAGGTGCTATCCACCCTGTTTAACCACGTGTTCTTTACGAACATAACTCGGCTTCCGAACGATATTATAGAATGCCGTAAGTTAATATTTTCAGAACAGTAAAAGCGTATCTCGCAGCATAAAAAGAACAGTGCAGGTAGAGCGGATCCGTATCACATGAGCGAATGACATTTTAGCGAACAGCGACATTGGTCACTTCCTACGTATCCGGATTCATACATAACCAGACTGTTGTTAGCAAAATTGTAAGTACTGAAAACAGGGAAATGAACGAGTGTGTGATGGGTTGGTAAGGGAAAGAAACGTGGACAAAAGGCAAACAAGCAATTTAGGAGACGACGACCCACCGAGCTAATGCTCTGTACGAATCTAAACCTCAAATACTACTTTCAGTACAAATACAAGATACCCACAATATTACACGATAAATAGCCACCAAAATTAACGTACCAATTGGGCAGTGCTGTTCGTAAATCACGTAAATCGCCGAAATCACAGAACGTTCACGAAAGACGAAACGGAACGGCCATCTTGAAAAAATAAAAACAGTGATGGTGATAGCGATGTGTATTCTGTAAAAACTCTGAGGACAAATGCAGTCAATGTTTTTTTTTTCCTGATTTTTCTTCAGATTTATGTATGGCAATTGCAAAAACTTTGGAAAACTTACTTCCCCTAGCAAGACCTCGTTAAAATAATGGTAAAATAGTCTAAGGTTTAAACACATAGACGTTTTGAAATACACTTGGCAATGTCTACGTGGAGCGAGTTTTTCTGTTGCATGGGTTGTGGCGATGCAAGAATGCCAACCTCCGATTTAAGGATAGGGGATAGACCTCAAAGCAGCTAAACCTGTGATTAAGGATAGTGGATGGACCTTTAAGCAGCTAGCATCGTTTACCCACCATCTTTCAATCAGAGCTCCGCATTTCGACGTAACCACAAGCAGACGAACCTGCGCTCCACATGAACCTTTTCTCAGTAATTAATTGCAAACAGAACACAGACTTGGGAACTTTTCTTGCTAAAAGCCTTTCCTTAAAAGTGTGAATGGTCAAAAGCCAATGCTACGAAAGGCTGAAATACTTCGGACATAGCATGTTAAGGTGGCAAGAAAAATTAAACAGGGATATCCATCTTCTTTCCATCAAACTTTTCGGAGCTTCATCTTTTTAATAATTACCTCCTCACATGTTTCACAGTAATCTGTGGCATGGATTTACCACACTCCTTTTGTGAAGTGTAGCAAGAGGTATACACCGTCATCAGAAAAATATACAATTTATTTATGACAGGGAGCCACGAGAGGGGAAGATGGCAAGACCCGATCCACCAAAAAGGAGAGGGCATAAGAGTGAGGTCTTGCAAGGCTTGGTCCGTGATTCAGGACGGTTTGAAACCTATGATGAATGAAGAGAACGAGGGAGTCCATCAGGTCAACAGCAACAATATCTGACCCAAACATGGAAGGCAATGAACAGCAGGGGCGAATTTGTCAGGCTGGTTGGAGTGGGGGTCGGTGGGAGGGGGGGCGGTTTGCAAGATGATATCACGGGCAAAATGTTGCCCAGGTGTGTTTTGTTGACCTAATATTTGTTATGTCACCAAAAACTAATAATTTCTTCCTAAGAAAAGCTGGAGTATGTTGATTTTTCATTAAGAAGTTAACCTCAAGGGGGGGGGGGGGGGGGGGGAATGTGACCCCCCCCCCCCCACAAAAAAAAATCCTCACATGATGCAGAGCACTCGAGTATACACCAAGAAACTGAGGGAGAGGAGGAGACGAGAGCACGTGGGGACGTCAGAATACAGAGCTCTGGTTGGAATGATTAGAGGGTAGACCTAGCTGCCTTTGTATCCACTGCACTCGTCAAAGGCGTTTGAATGTGAAAGCCATACGCTGGACACCAGTGTTCCGCGTTCTAACGTGTTCGAATGAGAGAACAAAACGCTGGATGCCGGCGTTCCATCTTCAAATGTGTTCGACGACTGCAGCAGAGACAGAAGCTATCTTTGTCTCCACTGCACTCGTCGAACGCATTCAAATGCAAAAACCAAAAGCCAGACACCGTCGTTCCGCATGTGCAGAACAGACAAAGGCAGCTAGCTTTAGGTCTACCCACTAATCGTTCCAATCAGAGCTCTGCGTTCTGACGTCCCCGCACTCTCGTCTCCTCCTCTCCCTCAGTTTTTCGGCACAGAGTTCTGGAAGTTTAACACTGGCTAGCGAAAAATCCAACAGACAGCACCACATCCACAAAAAAATAGCTTTCTTTGGCATTTCCTAAAGGTGTTCTAAATTGCATAGCATTCATAGGATCTCTTCGCACCCTACCCGTCGCCCGGAGTCCACTTCAGGACTCCGGGCAACGTCCACTCGGAGGAGGGACCGTCCCGTGTGATCTGGCTGGTCCCTTGAAAACGGGAAACATGCAGGGAAGTGTGAGAGTAGGCCAGAAGGGTGGCGTACTCTCCCCGACATGATACAGAACGAGCAGGCTCGAAGCCAGGTGACTCCGGCCGGAATGTCTGCAGCTTACACCTTCTCAGGGGAGGGAAACCAGTGGCTCCCGCAAGTCACTCGGTTTTTCTCTAATGATCTTGTCAAGACTTCTTCAATACCCGTATCAAATAAAAGCGGTCATGACCGAAAACGTTACCCGAGAGATGTCCTTTGTAATGGAAGCACCCGACGAAATCGGTGACGAAATGGCGTGTTTTGATGTACGGACCCGAGAGAACGGGTCAAGCGGAGGGCTGAACATGGACGCTGAAGTTCAGGCTCACGAGGTTCAAGAACTAGACGAGTTGATTCGGTCCTACGGTGATGTCTTCGACGATAGGCCAGGTAGAACCACGAGATCCCAAAGAGCGCCGACCCGATTGCGTCGAAAGCGTACAGAGTTCTGTACAGTATCAAGGTGGGGGTACAGGAACTGAAGGAAATGCTGGAAATGGTGCATCATACGGACATCGACAAGTCCATGGGCATCCCCGATAGTATGCGTGAAGAAGAAAGACAACAGCATAAGGATCTGTGTCGACTTCAGGATGCTGAACGCGACAACACAGGATGATGCCTACCCCATGCCTTCACTCCCTGAGATGATTGAGACTGTGGGGAGAGCCAAAATAATCAGCACCCTTGACATGTCCCAAGGCTACTGGCAAATCGGTTTATCAGAGGAAGCTTTTTTTAAGACAGCATTCCGTACGGACACCGGCTTGTACGAATTTACGGTGATGCCGTTCGGACTGAAAGGAGCACTGGCGACATTCCAAAGGTTGGTGGACGACCTCCTGAAAGAGCACCGAGACTTCGCTCGGGCATACTTAGATGACATAGCGGTGTTCAGCAACACGTGGCAGGTGTTCAGCAACACCTGCTTCATTTGTGCACCATCCTAAAGAAGTTGCGTCAGGAAGGCCTGGCTCTAAAAAATAAACAAGTGCCAGTTTGGGAGGCGGGAAGTGCACTACCTGGGGCACGTGATTAGGAATGGGCAAGCACAACCTGACCCTGAAAAGATTGAGACCATCCAGGCGATCGAGAGGCCCCACACGAAGACAGAAGTCCGTTCCTTCTTGGACCTAGTTAACTTCTACCGGAATTTCATTGAAAACTTCGTAAAGCTGGCCGCACCGCTGACCGACCTCCCACATAAGGCTGAACCTAAGCAAGTAGTGTGGACGCTGTCATGCGAGAGCGCATTCAGCGCACTGAAGGAGAGAATATGCAGCAGTCCAGTGCTGCGGAGCCCAGACCCGAGTCGACCCTATATACTCCAAGTAGACGCTAGCAACAGGGTGATCGGGGCCATTCTAGCTCGAACTAGCGAGGGCGTCAAGCACCCCGTTGCGTACGCCAGCCGTAAGCTACTTCTTTGTGAGAAGAAGTATGCAACAATTGAGAAGTGTCTGGCAATTGTATGGGCCATGAAACATTTTCATGTGTATGTTGATGGACAAAATGCCACAGTCCAGTCGGACCACAACGCGCTCCGATGGCTAAACAACGGCAGGCAGAACAATGACCGTCTACAAAGTTGGAGCCTGTTGCTGCAGGCCTACCAGATTAAGATAGACTACAAACAGGGTTGCTTGCATTCGAATGCGGACGCCTTGTCGCGTATCTATGGGCACTATGATCAGAATGTAGTGCCCTGCCAAGGCTTGCGATCTGCTTCTCCACTGAACATGTAGTCGCAAAGATTTTTATTTTATTTTTACAAACCTAAACGTTGAGAATGTGAAAAAAAAAAAAAAGTTTATTGTATTCAGAGCATTTCACTTGTGCGTGTCTGTTTCGGATGCTAAGTTTTATAAAGCAGTATTACAGGAGGAGTTGCACTGTGCAATGAAAACAATGGGCGTTTCGTGAGCAGAGGCTCGCAAATCTTGTTTTTTTATGTTATCATTTCGGTTAAAGGGGTTATGACACGTCAAAAATAAAACATGAGATAACTATACTGCTAGGACCCATTGTATGTTCCTATAATCCTGCTAAATTTGTTTTGAAAATGGCGCGATAGTTTTGTGGATAAATCGATTTATATGCGGGCCCCTCGGAAGGGCAGATCCGGGCGGACCTGGAGGCTGATGACGTAGCCAGCCTCCAGCGCGGTGTCTCCTTGCACGCACTCACAGTCTTGGCTCTCTTGGCGTATCGAGCCTCAGCTTTCTCGTTTGACTTTCACGTTTCGAGCATGCGGTCCGTGACGATTACGTCTACGGCACCGCTCGCCTTGTCGAAGTGTTCGACATTGATCGCAGCAGCGATGAGTGATTGCTATCAAGAGATGTTGGAAGCTGTTCATTTTGACTGCGACCCGCTGGCGACCAGCTCCAGCGACGACGAGTAACGGACGATTTCGCCGTGGTCACCGTCGTCCGGGAATATCTCGCAGGCGCATGCAGGGTGGAAGGTCAACGGGCTGGGGTGAGAGCGAGAATAGCTTTCGGGTTACCGAGTTGTGTGAGCGGTTTTGATCGTACCGCGACGAGGGGAGAGCTTGAGCAATCATGGGGGCGCCTAGAATGAGAGAGTGTTTATGGTCACGTGGTTTATGGACACCATGGTGTGACTAACTTGGGCAGTGTTGCCTGGTCGCCAGACGAAAATGATAAAAATTCGTAAATTGAATAATGCTATTACCAGAGCTCTAAAAATCGCGTAACTTGGTGTATACACTAAGTAGCCTATGAGCATTCTATTTTAAGAATAATCTATCCGTTTAATTTTCATGTCATAACCCCTTTAAAGGGGCGTGTTGCGTAATTTTGTATCTTTTTGCCTTCATCGGGGGTTCGAGCATCTTTACTACACCTTGCGTGCCCCCTCCCGGGGTCGATGGGCCCCAAGTGGAGGCGCCAACGTGAACATTATAACCTTACACCTGTTTATATAGAACTCCGCATATAACTTCTTTGCCTACAAAGGTACTTAGTATTATTTTAGCTGCCCTTGACGCACATTGTGCCGCATTATGCCGTTGATGGCATGTCCCATCCCGTGTTGTCAACCTTTCGAGGTTGTACGGGGAATCGGCTATTGTAAACATGAGAGGTATATTAAGGACTTGTAAATGCGTTTGTAGGGGTCTATGATTGGAATGTTTACAGAGTCGGCGGCGGAGGGCCGTTTTGTTTTGGATAGCGCCAACTGAACTCATTTATTATTTTGCTTGTCGGGATATGTGTAGCCCTACCACAGGGACGAGAATGCATGTTAGAGGGAGAGAGTGAAAGAGAGAGACGAGGGTAGCTATGTTGGGAGCGGGAGAGTTGAGAAGGGGGAGTTGACTGAGAGACTTGAGAGGAGACACATCGAGAGCGATGCAGCAGGAGTTGAGATAAAAGGCCCATCAAGAGCGATGCGGAAAAAAATCAAGTGGATAAAGTGCAGGGGTGTCACTTAGAGAGTTAAACGGCAGAGGCCATTGAGTTTTGAGAACTAGCGAACTCTAACTATGCCGTAATTTTTGTGTATAACACCTGTATATTAAGCCAAGTTATTCAACCCTAAGTCTATGATCCCGACATCACTAAAACCCTTGACTGGCAATCGGCGACAACGACGTCAGCACAGACCCGAAGACTAGCGACTTCATGTCACGAGACGAGATGAATATAAACTTTACAGACCAGATAAAAGTGAGTGACGCATTGGCTAACATTGCGTCTTGGTGTCATGAAAATAACATGAAGATATTAATATTAGCAAAACTCAGTACATGCATATTACAACAAAAAGAACTATCTTAAATTTTAGCTATGAGGTTGCTGGCATAGGATTGACTGAAGTAGACAGTTACAAATATTTGGGAGTGATTTTGTCTTGTGACCTTGGGTGGAAAAGGCATGTACAGTATGTTAAGAAGCGGGCAACTAACAAATTGTGGTACCTGAGGGGAACGCTGGGTAAATCTCCCCCTTCCGTTGAAATTCTTGCTTATAAGACAATTATTAGACCTGTGTTAGAATACGTGTCTGGAGTGTGGAGCCCATGGCAGAGCTCTCTGGTCAGAGAACTCGAAGATATTCAATTGCTAGCAGTGCGTATAGTTTTTTTTTCAGATTTCAGACAAACTATGTGTGTGACCGAACTTAAAAGGAGAGCCAATATAAGCCCGCTGTCAAACAGAAGAGAGAGCCAACGTTTGAAGCTGTTCTTTCAGATTTTCAAGAGTAGTATAAAAATTGATAGCGTGATTTACTTAAAAACAAAGTTTTTACTCGGACCGCTTGCATCACTCACAGACCGTAGCCCCTATTAAAGCTCGAATAAATAGCTATAAACAATCTTAAACAATCTTTTTTTGTGCATACAATTGATTTTTGGAACAGCCTTCCCAGTGATGTTATCGATATTGATTCACTTTCTTCTTTCGGAAGAGCCATAGATATTATTTTTCAGTGCTAAGATTGCATTTATTGCTGTTATGACATTATTTTTACTGTCTTTATTTTATTAGTTATTACTGCTGTTACATTTACTGCTACTGTTATTACTAGCCTTACATTTGGTTACTGTATTACTGTTGATATTGATTGATTTTCTTCTTTCGATTAAGTCGTAGATATTTTTCAGTGCTAAGATTGCTTTTTGTTTAGAACTGTTGTGTTTATAATTTGCAGGTATGACACTGTATCACCCCACTCCTGCCTTGGCCCTATATTGGGCCGGCAGTATTGAGAAATAAATAAATAAAATAAAAAAGTGTGTGGCAACAAACTGAAAGAAAAATTGAAAATGAAGCACAGGTTGTCGATTGCTTGCTTCACAGAATAAATAGCCCAGCTCGCGTCCGATTTTGCTGCCCGTGGGACGCAGTTTCTTAGCAGAAAATCCCCTTTTTTTCGGTTCTCGTTCCTTATGGCGGAAAAACCCCAGTCGTCTGCTCTTGTTCCTCTCCCGAGTGATGCATGACGGGAGTGCATTCTGGTGCACACTTGATTCTCAAGGTGCAGCGAGTGCATAGACGTGTGGAGTGGCGACGCCGAAATGAACGCGTGGAAAGTCGGCCGAAACAAACATGCTCCGTGTTGCGAGTGGGTACGCATGGGCACGAGTGCCCATGCATACATGTAGTCATACACTGTGCACGAGCATGTGGCTTCGACTTTTATCTTGTTTGCGTGCAGAAGTGGCTTCAACGGCATTGCAGAAATTACACTAGCCTTGACAATGAAGTACAAAAAGGTTTACGCCAAGTCTAGACACTGTTGCAAGATCACCGAGCCAGGAAACCTAAACCGAGCCACCACTAAATGTGTTCCGTTTCAAAATGGTGTAATTGGCAAGACTGAACCGCCACCAAATGTGCTCTGCGGTAGAGCACAAAAGTACATCACCAGACATGAGTGTCCAAAATATACTTACAATGGCTAGCGGCGCCTCATAAAAGTCATGCAATGACCCTCTGCTTGGCCACTTAAGCCACACGCAGTGCCGTGCAGGGTACAGGACGGCATCCATGGTGCAGTGATCCAGGGTCCCGCCCGTAGTGTTCCGCTGCTGCCTTGGACAAGGTGAAAGCCAGCTCACTGATGTCATGGTCCCCGGTACCTGTGGTGTGTAACCATTGTGTTTAAAGGTTATACAGCCACCGACCGATATTGCAGACCCGATGGGGATCGTGCAGAATTCGGAATAATTGAGCAGTATGAAAAAATGATTTTAGCCTAAAAATCACTTTATTATTACGACTTAAAACGCAAAGTTGCTGCAGCAAGTGATCGATGGTTTGCTGTACGGCATGGTACTGTATGGTACTTCGCATTTCAGCGAGTCATTTTGTCACTGTATACAGACAAAAGCATTCGGACAAGTTACGCGCTCACGGCTGCACAATGCTCGCCAACTGTAGGGCCGGTCGGTAGACTTTCCCCTCGGTGAAGGGCAAAGTCCGGTTTGTAAACGCTGTGCCGCTGGAATAAATGCGCAGATTGATCGCTACTTCCTTGGCGATACAATCGCTGCCTTCTCACGTCGACACACGGGAAATACCGCAAACAAAAGCAGACGCCGTCATGACTTTGCAAAGTAAAACCGGAGAGGCCAAGAGCAGAAGAATTGCTTAGAGTGCTGACGTGCTACGAGGCATCAGCAACCAAAACCTGCCATTTAAAAAAAATATATACTAGTTTCTTAGCAGGACGTGACGTCACGACAACTGACAGCAGCGATTGGCAGGCGGTGTGCATTCTTGCCACTGAATTCATAACCTGTCACCGAATGTAGTTTTTAAACATGGCAGATATAATCTGGCCTGTTTTCGTCCACAATGCTGCCGCCTAGTCTGTCGCATAAATTATTTTTGTTGCTAAGGGGCAATTGGGGCTTTACGTAAACATAGGCTGGACGTGCGTGTGGGAAAAATAACACGAATGACGGCCCCCAACATTGGCTCTTCAAACAAACTGCCAGAAAACAAAAAGGCCAATATGTCAACATTTTTGTCCTTTCCCCATTTTTGGTGGCTGTCGTGTCAGATTGAAGTATAAGTAACTAGTAAAATAAAAATAAATAAAAAAGTACATAACAAAAGGTGTAAATAAACTCTGTAGATATAATACCAGTCCCAATGGTTTAACAAAGAGGCTGGCTTTCTCAGAATGCCCCCCTCTCGCTCGAGTCCGTATTGAATCTTAATATGAAGTTGCCCCGAAAAAGCTGCAGAAAATGCACATAGTGACAGAGCCCATAAAGACCACACCTGCCTTTCACATGGCCTTTCGAACTAGATGCAGTACAGGACGCAGAACGGTACCCATGGGCTAGCTGCAGCTGTAGCCCAGTGCTTGTAGTATCTCGCAGCTGATGGAAGGGAGGGAGGCCAGCTCCTTCATGCCGTGGTACCGGGAAAAACAATACAGATGAGCCACAGACGTCAAGCGCCTTGAGTATTTCTGTGCATCCACGAAGCCAATCTGGGACAGCAACGACAGAAAACTTCAGTAACACAGTGAACAAAAGAGTAGGCATGCAGGCGAGCTGTGAATTGTGAACACAGCTAAAACCCAAGGCACAAGAAAGCAGAAAAGAAGAGGCCTTTCCACTTCCTTGCATGTCGGGTTTGAGTCTCGCACGGGGTAGTAAAAAAGCAACAATACTGGTTCCCTAGTCTTTTTCTGCGTCAAGAAGCCTTGGAACAAAGAAATCCTACTGGTTATTCATCTTGTTTTCTCTTCTCGGGCGGATTATAGTGCACGGTGCGGAAGCAAACTGCCTCGAAAGGGCTCAACTCACACTTCCAAGAAAATGATTGGCGAGCAACCTCTCCATTGTGTGCTATGTGCACTGTACGTTTTAAGCAGGTCTGTTTTCTGCTAACACAACAGCGGTAGGAATGTTACTTGTGTCGAGCTGGAGAAGCCATAGTGGGGGCTACCCCAGCTACGCCCACGCTGGCTCTAATGGCGGTTATGTGCAACGCAGACAGCTTTCCCCATTTCAACAGAGTGCCTAGGCAGACACAGCAGCAGCCACATAAGACAATCGAGGGAAGACGCAGAGTTGTACAGGCTAAGAGGGAACGACATAGCGTAGCAAGCTTTTTAGTCCAGGTTATTCCTCCGAGAAATGCAGTCGGTGGAAATGTATGTCAGTTGTTCTTGCCATTAACTTAGGTAACGAATGCAAACATTATACTATTTTGCATCTTTTTCTACTGCAATGCTGGTCACCCGCAACGAAAAAACGCCACAAACTGAAAGAAAGTCTGGTTGCAATGTTAACACGGACACCAAGTCCACCAGGAAAAGCCATCTGTGCCATCCACCTGTTCATAAGCGAGCTGGAGTTCATCAAAGCACAACCGAGACTCTCTCGGGAGTATTTGGTTCCTTGTCACTAGTTATTGAATGAAAACACAGTGCAGTGTTGATTACTGTCAGCGCAGCCTTGCCACTAGCACTGCTGTCACTCGGGTGGCACATATTTCGCTGGCACGACATGGCCTGCGAGCCACATATATCCCTAAAAGGAAGCTGCATAGAATGCACTTACCGTGGCTAGCGTCGCCGCTCAGAGAGCTTGCACAAAACCTCCGCATGACACGTAGTGCAGTTCAGAACAGAGCAGCACTGGCTAGCCAGTTGCTGCGAAGGCTTGCAGTGTCTTGCTGCTGCAAGTCACCTCCTTCATGCCTTGTGGTACCCATCAGTTTCAAAACAAACGCTGATGAACCGCGACCAGCCATCACCTGTAGCACAAGGGGGAAAAACATGAATGTGCAGTCTCCTATCTGTTTGCTTTTGTCTAACGTCTCTGAGTTTTCTTTGAGAAGAAAACAGCAATGACACTTCTTTCACAGTAATGTGCAAAAGAAACAAAAACGGCTCGGTTATTATACTGCCTCGTAAGTTGTGTGCAGCAAAGGCACGGGTGCGAGGGGGCAGCTCTGCAGAATGTTCTTTTTGCGCGGGTACTCGTGCAAAAAAGGCGCTTTTTATTTTCATGTGCTCGGGCCTGCGCCTCTGCTGCACACAACTTATGATACAGAGTGTATAGCACGCCTCCGTGAGCACTCGCGTACGGCGAGAAATCCATGATATCCAGGGTACGATAGCAGGAAACCTCGCAAGGGTGCACGAGGCTGCAAGTGCGCCAGAATGTGCAACTGGAGGTGGTGACAGACTGACATAGTTTGAGAACATGAGTTTACTTGGGTCAAAATATAGAAGCGAAAAACGTAACTTCCTTGCCGGCTGATGTTTGGAGCCATCGGAGCACGACCAACTATTTGTTGTGATCGGGGTATTACGATCGGACGCGGGTTGGTAAAGATTTGAAAAACCCGGAAGAATAAAACCTGTTGGGGGCGAAGACAGACAGCGCAGTTCCTTGTTGACATGGGATGTAATATCAAACACATTATTCCGCCGGATCAAACGTTTTTGTTTAATCAGGCTTAGCTCGGAAGTCTGCCGGCAGGTCTGGGGTCGGAGGCATGCGGTTTTTAGAGCTCTTTTGGCGGGCTTTCAGGTTTCTGCGATGCGTGTTTTAATCGTGAGCACAGGCTCAAACAATAGGCAGCGGCGCCAAATGTATTTGAAACGAAGAAGCAGCTCGGACGCGTGGAACGAACACATCGAAATCACATCACAGGAAAACGCAAATCACTCACCTTTTGTTCGACGATGGTTCGCAAGACACGATTCAAATCGACGACACTCGATTCGGTCACGATATTCAGGTAAAGGACGCAACAACGTAGGCCTTGCCGTTCCTAATAACTACATAAATACGACGATACGACACGATATCAAACAAAGGAGTCGGAAAAACGCAATCTGAAGCGCAGAAACGCGGTCCCGCGGTTGCAAAAAAGCAAGAAAATAAACAAAATAAAAAAAAAAATAATACGTCAACAAAGTAAAAATAACAAAGAGTTTCCTCGCTAAAAACTGTGACGTCACAGAAAACAAAAGAAACAAAAACAAGCAAAACAAAATTTCTTTGTCACGTGACGTTATATTTGTGACGTCACTTCCGGTGACGTCGGGTCACGTGACCTTCCATTATTCCTCCTCCGAATCGCTCGTCCCGACGGCGGCGTCGTCTCGGGGAATCTCACGTTTGTCGAGAGAACACGAAATTTTTTATTCGTCTGCTTCGCGCGATTTTTGTTGCCTAGCCTTCGCGATTGCATATCCGGTGGGAGACAACCGTTTTCACTGAATGGACGACGGTGATGATTATATATACGTTTACACTCCGGTTATATGCAGCATTGGCAAAAGGCACGGACTCGAACGGGCAGCTTCAGGTGCTTTTTTTCCGCGTTTTTGTCCCAGAGCCTTCGCGTCCGTACCTTTAACACTGCACGCAGCCTGTGCGAGACTGTTTTCGATGGAGGGCTGTTGTATTCCGTAGTGATGGGTGTACACAAAATTACACAACACATTGGGAGTGATCGCTCCCGCACAGTCGGAGGTCGGAACACACCGCGAACTTCGGTGGCAGCTTTCGCGGCAGCTTCGTGCAAGCGATGAAGAGTAGCTTCACAGCGTCGTACACGCACATAAAACACTGCTCACAGTCAGATGTTCCAATCGGCTTGCTTCTTTCCACGCTGGAATACTTCCAGCCACGTTTGGCGAGTGCACGAATCCCCCGAGCTCTCTGCCTTTTCGCCTTCATCTCGAAAATAAAAAAACAGCGAAAACATGTCCTAACCGGAAAAGGGCGAACGTCACGTCCGGACGCTCGCTGATTGGCTCAAGCGCGCGCGTCGAGGGAGAAATTGGGTTCCGAGGCGTCGTCTCGCTGCGTCGTCCTCCTCGGCGCGCGACTTTTTTCAATACAAAAATAAGCAAAAAATTCCCCCCACGACGCGCGTCTTTTCGCTGTGTGAATGCGCCTTTAAGCTACGCTCCGAACCCGCGCGCTCGAGCGCAGATGTCCGGAGTCTGGAGCTCACTAACTTAACGCGCCCATTGGGTTCCGAGGCGTCGATGGTCGTCTCCCTGCGTCGTCCTCCTCGGCGCGCGACTTTTTTCAATACAAAAATAAGCAAAAAATTCCCCCCACGACGCGCGTCTTTCCGCTGTGTGAATGCGCCTTTACAGAGGCTCTGTACTCGTAGTGAACGCGTTATATTGGATTGGATTGGATAGGACATAAAACAAAGAATCGCATCGCGTCAACTACGCTTAACAACCGTATGAAAATATTTTTTTCATTATCAAAATGACTATACAGAAGGCAAAATAAACTAAACGCTGAAATTTTAAAATGAATTGTACTACTGTACGTAGCGTACACACATTACTGGTATTACTAAATTGCAACTCGCTGGTAGCGCCATTTTTTTTGAGTAGACGGTGTACAGCGTGTACAGTGGAACGGAGAAATTCAAACGCGTAACAAAAGCGTAAAAGCGCGCCGAGCGCGCCAGGAAGCGCCAGTTTTGCCGTTGTGAAGATTCAAAACGTTCAAATGGAACGGCGTGTAGGCACGTTCTGAACTTGGCAGTTACCTCCAACGCCGCGCCGTCATGCACATCAAGTCGATAACCATCGACGGTTTCAAGTCGTACGGCCAGCGGGTCGACATCAACGGATTCGACAACCTGTTCAACGCCATCACAGGCTTGAATGGCAGCGGCAAGAGCAACATCCTTGACTCCATTTGCTTCGTACTGGGCATCACCAATCTCTCCCAGGTCCGAGCCTCGAACCTACAAGACCTCGTGTACAAGAATGGGCAGGCGGGAGTCACCAAGGCGACGGTGTCCATCACCTTCGACAACAGGGACACCAGGCAGCGACCTGTCGGCTACGAGCACTTCGAGGAGTTTACCATTTCCAGGCAGGTCCGTATTCTTTGCGGCTGTAGTCACTGGCAGTAACGTACCTCGGCAAACCTCACTCATGAGGGCCCTCACTCACCCTCATCTTCACAAGTGAGGTGAGGGTGAGTGAGTTTCTGAACCAGGAAAATTCATGAGTGTGAGGGTGAGTGAGGGCCGTGAGGGCCGTGAGGGCGGTGAGGGCCGTGAGGGCCGTGAGTGGCGTGAGGGCCGTGAGTGAGGGGGGGGGGGGGGGGGGGGCGTGAGGGCGGTGAGTGCGTGGGGGCCGTGACGTTTAGTGAGGGTGAGTGAAGGGCTGAAGGTGAGTGTGACTGTGAGGGTGAGTGAGGGGCTTAGGTGAGTGTGGCTGTGAGGGTGAGGGTGAGTGAGGGCGACCTAAAATGCCGACCTCTGGACAGTAATAGTGGTAGTGATAGTATTAATAATAATAATGTCTTCTTTATTCCTTTGGAAAAGCACAGTAACTGGCCCCCAAAAGCAAAGAAGATTGCTTGTCCGTGGGATCAGGCAGGCCAAAACATTTACAAATAAAAGGAATAGAACACAATATTACAAGTAGCACTATAAATAGAGTAATTAAACATAATTGTAAAACACAGCCATATTTTGCGCCATCTAAACAAAACTAGTCTCCACATGCAAATCAAACAAAATCGCTGAACACAAAATACCAACAGAATCTAGACACGGTACTACCGCACGTGAAACATACCACAATAAATAATACTTGAACATCAACATTGCATAACAGAGAAATGACTCGGGGGGGGGGGGGGGGGGGGGGAGAGGAGAGGAGAGGGGAGAAATACACTAAACAACAGGGAAATTAGGCTTTACATTCTAGACACCACTTTTAAGAGCTTTCTTTGCCGTTCACATGGATGGTACACTAATAAAATTGTGTGAATTTATTAAAAAGGGAAGGAAAGGGAAGTGTTAAACGAGGGTTGTATACACATCGGAGTAGGCCACACACCCTTGCCCCTAGGCTCACTTCCAGGCAACGCAGCCTGTACCGAGAGCCACGTGCTCCTCTTTTTGTATTTCATTTTTCCCCGATAGTACCTCAGAATCGCCAAGTTGCTAACAAGTCCGAACAGGAGGACGGCCGCAATCTGTCCTTAAAACCTTTTCTTTCATAATTTTTTTTATATCGCCCACCATATAGATGAATTTTTCTTCTTTCTCAGTCATTCATTACTCGTTCGAAAGAGGTATGTATAGCGATATCGTACAGTTTGCCGATAAACCGGCTAATGCAACAAGCGAGCGCCCATTTTGGCGGCTGAGTCAAGCCAGCCAGCCAGCCGGCCGCAAAGCTAAGCAAGCCAATCCTTGAGCAATTTCCGTCTGTCAACTCGCAAGCTGATTGGCTGGCACCTCGCCATACACTTCCAAGTACGGCATGCTGAAATATGCCAGAGGGTCGAATCTGTCTTGGTCGGATCGCCGAATACACGCATATTTACGCCGACTTTGAGGCGTCGAGGAAGCGCTCATCCCGATGCCCGCCATACGTCCACCAAAACATCCAGAAATATGTCCAAAATACGCCCTATGTTGTTCCGCCGTAAGGATACGTCGGACGTACGCAGTAGATACGTCGGATGTTGCCGCGGTAGGGAAGGGTCGTATCACTGTGGGTCGTAACATGCCTTTCTGAGACCCCCCTGACAAATTTCATCCCATCTTTATATCTCATTGCTACGGTGTATATTTCTTTCCACCATCCCTATTCCCAATACAGAGCAGTCAACCAGAACTGACAGCACGGTTCAGCACATCTATGCTGAACCGTGCTGAACCCTTGGCGGTGGATGCTCGACCTTGAGATTACATTTATTTTCTCTGAGCGACAGCGAGAGGTGACTGCAGTCTTTTTGGGAGCAAAACTTGCAAACATATTGCGGTCTTGCGAAACTGTGACTATCCTTACATGTCTCTGAATAAAAGGATAGTGGGGCTGTTAGTACTTTCCTTTCGCGTATGTCCAAATTTGGAAATAGAATGTCAAAGCAAGCACCAAAGACTTGTATGCAATAATTGTTTTCAAAGAGAACCTTGCTCGCCACGCACACTATTTGCAATAGTGCATACAAACTAATTTATGACATATTCATTACCAAAGACCAAGGAACAAGTTTATTGCATTCCTCACACTGTTTTTAGGGGGAAAATGTATGGCACTATGCTTTATACAGTGCAAACCTATACATTTATGCCGCTGCAATGCTCTTTGGACGAAAACATGAAATGTTTTGGTTTTGGCTGGTCAGGGAAGTACAGACCTGGTGAAACTAGCTGACATCGGTGACAAACCACAGATGGGTCCTCTGCCACCAAGTCTCTACACTCGTTCCACTTCTTGCTTTTCCTCTCTGTTTCTACTGTCACGAGTACAGCTACCCAGCAGTCTTCAGTAAAGTACTTCTGGACACTTCCTATTTCAACGTCCTCGTCAAGGATTGTCTGGGGGATCCTTGGGGGAATTGTTTCCACCTGGTCTTCATCTGTAAACAGTTTACAAAATAAGTGTCCTGAACCTTTATGTCATGCATAAATATAATTTAGAGGCCCAAGAACTTCCTGTAGGCCTCCGCAGTATTTATAGTTTCAACAGATGAGTATGCACTGAGCACACTGAGTAGCCAGTAGCAATAAAAATGGCAGATGTTGAGAGATGAAAGACACCTGGCTAAAAATCGAACCCCGAGGGCGGCGGGCATTTCTTGTGCATTTGGCGATATCAACGATTGTTGCCTTATGGTATGAACCATATAATTGTTTTTAAAGCTATTGCTGTAAAAAATGTGTTAACGAAAATGTTGCAGGACGATAGGGAACCAAAATCAACCACTAAATTAGCTAAATGGCATGAGCTCTCCACCGTGCATTGTATATAGCCATTTCCGGTCAAGGTGCACAACGTTGTGCGTAAAGTGTCACTCTTTTCTTAAATATTTTAACGTGGCTACCATGTTAGTGACTTAAGGAAGTTTTGGTGCTCTGGTTTCATGAACTTCATTTTAAATTTACCATGCCAGCAACTAAAAAAAAAAAAAAACAGTAAAAAAAAAAAAAATTCACTTACCTCCAGGCAGTAAGAGCTGTCAGGAGTTGTGTGCAATGTTATTTTCATTAACACTTGCGTTTCACAAGTTGGCTCGAAGGAATAAAGAAATGCTGGGGCCTATGTAATGGCATGGTTACATTGCAGCAGACGTTTATGTATTTATATTTGGTATCACACAGTGCCTAAGAGGGCATTATAGTGGGAAATAGGACTACAAGTAAGACACCACAAGTACATCAAAGAAAGGATGGGCTGCCTACAGCGAAATGCAGATATAAGAGCGTTTTCATAAATGAGTAACTTTTTGAGGGTCTTATAAAATGACAGACACTTACCCTACTTCTGTTTTACTCTGACTCCGCGGTACCAGAGCAGAGAGTACCCCTGTTTTTCCTCTCTCCTCGCAGGTTGTTGTTGGTGGGCGCAACAAGTACATGATCAATGGAGTGACCGCCACCACAAACCGTGTTCAAGATCTCTTCCGTTCAGTGCAACTCAACGTCAACAACCCTCACTTCCTCATCATGCAGGGTCGCATCACCAAGGTCCTCAACATGAAGCCACCAGAGGTAAACTGTTATTTCGTTCTTCATTATGGTTTTCCCAAGCTTCCAAATTTCCTCAATTGTCCTTGCCCCTAAGTAAACAGTTTCTACAGTTGAACTACTTTCTTTTAGCAAATCTGAGCCATTAATTTATTTATAACCATGAGTCAAACACTGCCTAGCATGTGCCTTATTGTTTACGATGTCTGTAGGCTTCTGCATTGCTTAATCATACAAGTGCTGAGGCTGGCAGAATTTCTGTGGTTTTCAGTCAAGCTAGTTTTAACATTGTGAAGCTTGGCAACCCTTTTTCTATGCTGCTGTTGCCATTGACACTTTTATAAGCAGGTGCCAGCTTTCAGTGGTTTAGACTTTGGTTCAAAGCTGCTAGCCGTTGGTGCTGCTGGTTGAATCTTTTAAAGATATGCTCTTGTTTTGAATCAAAAGGCCACTTCTTTATTTTGTGGGAATGAGAGATTGTGGTCTTTTTTGTTGTATTTTGTGTGTCTTGCTACTTGCACAGCTTCAGTACACCTGTGGAGTTGTCTGCTTCAGATCCTGTCCATGATCGAAGAGGCTGCAGGCACTCGCATGTACGAGAGCAAGAAACAAGTTGCGCAGAAGACCATTGAGAAGAAAGATGCCAAGATCGCAGAACTCAACAATGTGAGTGTGTTTCTGGTGTCCCCGTTCCTTCCTTCTGTCTGAGGCGTTCTTTTATTCCCTTTCTTTTGGTTGCCTTTGAAGAATGGCATTCTGTTTCCAGCAGACGGATGGCTTGAAGCTTCTGCCTTGGTCTGTGTTGGGGTAACATAAGTTACGATGCCACTCCTCTCTATCTAGTTGCATCCCGATTTCAGTTACAATTCTCCAGAACTGATCCTACTCTGTATAATTGTAGTCAAGTTTTATGCACTGTCTCATACTTTGTGGTGCACCCAACATTGTGCCGCGAGCTCACCGGCCGTGACAGAGCCTCAACCGCATGCGAGCCTTGGTTAGGCAACTATGAGCACTTCCACTGTAACGGACGCAAGCTGCCGCCCGTTACAAAGGGTTTAGCCATTAACATCCATCCATTCATCCGATTAGGCATGCCACTAACTTTTGTCAACCTTCAGACATTTGGTAAAGCTTGATGAAATTCAGCTCTTGAGCAGTGTTGCCCAACTTCTGCACAAATTTTAAATTTTTTAAAGAAATAATTCATGCTGTGTTATTTAAATTCTAGAAAAATATGATTACCAGCATTCATGTCATTTAAAAGCAAGTATATAACTTTTAATAATTTAGTTAGTTTGTTACACTCCTCCTCCAGGTGGTATTACACCATTCTCGATTTATGTGCATAAAAGTCAAACTTTTGTCAGACCGTGTGCGAAATGCTTCGAAAATGTTGTACCTAGTCGAACTCAAACCTTGGCAGGTTTGCAATATCCCTACTTGCAATAATTTTGACTCTCTCATGAAGTAGTCCCCTTAGAAAGTTCTAGCCTGTCTTTTTGAGTTACTTGCTGTTTCAAGCAATACTAGGTGGCCCAAGTAGTTCAGAACTTGTATGTGTGTGCAGCACGCTCGTGTCTCAATGCCCTTTAAGTTTGGTGCCTAACGGTCATTCTCTTTTGAACAGGTGCTTGCGGAGGAGATCACGCCAACGATCGAAAAGCTCAAGGAAGAAAGGCAGGCTTACCTGGCCTACACCAAGGTCTCGAGGGAGCTGGACCACCTCACTAAGCTGTACATCGCCTGGCAGTATGTCGAGACTGAGGTGGGCTGCATTGCCGTGTTCACTGCTTTGCTGTCCTGATAAACAAAATTTATTGAGACCCTTAGTAGCTGGGGTGGATGTTTGCTATCTTCCAATGGCAAGTTTGTCACATTCTGTGTCAAGATGGCAGTGCTAAGTAAATGCTAGTGGAAAATAGGGATGCCGCGAACTTTTTTCGAATCGAAGTTTCGATGATCGAATCAAGCGGTTCGAAAGGTTCGAAAGATTTCGATTTTTCGAATTGTCTACATCGTAAAATTCGACGGAAGTCGAATTTTCGAACTTGTTAAGCTAAGAAGTTCGACGCTTTTCGAACCGTCGAACTTATTACGCTAGAAAATTCGATCTTTTTCGAACTTTCGAACTTATTGCGCTGCAAAGTTCGATGCTTGTCGAACTTCCGAACTTAACTGACCAAAAAATTAGATGAATTTCGAACTTATTTATGAAGAGAATTCGAAAAGTTTCTAACTTTCGAATCCTGAAAAGTCAGAAGTTCGACGAACTTCGAACTTTTAAGGTAAAAGTTCGTCGAACTTCGAAAGACCGGCGGACGGTTTCATTTGAATTCAAGTAGTGAGGTACATTCGTAATTTTTTTTTCTCGAACTTTTACACGCGGTGCTGCGTTCCTTACGAAAGACAATGCCGTTTGTTTAAATGTTCTGGCATGCTTAGTTTTAAAGAAATAAATTCCCGAAGGGGCGAGGAAGGACGACGAGTTTTTGACAATTATCGTTTGTGCCAGATTTGAAGCGCGCTGTAGCCGAAGCTATTTATGGTAGAGATGTTATACTTTTTTAAAGAATGATCTATGTATAGCCTAGGTAAGTGCCGTCTTAAGATGTGATTATTGTTATTCAACGTGAGTTTCGAAGAAATGTCCAAACATGTATCTACATGCAATTATGCCCTAAACTTGATATTTATTTTCGTCTAAGTTGTTTGAGGTATCGCATTTAAATGAACACCACGGACAGTACATATCATTGCCATCTGCAGAATACAAAATAATGTATTTATTGTTTTTTTTTCACGTAATTAACTCATGGAAGAAGATTTATAATAGTGTTTAAGTTCAGCACGTCATTAAAAGAAAACTTTTTTTTTCGCTTCACGTTCCTGGGACGTGTTTCTTTTATCCTGTACATATTTTGGTAAAAGAAGCTTGTTTCGAAGTTCTGAACCTCTGAATATGCAAGAATACAACACTTCCGGCGAATTCTTGATAGTTTTTTTTTTCTCCAGCTTTTTATCCGCGCATTTATTCCTTTTTTTTTTTTATTGGCACAGGTATTTAGCTTGAAAAGACATAGCTTTGAAATTCCGAACCACTAAGCATGTGACGAGTAGTGCCTTCTGACAACGAGTTTCTAACAATGACCATCTACGCAATCTTTTATGCAGTGAAGAGCAACAGTAGCTGTACATATGCATAAATAATTTCAGATTAAAATTAGCTCGACCACGTCCTCTTTCCCCGTATTGTTTTCTTTAACAGTCCGAAATATCTGGAAGGAGGGAAGAAAACTAAAGCCCCCCACCCCCCCCCCCCCCTCCTCCCCCCCGCTACCCTCTTTCCCCCCGTTTTTCCTCTTCCGACGCCACTTGTATGGTAGAACGCTTCTCGACCTCGAGTTGTGTCGGCTTTTTGCGAGGCGATTCCTCCGTCCCAGAAAATAAACCTCCAGGACAATTACAAACTTAACTTACTAAATGCCAGCGTCATTCGGGCGGCGTTCGATCGGATTACTACCAGCGTGCAAGAGGTGGCGAGGCAGTTTGCCAGGTCGCTACAAGGTTTTTCTGAGCCTCAACCTCCTGCCCACCCCTGGCCGTTTCGAACTGGATGAGTCTCGTAAAACAGTGTGTTCGTGTGATCACCCCCCCCCCCCCCCCCCCCCCCCCCGGGCTGGCAGTCACAATTACTGATCTATGGTCACACGTCACTCTGCACTACCAAATATTCCAGCACATCCGGGACACTCGTCGTCTCATTTAATTGCCTGACCAACTTCGCAGAATCTAGATATCACACCCTAACTTTTCTAAACTTGATTTTGTGAAAACCAGTGAGTCGTGAAAACGTTATTTGAAACAAACGGTGGAGGAACTTGAAAACCGGACTTCGAACTTTGAAAACTTGGACTAGAAAGGAATTCAATATCTTCGAAGTTTTTTTTTTCTTTTTTTTTTTTTTTTTGAAATTAGCGATAAAAGAGAATCGAAACCTTAACATTTCAAACTTTTTGCAGAAAGAAATTCGAAATCTTTGATTTGTTCGAACTTCATGTCTATAAAAATTCGAAGCGTTCGAAGTTTTCGAATTTCATTTCCAAAGAATTTCGAAATATTCGAATTTATCGAACCTGAAGTAAAAACATATTCGAAATATTCGAATCCGAAATTTTAGAAACCGTGAAAGCTTCGAACTTTTCGAATTCGAAACTCCACTGTGATCGAAAGTTGCGAATTTTTCAAATTCGAACCTCGGTCGGTACGAAAATATCAAAATTTTTCGAAATCGAACCTTAGTTCACTTCGCAAATATCGAAACCTTTCGAAATCGAACCTGGGGTGGTTCGCGACATCCCTAGTGGAAAACATACCTGTTGAGTCTAAAGCCAGCACTTCCACCTTCCAAAATATTGCATTGAGCCTACAAAAGATGATATATTTACCGTGTTCAAGGTGGATCCTAGTACTGTAATATGAGCGGAGAAAATTGGCGCGTGCACATAGGAAGCTGAAACTTTCACCGAATGCGCATTTAGGTGGTGCATTTTACCTAGTGAGATTTCAAGTTGTATCCTTCCCATGAAAGATAAGACCAGCGAAATTGCCAGAGTCAACAATGAGCATGTTCACAGATAAAATATAGCACCGTTAATATGCCAGTTCTTCTAAGGTTGTCAGTTGTTGTCATGACTGCTGAGCCATTATGGCACTTGGATCCTCATGAAGCCTCGCAAATGTCTAGGTCCGCCATTCAACTCCCATCTCAAGAGTCCCGTGCAGTGTTCGGCACGCACAGGCGCATCACTTTCGAATGGGCATTTTCTTGTGCAAATATTTGTACGAGAAACGCATCTGAAAAAGCTATGCTCTTAGGCTTGTGCCTTTGAATGCATTACGCACAACCTGTGAGATTGTTGTGTGTTGATCTGTACTTGGATGCCAGCAACTGGAATGCACACTTCTGTATTAAGTTGCTTCCTCCTAGTGTTTTTTTTTTTTTGCCTGGCTCAGTGGCTGTGGCTCGGTTTGTATAGAGCATGCACGGCGTTCTTCACCATACAGAATGGAAGCCAGCAGTCGGGCAGAAGGTTGGAAGAAACGAAGGCCAAGATTTCGAAGTCCCGCACCACCATCGATGAAATTAATGCCAAGACGAAGGACATAGGCAAGGAGATTGCGGAGCTGGAGCGCAGGCGGAAAGAGGTATGTTGAATTCACTGCTTTCAATGCGCCTACCTTCAAAACCTGCAAGTTGCTCGGGTTGCAGGATTTTAAAAGTATGCCCTAGACATGCAAATGTGCTGTCTGAAGCAGTATTGCTGAAACTTCCCCAAAGCATCTTCTCATCTGCATCTTCTCAAAAATGTGTATCATCCACCTTGAAGGTAAAAGGCTGCTCACATTTGGAGATCGCATTGGTGTGGTCTCTCGCGCTTAGTTCCAATTACATTCACATTTCCAGCTTTAGTTTCCCAAGTTTTGACATTTGCACAGCTGGCTTTTAGTAACACTAAAGCATGTCGTTTAGTTCAAACATTTGCAGCAGCAGTTTTGTTATCATCAAGTGAATTCAAAAATTGTAGTTTGACGGAAAGTTTTGATGCTTCAAAACTCAGTTCCTTCTGCTGTGAGCATTGTACTCCTGTAAATTTTTTTTCTGGGTTTTGCAATCCCTCTGGAATTTGCTGTGGTCGCCTGGCCTTTGTACGAGTGCAGACTTGAAGTTGCCGGTGCCATTTATCGAGCCAAGCATGTTTGAACTCTTAGGAGACTGGAGACCGTCTGGATGCGCTTGAGAAGGACCTGAAGGAGAAGCAGTTGGAAGAAACCAAGGTGAACTCTGACATCCAGTTTACCAAGGACCAGATCAAGGGAGAGGCCAAGAACCAGGCAGGCTTCAAAAAAAACATGGATGAGGTACATACCGACGACCACATATACTCTGTTTACCGCTTTGTCTCTCGCGGTGTAGCGCAGGGACTTTCAAACTTGTGAACCTCGAGGAATCCCTATCTCTCTCGACTGCTAGACGAGAAATCCTCCCCGGTCCCAGCATTGATGCAATAAAGCATCCCTGAACCATGCAGACCATGTGAACAATAATGCACAGGCTAGTAAGTGTTTGGTTCATAGTTACGCATCCACGGGTGGCTCAGATTCGCTCAAATGCTGCTTAGACGAAGAAAACGCTTTTACGTAAGGATAGGGGCGGTCGAGAAAGTTTACATGCTCGGGGAATGCATTAATGTACTCTGGGGGAACCCTTTGGGGAATCAAGTTTGGAACCTATGGTGTAGCATGTTGCAGATTGCGTCCAGCACCCCCGCTTCCCCCCAGATATTTCGGACTGTTAAAGAAAACAATACGGGGAAAGAGGGCATGGTCGAGCTTACTTTATTCTGAAATTATTTATGCATATGTATAGCTACTGTCGATCTTCACTGCACAAAAGATAGCGTAAATGGTCATTGTCAAAAACTTTTTGTCAGAAGGCGCTGCTCTTCACATGCTTAGTGGTTTGGAAGTTCCAGGCAATGTCTTTTGGACCTAAATAGCTGCAATTGGTAAAAAAAATTAAACGTAACAATAAATGCGCGGATAAAATGTGTACAAGCTAAAAGAGACATGTCCCAAAAACGTGAAGCAAGGAAAAAAAAAAGTAAAAATGGCTTTCTCGTTTAATGACTTGCTGAACTTAAAGGGGCACTGACACCCCAAAGGTCGTATTTATTTTTATTGTCTAAAACGATGCAAGTTGCAGTCATAGACACGCAAAAAAAACCGCATCGCGAAAAAAAATTTCCTTGCGCGCGCGCGCGCCTTTTTATTTTTGGCGTTTGATTTTCCCGCCTCTCGCCTGCTCGCTTCTTTTGATCTGTGACGTCAAGAATCATGAAATTTAGAAGCTTTGTAGGTAACATCTCTATAACATTTAATTACGGCAATCCTAAAACATGTTTTTTAACGCAATTACGAACGCACTACGGCCCTTCTTTTTGAAATACCAAAAATCTGGAGTTCGTTGTGGTGCCGCCTCCTGGATTTGTATCCTCCAACGGAAAACAGGCGGCACCGCTCAAAACCGGTCCGCCGCAACGCCGGCGCCCGCTCCTTTCCTCCTCGCTTTGGGTCGCCATGGCAACAGCAGGGAGTGGTGAAAGAAAGTAGACTCTCAGGGCTCCGCAATTTTTGACGTCAAGGCACCGGCGCCGATCGCGCGGGAACTTCGAATTCGGCATTTGGAAATTGTTTTTTTACTTCACAAATACTGAATTCCCAAATTTCAAATTTTGAGGGTAATGTCCCGGCATCGTTTTCAATCGTTTCGGATAATAAAAAAAAAATATGATTTAGATGTGTCAGTGCCCCTTTACACAATATTAGAAATCTTCCCCATGAGTTAATTTATTCCTCAACGTGGCAAAACATTATATACATTATTTTTTATTCTGCAGATGGCAATGAAATGTACTGTCTGTGATGTTAATTTATACGCGACACCTCAAACAATTTAAACGAAAAAAATAACCAGGTTTATGGTACAATTGCCCGTAGATACAAGTTTGGACATTTCTTCGAAACTAGTCTTGAATAACAATAATCATATTCTAAGACGACACTTACCTAGGCTATACATAGATAATTCTTAAAACGTTTAACATCTCTACCATAAATAGCTACGGCTATAGCGCGCTTCGAATATGGCACAAACAATATTTGTCAAAAACCAGTCGTCCTTCCTTGCTCCTTCGGGAATTTATTTCTTCGAAACTAAGCATGCCAGAACATAGAAATAAACGGCATTGTCTTTCGCAAGGAATGCAACACCGCATGTAAAATTAAAAAAAAAAAGAAAAAAAAATTATGAATGTATTTTACTGCTTGAATTCAAATGAAACTGCCCGCCGGTCTTTCGAAGTTCGCAAACTTTTGACTTTTCAAGATTCGAAAGTTAGAAAATTTTCGAATTCTCTAAAGTCGGTGACTGGTCAACAACAAAGTGATAGCTCCTCCCACCCCTTTCCACTTTAGCAGAGTGAATGGTGGAGAGGAGGTCGCCTCCCCTCCATCGTTCGCTGTACTAAAGTGGAAAGAGGTGGGAGGAGCTTCCATTTCGTTCTTGACCTGTCACCGACTATAGATATACAAGTTTGAAAATTATTGAATTTCTTAGCATAGGAAGTTCGAAAGTTTGAAAAGCTTCCAACTTTTTAGTGGAAGAAATTTGAAAATCATCGAATTTTTTTAGTCTATCAAGTTTGAAAGTTCGACAAGCATAGAATTTTGCAGTGTAATAAGTTTGAAAAGGATCAAATTTTTAACGTAATAAGTTAGAAAAACATTGCATTTCTGAACGTGCAAAGTTCGAAATTTTGAAAAGCGTCAAACTTTTTAGTTTGACAAGTTCGAAAATTCAACTTTTGTCGAATTTTTCAATATAGAAAGTTGGAAAATTCGAAATCTTTCGAACCGCTTGATTTGATCATTGAAACTTTGGTTCGAGAAAAGTTTGCGGCATCCCTAGTTTTAACACGTAAAACCCCTAATTTTTAGTTTATGAATCTTTTTTTTATATAGGCAATTTTTTCTAGGATGAGCTGGGTGAGCACATGCATTTTTGTCTCGTCAATACGAACAACTCCAGTGATGTGATTGCTGCGCCAATTGCGCCAAACTGCGCCAAAGAACTAACCCTGCTACATCCTGCTACATTTCGCCAAAATATGGCTAATCTGCGCCAACCTTGCGCCAAAAGACCAATTTTGGTCGCCTTTCAAAAGCGAAACTAAGCTGAGAACTGTAATTGAGCATGCGTGAGCTAGGTGGCACAAGACGCCGCCCGACACAAAGTACCCTGCATCAATCGTCTATTCGGTCTTTCATGGTTTTTTCCGCCGTTCGCGTTTCGCTTCGCGCTCCGCTTCGCGCTCTTGTCTTCTCGGGAATCTCGGCTCGCGTCTTTTTTTCTTTTTTCTTTTTTTAATTTTTTAGCGATAGACGCGGGCGTGTGCGAACGCTCCGACGTTAGTTAGTGTGCCGGGTTCCAGACATGCCGTCATGCTGCGAAACAATATCACGTTTTTGCGCGGCGAGAGTTACTTTGTGAGCTGAAGCGCACGCGCGACACCGCAGTCGCCGTGGTCGCGCGACGTCGTGTGTTGCCGTCCCCACGTCGCTGCAGATGTGGCGCTTTCTAAACTGAAACGCATCGACATTCCTGCTCTTGTTTAAATCATACGCTGCTATAAAAATCCCTCTTTAACTCAATGACTGCTTGGCGAAGTTTTGATTACCTAGGTTTCTCTCGGTGGACTTTCTTTCGAGAGGGACCCCGGTACGTGGAAAATCTGCCGCTAAAGAAAGTTGATGACGAGAAGTGAGCTAAAGCGAAGAAGGCAATGGTCTGCACGCTGAACCCGCACACCGCGCTTGTTTGTCTCGAGTTCAGTCGTTGGACATAGCGCTCCAAGAACTTTTTGACCCTGATTCGCAGTGTCTTGCATCGATACGCTCAGGTTTTTTTTTTTTGTGTGTTCAGCCTGTACCTCGCCTGCCGGCCTGGCAAGCACGTGCCGCTGTACTGTTTATTGTCGTATGCTGGACAGTTACATTTTGCATACTATTTGGGAACCAGTTGGCGACGGAGCGGAGTGGCATGGTTTCGGTTTCGGTCGAACAGCCGTTGTCTCCGCTCGCGCGACGAAGCACGTGTAACTGCAAGCTTGCCGAAGTTGCCCTCACGTGCATGTGAACATGATTGCACGAGAGGCACCAGCCGGGACGCTTGCAATCCATTGTTTTACGTTTGCTTACTTTTTATAAAAATCTGCCACGTCGGAAACCAGCAAAACGATAGCAAGTTTTTCTTCTTTTTTTTTTTTCTAAATTGCTTGGCAACGCCTACAGCACTGTATACTTGTGGGATGTCTCAGCAGCAAAAACACAAGCAGCGAATTCCGCCCCAACACGTCACACGCATCACAACACAACACAAAGTGCCCTTCGTTTGTCCAGCACTTAAAACAACTATTTATTTTTCTAACAGTATATGCTCCAAAAGTCACTTTTTCTGCTCCGAAACACTGTTTTGGCTGCTCCAAAATTCACTTTTGCTGCTCCAAAACACTGTTTTGGCTGCTCCAAAAGGTGCTCCAAAATGGCTTAGGCCAATCACATCACTGAACTCGCATTATGGACTATTTTTATGGGGAGCAGAAGCGTACTTGTTAACGAGGCATCGCTGTACCGTCCCATTGGTCTGCCGAAAAACTGATCGGGATCGGTTTGATTTTCCTTTGAGCGCAGGATAACGCTGCCCTGGTGAGCAAGCAGAAGCAGGCCGACAAGCTGCAGGCAACTGTCGATGCCCTCGCGGAGAGCAGCCAGAAAGACGCCGAAGCGGTGGCGGCCGCAAACAAGCACTTCAGGGCAGTCACAGCTGGCCTCTCCAGCAATGCTGACGGAGAGGAAGCAACCATCACGGAACAGCTGAGGGGTTGGACCTCTTTCCTTCCTTTTCTCTAAATGGGTTCTAGTATCCCGATTGTCCGTATTTTGCTGTACTGTTCTTTGTAACCATAGTGCAGCTCATCCAGATGTTCACTTGGGGCTTCCTGAGTTTGGGGCGGTTTCATGGACACACGTTTCGTAGACGCTGCGACGTTTCGTGGAAATTTCTCGCAATTTTTTGGCAACATTGTATCCGAGTGGATTGGACTATTGGCTTTTGTCTAGTTCGGCAAAAGTATATTGGAACTATAGCAGAGCCACCCAAATGGCTCCGATAAAGCAAAAAATAAAAATTTGTTATCTCCACACTTGTGCTTCCAAACATGCCGCGCAAAGGGTCACCCCCTTGGTTCACTTTGCTTTGCTCGGTAAAACGGATTGTATAATCTCTAGGCATGGGCGAATAGAGGATTTCGGGTCAGCATCGAATTCGAAGCGAATAGTGATTTTGGTCGAATAATTTCGAATCGAATAGTACAAGCAAAAAATACCATAAGATATGTTTAAACCATAGTTTTATATTTGCCCTTATTTGGTATTAGATATATTGTAATTGTTAATTTCAAGTGTATTGAGTTCGGTAGCACGAAAGGGTCGAAACAGTCGGAAGCTTGCGCCACCCGGCCGTAAATCCAAGCCAGAGTAAGTGAAACCCGTTTACATCGAACTCACAAAAAAAGTCTACCAGTTCGATATAGCGGGTATTTCGTTATAAAAGTTTTAATGAATTTGACTCTCAAAAATCTACTTTCTGCTGCAATATTACACAATGAAGTAATCTTGCATCTTCTGCTGCTTTTTCTTCATTGCATCTGCGATAACAATATTTTTCTACGCTATCGACGGACTCCAGAATGCTGAGGCCGCTGCCTTCTATATTTGCGCATTAGCGCCGAACTATGCCGAGAGCACGGAGCACGTCTGAGCAGGAGCACCTTCTCCTGCAGAGCGCAGTTTTGCTCTGCAAGCTGGCTTTCCCTTAAAACAGGTGGCTGCGTTGGGGGAAGCCAACTAGCAAAGCAAGCTGGCTTTTTTTTTTTTTTTTCTCTCTCTCTCTGGGCGGTTGCATTAATTTGGAAGAAAAAATAGGGAATCGTAGTAGACAGTTTTTCTCCTCCGCTACGGTATCCGTCAAGAAAATGCCGCCAGCCTTATTTGCCTAGTTCAAGATCTTGTGGCGGATTACGGAGCGCTATCCGGGTGCTTAGCGGTCTACGATCTACGAAAACTCCCTATTTTCGTTTCTTCCAAGCGATCGACGCGACCGCGGGGGAGAAAAAAAAAAAAAAAACAGTCAGCGGGCTTTGCAACCTGGTTTTTCCCCAATGCGGCCGCCCCCGTTGGGGGAAAGCCAGCTTGCAGAGCAAAACGGCGCTCTTGACAGTTCGATATGTCGATAGCAGCTGCTATTTTTGTTCGATGCAACCATAGTTTTTGCTATATATTATCACTGTAACATCACTGTGCACAAAAATTGTTCGATATAAGGTGTAATTCAATGTACCAGGTTCAATATAGTCTGGTTTGATTGTATTTAGAAAGGTAGAATAATTCTATATAGTCGAATAATTCGATATTGTCGAATACTTAAATTCGATTCGAAGCGAATGCCGAATAGAACAGGAATTCGATTGGCTGTCCCTAATAATCTCGGGCTCCAGGTTATGCTAAGCTTCTCTAAACCATTGAGGGTCCAGCAAGCTAGGCTACCTTCACGATTTCGTTAGTGTGCGCGGAAAGAAGTCGCCAGCAAAACGTTGTGAGTAGTGTCGACGGAATGAACGCGGGCTTCTTTAGATGCAACGTCACAGCGCCGACGAGACATCATTCAGTGAACTGGTTGCCACTGCGGCCAGCTGTACGTCTGCAGTCGTTTTGTAACGTTCGCGCAACTTGTGGCAATGCCTTTCTTTTTTGTGGCATCAAATCTCGCACAACTGAACACAGGCAGAGGCATCCGCGGTAAAGTGGTGCAGCTAGCACCATTTCGCATTGTTCATGGTTGTCCTTGCTTGCAGCGGCCAAGAGCGACATAGCGGAGGCAGTGACGGCGATGCGCCAGGCAGAGATGGACCTTAAACACTCTCAGGAGGAGTCCAAGAAGAAGCAGGCAGAGTGTCGCAAGACGGAGTCGAGCTACCAAAAGGACGATGCTGCCAACAAGGCCATCGAGAAGGACATCAATCTCCTTAAGGTTGGTGGCATACTTTTGGTCTTTTATGCAAGGAAGCAAATTTGGCCCTTGGACTATGGACCCTTCTATTGTTTACAAAAACAAGTTGTCTTTTTCCCTCCAAGAGACTTCCGGTCGCTCCGTTTCGGCAGGCTATCCGAGCCTGTTGATGTCGGAATTTCTTCTGCTTTGCTATAATCTTCAACAAATTTCTCACTGACCGGTTCTTTAGCTAATCACCCTGCGAATTGGTCAAAATATTTCATGAACTCTACAAGAAGCGTTGCTACGGTGGGGGTTGTTTGTTCTCTAATTTGACCGCAAGTTCACAAGGACGTAAACTGCCAACAGTGCCTCCTTCCGGTGCTTTCAATAAAAGGTTTATAGTTAGTATGGGCCGATTTCCGGTGAAAATAATTTCCCTTGTATAGTATGGACCCGGTGCATAATCTGCACATAAAAGGGTTCTCATACACAGCACATTTTAAAAAGTGCCGGCTTATTAGCGCGCAAAGAAGCTTATATCATTCAGAAACCATTAAAATAACCTGTCAATCGTGAAATCTATTGTGTCACATCGTGGAAAAGCAACAAGTCCTTGTGTAGTCTGCACCTGTAAGATAATCTGCACTACATAAAGTTGAATCTTTTAAGCATGTGTAGTCTGGAAAATGTGATAGGTATTTTGTAACCAAAACGCCTACATTTGTGCGATAGTTAGGTTAGGCCGTGTTCGGCCTTTTGCCTTTCGTTTGAGACGTTGCTCACTTGTTGGACGCAGGCTCAGATGAGCAAGCTCAACTATGAAGAGGGGAAGGAGGAGGCACTGCTCTCGCAGAAGCAGCAGTTGCAAAGGGAGGTCAACACGCTGAGCCAGAAAGTGGACGTCTTTGAAGCAAGGTGGGTTCCCTCTCCGTGCCACTTTCCTCGGGTTCGTGGCGGTGGTACAGGCGGCATATAAAACGCAGAATTTGTTTTCAGCATCTGTAAGTTGTGTGACAACAGCCTTATTTGTGATTCTTGGGGGCCCACAGAGGTGTAGAAGTGATCGTTGCAGTTGATTGCTTTTGGCAATACAGTCCAACCTCGTTATAACGAAGTAGCATCGGGCGTGCAAATTCGTTCGTTATATCCAATATTCGTTATAAAAGTACTCAGAAAAATTTGTACAAACGCAACGGCAATTGGGCCTGTGCAAAAAGTGCTCGAACATGCATAATGCTAAGATATAAAAACGGACTGTAGGGGAATTCGAATCCCGTAATAAACATATAAATCCTTACCTGTCACCTAGGGTAGGATTAAAAAAGTTGAACCGGCACAATATGAATTGAATTTACAACCGAGGAACCATGTTGCCAGAGTCCGCAATTGAATTTATTTGAAGAAAGACGTTATCTTCGATTGGTGGACTTTCACGGCATTGAGTAGTATGAACTTCTCGACAGTGTCCATGCAGGCGAGAGCCTTCTCCACTTCAGTGGTTTTTGCCGTGGGGAGCTTCTCCAAGTAGCTTCGCAGCTTTGTCACGATGTCCGCGGCATCCGCAGTACTTGTGCGAGGTTCTTCAATGTCGTCGTCGCTCTCACCTTCGCTGTCAGTGCCGCTATTCTCTCCGGTACAACACAACACGGTCCACGATTTCTTGGTCCGTTAGCTCGGGCGCCATGGCCAAGTTGTCGTCGGTGGAGACGAAGTCTTCGAATGTGATACTATCCGGCAACGTCAACCGATCCCACGGTGTCTCGTCAAGTTGCGCCACTGGGTCTTCAGGATGTACTTCGTCGGAGGACAGAACGAAGCCGGCATCTATGAAACAGTTCCTTATCGTTGACCGTCTCACGTCATTCCAAGATCCATACAGCATTGTCAACGTTGTCTTCATGTTGATGGCTGTGGGTTGGCGCCGGTCCGTGTCGAACACAAGCTGCGTCGCCAAACGCTTCCGATACGAGCACTTCAAAGAACGGATGATGCCCTTATCCAAGGGCTGGAGAACCGACGTTGTGTTGGGTGGCAGAAACATTAGGCGGACTGCCTTCAGTGGGCAAGACACCTTGTGCGCCGAACAATTGTCCAACAGAAGAAGGACCTTCCTATGCTGCTCCTCCATGTCCTCATCGAAAGCCTTCAGCCAGTCCTCGAAGAGCTTCGTCGTCATCCACGCATTTTTGTTTGACCAGTAATCAACCTGCAGATTTCGAACACCCCGTAGGCACCTAGGGCGAGCAGACTTTCCGATGACTGTCAACCGCCTCTTGTCGGAGCCATCCATGTTGACCGCAACGACAGCAGTTACCCGGTCTTTGTGCTTCTTCCCTCCGTGGCAGGTTTCGTTTTTCACAGCCAATGACCGCTCCGGCAACAACTTGTAGAAAACTCCAGTCTCGTCGACGTTGTATACGTTACGTTCTTCATATTCTTGGAGTAGAGGTCGGAAGTTTTCGAGCCATTTCTCGCAGGAGTCCAAGTTAACAGCGGATCCTTCGCCAGACAGGGTGTGGCAGACTATCTCGTGCCGGTTCTTAAAGCGCTGAAGCCAACCGCTACTTGCCCTGAAGTCATGATGCCCCAAGAGGCATGCTAAACTGACGGCTTTCGTTTGCAGAAGAGCACCAGACACAGGCAAGTTTCGCGCTCTCACGTCCTTGAACCAGGAGAACAAAGCCTCTTCCACATCGGGGTAATGAGAAGGCCTGTCACGCTTTCTGTCGCCTTTCAGAGTGCTGTTGGCGTAGGTCTCTTCAATCTTCTTCCTCGAACTTAAGAGAGTAGACAATGTGCTGGGTGGGATCTTGAAGTCCTTTGCAACATCTTTCTTCTTGCGGCCGCTGTCAACTGCTCTTAAAATTTTAACTTTCGTCTCGAGAGACGGAGCTTTGCGCTTCAACGTCGCCATTTTCTGCTCCCAGATTGTCTGACTGCCGTCGCTGTCGCTTTGGCACTCTAAATTTTAGTGTTTGATGACGCTTATAGGTGGCGCCGCTGGTGCGCCATCTTTTAGGGTTTATGCACCCGCTTCATAGATGGCGCCAGTCACCTCCCAAAGCGCTCGTTCGAGCGTTGGCAACGTTCGGTATCTTGAAAATCGGCACTGAATTTAGGTACATTGCCTTTTTACATGGTAATTTATAGATTTTATTTCTTTTTGTTTTGGTATTGCACATATTTCGAGCCGTGCGCGGCCGAAAATAATTTCGCTATAACCGATACCGCGTAGGATTCCGTGGTTTCGGTTTCGTTTTAAAGGTCGAACTTCCATTGAAATAAAGCATAACCAACCAAAATTTATATTTACTTCGCTATATCCGATAATTCGGTATATCAGTGTTTGTAATAACGAGGTTGGACTGTACTGCGTGAAATACCCAAGAAAGTTTGTTTGTTTGTATTTTGCACAAAAAGATGAGCCTATGTGTGCAGAATATGAAGTTGCAGCGTTGAAATCCTTCAATGAACGTTTAGTTGCAAGCAGACATGTACATGCTACCCAAAAGAAGTAACTACTAAATATTGTTGCTCATTACTCGCTCAAAACTATCTAAATATGTTACTTGTTACTGATCCTCCAAAGGAACAGCTTACTTTACCTCAAGAGCAGGATTCTCTCCAGGAATGTTTGAGGGGTGAACATAACCACCATGCGAGCGGCAGGTGGAGGGGAGGTAGTTTGCAATGCGGTACGATCTGGCTTGCTGACAGTAAATCGAATTAGGGTGGTGCCCAGTGTTTTCCTTGCGAGTCCCACGGCTTGATGTGGTGGCGCCCTGTGTTTGTTTCTGTTGCGCAGGAACCAGCACCTGAGCTTCCACTATACTGACCCCGTGAAGAACTTTGACCGGCGTAAAGTACTGGGTCTGGTGTGCGACCTGTTCACCATCAAGGACAAGAGAGCGGCTCGAGCTCTGGAGATGGCCGCGGGGGGCAAGGTATGCGCCCCTGCTTTTTGCTCTGCAATGTTTCGGACAGCTTGAAGTCCGAAAGTTTGATTATTTGGACAAAATCGTCGTGAGCGATGAGCGGAAAACACCATCGAGAAGCGGCCATTTTGAATTCTATGTTGGCTGCAAATGGATTGGCTTGGTTTGGCAGCGCTACTTGAGCACTCCCGAGTCCTACCGCTAGGGGACGCTATGCTAGCCCTTTTTTTTCCCATTTAGCTGCACGTCATCATCATCATCACATTATCATTTTGCTTTGTTTTTCGTTCCTTCGCGTCACCAGTCGCCATTTTGCGCTCGTGGATTTAAGCCTCTGATCTCTTTCGGAAAACGCTGGCTTGGACGTCATGGCCCCATACGTTGTTCTGCTGCCGCGATCCGTAGTTCAGAAGCGCAGAAAGTACTCGACCATAACGCTAGAAAAGAATGCAGCGATTCTCAAGCTAACAGAAAGTTGCTGAACGGAAACGGAGGCGTAATCTAAAGCAAGGCACGCAGGCGTAACCTGAACCAAGGCACTATTTACATCTTTTTTTAGCCCACTTGGAAGTAATCAAGGCAAGTTTTTCAATCTGCTGATTTTTCGGACTGCTCTATTATTCGGACGTTTTTTCGGTCCCAGCGAAGTCCGAATAATCTCTCAGCGACTGTATGTCAAAGCACGGAGTGGCTATGTTAGTTCGCATTTATGGCAATTAAAAAGTGGTTTATCTATTAAAGAAACATGTATGACGTTTTTGTGAGCAATCTTTCTAATGAATAACAGCACTGTGCATCAGGGCTATTCATAGCCTCTCCGATTCTTAGTTTTTCGGATCTTCGGAGGCTGCTGTAGAAAAAGGTTTTGCATTCACCAGAGTAAATGACTTACTGTGTTCTTAGCTGTGCAGGCACGCACAGTTGTCGCAAAGCGCCGCACACTTGTTTTAGCTACATTGAGCTTGTTGGTACCGACGCTTCTATCAGAGTGTCACTCGACAGTTGCTGACGAGCAAGTGCTCGTCAACAACTGATGCTTAGTTGCTCCCGCATCTAATACATTGCAAAGAAGTTTGTCACATTGCGACTTCTGCCAACACCTTGTAGGTAAGAAAGCCCAAGTGCTGAATTTTTCCGCGTCTCTAAAGCAGGCCATCGGAGCACACAGATTGGACACAATTACGGCGTCAGCATTTGGCTAGGAGTTGTGTTCTCACTAATTGGACATGAATCCTAGTCGAACGCTGACGGCGTAGTCATGTCCAATCTGTGGCCAACGGTGTCTTTCTTTAGTGACGCAGGAAAGTAGTTAAAGGGGGATTGCAATTTCCATACTTGGGTCTGCGCTTACGAAGTCCTGGTTTCAAACTGTCTGGGGTAGTTTTAACATTCTAAGTTGAGAGATTCCATTCATCTGGCTTCTCGTCGCAGGTTATAAACGAGGTGGTAGGGGCCTTGCTACGTAAGATCAAAGGGTGTCGGCAAAGCAAACCTAGAGATCACCAGAAACAAATAGCGGTGGTTCCATATACCTATGCACAAAACACCACGTAATTTAAAAGGAGCAGCCAAAGGGTATGATGTGCCTGTGGTGTTTTCAGCTCCAAAAAAATGGTGAAAATCTGCTACAAGGTTTGTTCGACAACAGAAAAACAGAAAAAAGCCAAGTGCCAGAAACGCCACAGCCACCTGTATGTGTCATGTTCAACTGGCGTGTACAGAATCCCATTAACAAATAATAAAAGATATGTGGGCCAAACCGACTGATGCTTGAATGTCCGCCTTGTCAAGCATGATCGTTCACTGAAATCTACGGCATAATCTACACTGCAATAATTGCTTGTGTTCTTTAATCCTTAAAGGCACAGCAATAATTGGACATTATCGAGACAAGACGAGTCGGGGAAATTTTGGAAGTGCATTGCATTAATAGCTTGAGGGACTGCTTTGTTAGCCACCCATTAGTGACACTGCTTCAAACAGAAACCTTGTTTTTAAATCGGACTACGGGGCAAAGACATACAAGTTAGATGGTGTTTTGTCGAGTGTGACACGCTCTGGCACTGCGTGACTTTCAGCACATTATCTTCTTCCTTTTGCGTAGAAATTCAGTGGCGATTCAGTGCTTGTGTGTCGTGCATGTTTCTTTTCTCTGTCCTTGTCTTTTTGTGCGCTGTTCTGTTCGCAATGTCATCATACCAACTCGCCCAGCTTACCACATTCCTGGTTTCATCTTTTTTTGTTAGCCTTCTCGGCAAAGGGGAGACTCTAACGAAAAATAACATTAGCATAATCGTGATGTAGAAATCCCGAGACTGTGGTAAAAGCAGGGAAACTTGATCGAAGGAGACATTCTTTTCCCCTGTCTTTCTTCTTCGACCAAGTTTCCCTGCTTTTACCACAGTCTCGGGTTTACTAGATCATGATCAACATCAACCAGCTCGCCTGCGCACTTGCTGTTTTTTCATTAGCATAATGTCCGACGTCACAATCTAGCATTCCTGTGTGCCCCCCTCCTAGTGAAATCTCCTTTAAACCGACACAGTGTCCCAACTCGTCTCTGCGCAGCTCTTCAACGTGGTGGTCGACACCGAGGAGACAGGTAAACTGTTGCTGAAGAGCGGCAGGTTGAAGCGGCGTGTCACCATCATCCCGCTGAACAAAATCGTGGGCAGGGACGTCGAGCCCGCGGTGATGAGGAAAGCCGAGAGTCTGGTGAGCCTCTTCGCTTTTGTCAGGGTGCCTAGAACGCGACCCTGGACCCTGGTTGGCGTCTCATTGCACCCATGCATTGAAAAAGGTCCCCGAGCAGCAACGAACGGCGTTGCAAAAGCCAGAGTGCCGTGCCGTCGGGGGTTACGATTTCAGCAATCGGTTGTAGAAGCTCCAGCGAAAATCCCGAGAAATTGCTCATGTCACCATCATCGTCCCTCATCTATTGCCGGCGGCACTGCAGCTGCACCCATAATTTCGTTTACGATAAATGCAAGACAAGGGGGAGCTCCGTGCATCTGGTCGCTCTGTAGTCGATGCAATTACGGCATTAGGCGATAAGAATGCCAAAGAAAGGATTCCAAAGCAGGAACATTTATTAAGTCGCATCCTGCGTTCTGCTCCTGTCTGTGACCACGGTTTGAAGCTATGTGTCATTAATTCAAAAATCGGACAAGCTTCATCATGCTGACAAAGACTGGTAAGCACAGAATGTGTTAGTATAGGCCTTCCAAAGGAAAAAAAAAAAGGCAGCGGCGCGCAAACGACTTCACCCTTCAACGCTCGGGCCGCCGACCCATGATAGCTCAGTCGGCAGAGCACTTAGCTCACAATTTTAAGGTAGCAAGTTCGATGCCTACCGGGGGACCCTAGTCCTTATGTGATTCCCTACGTCTGGCTGTTACAGCCAACCTTTACTGCCGAACGTTGCAGAATTTCATGGAAATCGGCTAATAAAACACTTTCTGCGTTAAAAAATGAGTACGGCATTGTGGAGCTGCCCGATTTTGCCAGTAGGTGGCCTAAGCAGTTGCTTCAGCCGACGCTCACGCGTTACATTTTGGGTGTGGCGTGCACCGTACAGATAACACTACGAGTTTTGAGTTGCACTACTGTACCTGGAACTCATCTTGGACCGTTGTCTTGGCATTTTATCCTGCCTATGCATCGAAGGTGGTCCCGTAGCGGCAAGCGAGTCGTGACGGAGAAACGGGCGTGTCGTGTCGTCGTATGCCGAGATCCCGGCGGTTGGCCGTAGAAATTTGGGCAAAAAGTATGAACGAACGCAAGTGTCGCTGTCGCCGCAGCTTCCAGATTCCCGGCTGCTAAAGCGTCCGTGAAATGTCGATCTGAAAAGCGACCTATGGCAGAACAGGCTGTTTGCCACATCCTCCTCTGTTGCTCAGGTGCAGCCATGCTTGTGACCTGGAACAGCGTGCCACACGAACCATAATGCTGTAAATGCGCCGTGAGATACTTTCCGGGCATAATACAGTTCCACTGCACTGGTCAGATTGTGACTCTACAGCAATGCAGTGGAACCGCATAGAGGCAAACCTGCTTTAACAATCGTCTGCAATGATTATGCCTACCTTTACTCTAGTCCAGAAAGGCAGCCGACATGCAAAACCTATGTTGAGGACATGCGCATTTTGTCCTCTCTTTTGGTTACATGGTTTTTTTGGCAAGTTGTGGTATCACTCTCTGCTGTGCAAGGAAGACCGGTGGCTGAAGGTGTTAACGCAACGCAGCTTGGAGCGCACGGGGCAAAAGCTAGCGCTGCAGAACCTGGGATCTTGGGTTCCAACTTCCACAAATGCGTGACATCTTTTCTGCCGCACGCAGGTCGGCAAGGACAAGGTGTTCTCAGCCCTCTCGCTGGTGGACTTCACGCCAGTGGTGGCTTCTGCTATGAAGTACGTCTTCGGCACCACGCTGGTCACGACCAACATGGACGACGCTCGCGTGGTGGCCTTTGACGCCGGAGTCCAGAAGCGGACCGTGTCTTTCGACGGAGCTTCTTTCGACCCCTCCGGCGTCGTCTCTGGAGGTACGCCTTCTCCCCATTCTTGTGCCAGAATGGGGGTCTTAATTAACAGCTGCCTTCGGCTGTCATTTTTGCGTGTCAGTAGATTCTTGTATTGCATACCTTAAAAGTGGAGTTTCGTTAGTCACTAAGTAATTCTTAGAGTACCGACACTCCGTCCCTCAATTTTCTCGCTGGTGCCGCCATTTTGGTACTTGTTGCAGAGTTTGCTTGATCAATGATTTTTACAATTTGAAAATGTAACTTTGTGAGCTCTAGACACGGTGTCAGGAACCTCAGGTGATGGGGGTTTGCTCTGTCATGGATGTTTGTCATGTTTGGAGGATGCAAAATTGTTTTCATAGTTTTCAGATAAATCTTCAGACAACTGGCAACAACATTTCTCAGCACTGTGTTGGCTGGAGTGTTTGCGCTTTCGGAGTTTTTTCGGGGGTGAAATTCAAGGGCAGTTTTTGAGAGCTTAGTTTTCATTGCAAAATATTTAGAATTATCTAGAATCCTAAATAAAAACGAATAGTACTGTTCTCTGGATACATCAAGAGATTACAGGAAGCTGTTTTAGATGTGAGCAATGTTTACAAGGACGTGGCAATATGTGCACATCAAAGATCTTTGATGTGCAAAGAAATTTTTCCGCTAGATTTAGCGAGAAAATTTTTCCGCTACATTTAGCGGGGACACTCTTCCGCTAGATTTAGCGGGGAAAATTTTCTGCTAGATTTAGCGGGGAAAATTTTCTGCTAGATTTAGCGGGGAAAATTTTCCGCTAGATTTAGCGGGGAAAATTTTCCGCTAGATTTAGCGGGGGAAATTTTCCGCTAGATTTAGCGGGGAAAATTACCCATAATGCACCGTGCGACTGCGCCGACGGCGACGCCGCTCAAGTTGGAAACGGGCGCCTAAGAGCTGCGCTTTAAAACAAAATCGGTGCTAGAGCATAGGCTACTAGACAGCATGGAGGCTCCATTCGTAGCTGGCTTCTGCTTTTATACAAAAATGCTGCGTCCTCCCCTCTGTAAAGCGCAAGACCTGAAGAAAGCCTAGCGCAATACTTGCGTTTAGGCGGATTGATTTCTGTCGTTGACCCCGAAATTTTTGTTGTCCGAAACGGAGGTCAACAATGAGCCTGCTTGGGTAATCCTTGGAGTTTAGAGAGATTTGATTACTTCTCACTGGCACCACTTACCTAATGCTGTACCAAGACTTTTGCAAAATACTCTAATCCTTTTCTTTTTTATAATGTTTATAAGTGTTGACACAATTCTAACGCACACTTTCGACATGCACGATCCAGTCGAAATCAAAAACTAAAACTCAAAAGAAAAGCAGAGTACTCGTTGTAAGGTTGCTAGCCCCATTGCCATCGTGACTGTTTACTTACATTTGCCATTTTGGTGTCTGCCGCTTTAAGATGGAAAAACACTAGGAGGCCTTAATTAAATGAAAGGCAATCATGCTGGCAGGAAAAGAAAACGGAGCAGCACTGCGTGGCCTTGCAATCTGAGTGACCCGACGAGCTCGCAAGATATTGTTTGGGAGGTGATCCTCCCAGAGGTGACTGTCGTCCAAGTGCAAGAAGCATAGCACCTAATATGAATTTGTGGGCAGCAAAGAACCATTGGTAAACTCGGACAACGGTGACTAGTGCACGGTATTTAGTTTTGTGTTGGCGTGCATTTCATAAAATCTGTTTTATGACCTATGTCCTTAACCTTCATTATTGTACCTGTGCGGTAGAATCGGCAGCAATTTACTCTGTGAAGATTGGGGGGGCTAAATCTGCCTGTGCATTAGAATTGGGGGACACGTTCCAATCGTGCAAACACGGTATATTGTAACTTCTCAGATTGACAAAAATGTTCACTGGCGAACATTTTTCAGTTTTATCTGCTCGCACGAAATCCTACTTATGACGCAGAAACTGCTCAATGACTATTTCTGCAATAAACTGATCTAGCCGGGCTGATTTCTCTAAAAAAATTCCAGCATGTCCTGGTCATATCCGGTAAATTTGGAGACTTGCAGGAATGCATTGCGAATAAGCTGGGCACACGCTGTGTGCATGCGTGACGTCCGGGGTCACGGGGCACTGCGACGTCGCAATCGCGCAATCTTCGGGGTCATGCGTCTGTGTAATGCTGCAACATAACGCCGCAACTTGATTGTTTTCTCGTGGAATTTGGCCGATAATTAAGAAACGTTTGGCAAGTTCGATGACCCCAAAGTGTCGATGCTGCGACACCTGCGTGTCGGATTAATGTTCTTGTAAACATGCTATTTCTGTGGGACAGTTTTGCAAGTTGCATATTTTTGGTTGAAACTGCTGCAATGTACAGACTTGCTCGCTGCACAAGTGCCCCAACTTTGAAACCAGTGACATCTCTGCAGGTGCTGTGGCCAGAGGCCCGAGCACCCTGGAGCAGGTTGCGGTCATCCAACAGGACAGGAAGGCACTGGCCGAAGCCACCACCAATGCAGTCGCCGTTGCCAAGGAGCTTGCTGGCATCCAGAAGGTTGCCCACACGTAAGTGTTGTGTTCTTTGCTTTTTTTTTAAATTTTGTGTAACACTTAGACTTCCTGTATCTGGGGTGTAGGTGCAACTTATTTGTAAGCTGCAATGGATAAATGTGTGCTATCCTCTGTTTCGTCTTAAGGGATGACACTATTCTGAAAGGTGAACTTTTAAACTGTTAGTCTGACTTGCTTGAAGTTTCAGGGCATATTCAACACTGTGAATGAGGTTGCCATGCAATGTTTCAAGTTTATTCATTAACCCTTCAAAGAGTTAAATGAAGGTGCGTCAAATAAACGCCACACCCCCTGAGGAAAACTATTTAGAAATAGGATTGATAATGATTGGTTCTTTTGATAGCACATACAATGTAATACATACGTCACGCAGCTGTGGACAGAAATTACAGAATTAACACAATTTTTAATAGAAAATAAACATGTAATAAGATTTTAGTTTTTATGCATGCACTAGGTTGGAGGTACTGCAAGTTTTCATAACAAAAGACCATGGAAATGCAGAAAATGCGTTCCTTACAAAATATCAGTATCGAAACTTCAAGAACTGGCTTCATACATGAATTCATTATCAAACGATAGTTTTCCTGGCGTTAGTGTTGATAGCAAAAAGAAACTGATGTAAACATATTTGGAGGTTCAGAAAGGTGTACCGTAGATGGTGCAGGCATGTTGGAAATAATTTATTCCGGAACAAATACTTTAAGTTACACCAGTGAAACTTTCTAATAACATTTGTCAGATGATCCGTAATCTCATCAGACAACTGGCTAAAAAAAGTGGCATAAAAAAAATGTTACTTTTTATGCCCCTCTCTTAGAGGGGCACTCAAGTCGATTCCGAGATTGTCCATAGTGATAACTCAATCTACGGGTCTCCGCATACTAAAATAAAACTAAATAACTCGCGGACTGCCGATTTTCCTAGGTTGTAACACGCCTCTCTTCCTGTGCCTTGGAGCAATACTAGAGGGGTCGTCGGATGGCGTTTTCAAACAATAATTGTTGTATTACGTCTCCTACACCCAAAGATTTTACGTTTTGCAACGATGGCTGTAATGGGCTCTTCCCATCACTGGCAATGGCGTCCGTTGAAGTTGTTGATGTCATGGTTGGCGGTGTAAGGCGTCTGTCGTCGGTGTTGCCAAATCCTTGAAAAAGATTGCCTGCTGCCCGCTGGAATCGATCCTGGGTCCGCTGCGTGCGAAACGAAGGTGTTACCACTGATCTATGCCACATTTTAAAGGAAACTCGAGTGTTTTTCGAGATCATTATTCTATGGTCATAACTCGATCTACGAGCTCTAAATAACCTAAAAAAATAAAAAAATAACATTTATCTGCGGCCGATTTGTATATAAAAAAAGAGATAAAAGTTCCTCACACTAACCGTCGGCGCGAAACGACTGATGGCGCTGCTGAACCTTGCTGAATATGGTCGAACGATGAAAAACGCCTGACAGCCACTCGCGAGCGACGGGTTCCCGTGTGGACGAGCGAGACTGGTCAGCCGCTCGTCCACGCGGGCGAGACTGGTCAACCGCGCAGGCGCGCGCATTCCGGAAGTATTGCCGCCGCCATGCTACTTGTAGTCATCGCTCTCCGGCTTCCCGGCTGAAAAGGGCTCATATGGGCGTACATCATAGTTTTCGAAGCTCTGGTGTTAGCTATTAGCTCCTGCATATCAGCACTTTATGAGATTGTGTTGTTTGTGGTGCCTTAATTTGTCATCAAGCGCAAGAAAAAAAAAAAAAAAGTTTCGGTCGTCTTATTGCTTTAGAATCGCTTTGTCGTCTGCTTCGTCGTTGTCCGCTTCTTCGCCTTCGTGAACGTGCATGAACCCACTGCGTTCACGCAGTGGTCTTACTGCAACAGCGGGAAAAACAACGAGGCCGCAAATCCCTCGAACACTCCGGATAAACTTGGAAGCAAGTGAATATCTACCTCAACGTGAAAGAGCTCAAAATTCGAGGGACCATCGGCTCGGTGTAGCACCGCGGAACAGCATCAACTGTGTCGTGAAATACTGAGCTATGTAGTGCGCAGGCTTGGGCATAACTTTTATTCGACAATGAACACGAGCTCAATAGACATTTTCGGAGAGCGATAGTTTTCTAAACTCGTTTTATTCTGGTTGACAGCCTTTGCGACAGGGTACAGATGAACTGCGGGGGGAAGCCTGCACACAAAGAAACGATCCACAAAATGAACCTGCCTGAAGAGCCGTAACAACTCACATTTGTCAAAATGAAACGTAACCATGCGAGATGCCTGAGAACTTCGGGTAGAGATGAGCTTTTGTGTACAGTTTCTATTCAATTTTATTTGGTTAACGGTAAGAACTGTCCGACGGAAAATGCTTTTTTCCGCTGTGTCGATTGGTGTTAATACAGAATGGATCAGTAACGCCAGACCTACCGAGAATCGCTGCTCTTTCTTCAGTGATTGTACTGATCTTTTGTAGCACAGTTGTGCTCAAAACATGTCGTATCAATAACAGTTGGAACCACCAAAATGCATCAAGCAAACATTGCATTAAAAACGGTCGCAGCAAGGCAGTGTGGAAGTTCCGATTGAGATAGACCAACTGATATACCGCTACGGAGCGAGTGCTCAGGGAGATTCCAACGTACGGAACACTTTAGCACGCCCTACTACGTCTCATGCCCTGTGTAAGCTTACCCTCTTTAGTTATCGTGCAATGGGGTGAATATAAATGATGAATCAAATAACGAAACAAATCTAAAAACTCTTTTTCCTGCCGCTCTTCTACCGCTCTCTTTACCTTTTTTAGACACTCTTTTCGTGGGCTGCTTTCTTTCGGGAGGACATAAAATCCTATGCCTTTTTGCCTGGTGCGGTTATTGTAGCACCTTGACACAGAGCGGGTGAAGACACCCACTAAAAACCGTGAGTAAACGGCTGACTAAAAGTTTCGTGCTAACCTGAAAATTCCCAAACGTCGGGCGTACAACGCACCTTGACGCGGCCAGAAAACTGGGGAGAACTACAGGTACCAGAATGCACCGCGGCAGCGGTGGCGTCGTGCAACTCCTGGTGAGATCGGTCTATTGTGCTAGACACTGTAGTACATTGCTACCAAGATGCAGTAAAGATGCCTTCATTTCTTGGTTCTCCGGTCTGTCGCGAGCAACAGATCATGGAATTCACCTTTCTTGAACAGAATCATCTGTAGCCCAGAAGACCTGCAACATTTTCTATAATTCGGTCGCTTTGGCGGTTGTAGGTCACAGGGTCAACTTGGGAGAGCTTTGTGCCATGGTCTCTTTAGTCATACCTCGGCAAACCTCCCTCATGAGGGCCCTCACTCATCCTCATCTTCACAGGTGAGGTGAGGGTAAGTGAGTTTCTGAACCAGGAAAATTCATGAGTGTGAGGGTGAGTGAGGGTTGTGAGGGCCGTGAGGGCAGTAAGGGGTATGAGGGCCATGAGTGCGTGAGGGCGGTGAGTGGCGTGAGGGCCGCGAGTGGCATGAGAGGCGTGAGGGCCGTGAGTGCATGAGGTGGGGTGTGAGGGCTATGAGTGTGTGAGGGCGGTGAGTACGTGAAGCCCCCTTCAGATCGAGCATCTTTCTCAGCAATTTTGGTGTTAATGGTGGGTTGTTCACTAGCTTTCCCTAGATCGACACGAATTGCTGAGATCGAGTCCGGCTCGAAATAAGCAAGCAACTCGCAGCAATTCGAATGCGTTTAAAGCGGCTGCATCCAATCAGGGATGCAAAATTTTCACGTGATACCTCGTGCCGGTGATGATAACACCGAAAGACTGGTTTGGAATTGGTCGTTCTGGTTTGAAATCCATCGTTTTTTGGAAATAAACTGCTTCAGAAAGGGTGCATTAGTATTTTTAACGAGATTTAAATGCATAAAAACATGTTTATAACGCGTAATTGTGTCTAAATAGTGCAAGAAAAATAAAATTTTATGATGACGATGGCAAATTGCAGCAATTGGTTGCTGCGTGTGATCGCGGGCGGCCTGTGTTGCTGGTGTTGCGACGTAAAGTTTTTGGGCGAAATTGCCCCATCTGAAGCTGGCCTGAGTGGCGGGAGGGCCATCAGTGCGTGAGGGCGGTGAGGGGTGTGAAGGTGGTGAGGGTGGTGAGTGGCGTGAGGGCCGTGAGTGGCGGTGAGGGTGGTGAGTGGCATGAGGGCCATGAGGGCGGTGAGGGGCGTGAGGGCGGTGAGTGGCGTGAGGGCCATGAGTGAGTGAGGGGCGTGAGGGCCGTGAGGGCGGTGAGTGGCGTGAGGGCCATGAGTGAGTGAGGGGCGTGAGGGCCATGAGGGCGGTGAGGGGCGTGAGTGCGTGAGGGCTGTGAGGTTCAGTGAGGGTGAGTGAAGGGCTGAAGGTGAGTGTGACTGTGAGGGTGAGTGAGGGGCTGAAGGTGAGTGTAGCTGTGAGGGTGAGGGTGAGTGAGGGGTTTAGGTGAGTGTGGCTGTGAGGGTGAAGGTGAGTGAGGGCGACCTGAAATGCCGACCTCTGTCTATAGTTGCGCATGTGGAACTAGCCTTGACACTACGTGCGAATGGGCTAATTGCTTTCAAGACCTACATCCTCAAACACCCGCTGCAGATACAACAAGCTCAAGGCCGAGTTTGAGCTGAAAGAGACAGAGCTGGAACAGCTGCGGAGCAGGCTACAGCAGAGCACGCACCATCAACTGCTCCAGGAGTTCAATGCCCTGCAGAAATCCATTGGTACGTACAAAAACAGCTCAACTTTTCTTTAACACACATGTTGTGGCCCACCGAAACCATAGGGTGGCACCACCTTGTTTGGGCCTGCGACTGGTTCGGTAGGTAGGGCGCTGCCATATTGAATAGGACCTTTTTAATCAGTTCCTCTAGTTCTCGACCCCCTTGGTTCCCCTCATTCTGCAGAGACGACTGAACATTGCATTCTAATTCAATGCTATTACAATGACATTTTAATTTTACGTTAAATACTGCCGAGATCAAAAGAACAACAAAGCCATGATCTCCACTCATTGCGTGCCTCACTCAGAAGTAGCTGACACAGGTAGCTAGCTTACCATGTGTCCCATGCTGTCGGATTTATAGCTTCTAACAGATAAATTAATTTCATGGCTTACTACAGGGATCACTATAAAGAGTGTCATGCATCTTACCAGCGATAATGGGGAACATTAAGAAACCAAACGATTGTGGGGGAAACGAGGTTTTCAAGTCTTTTGTACTTTTTTTTTTTTAAACCTCAGAACTATTGCAGACACCACTGGACACCACAGGATGAGAAGAAACCCTTCTCCTCTTCCGATCTCCGATAAAGATTTTATTTGGGAAATCGGCCACGCACAAATGTAATGTTTGGTTTTTTAAGATGCTTAGAGCCCATACATTAAAGGGACACTGGACCAAAATTTGGATTTCGCAAAGTAAGGCTGCAGAAGTGTTGAACGGGGACGCTACGGACTCCAAAACATCACTCGTACATCGATATCTCAAACGGATTGCCATACTTTTGGAAAAGAAGGGCGTAATCAAGCGAGTTCTTCGATGTAACTGTCCTCCGGGAGAATTTGAGAATGAGGAGAAGCGGCCTCGCTTCTCTCCTCCTCGCTTCGGTTCACCAGCTTGACGGGACGTAGCGAGGAGGAGAGAGAATGGGAATAGTGACGTGCCTTGTCTCGTCGGCCGTGTTCAATCGCACATTTCTTTTCCAAAAAATAAGGCGATCTGTTAGATGTATCGCCGTATGAGTGATATTTTTTGGTTTTGCAGCTTCCCGCCTATCCGCCCGGCATTATTTAGTGAGCTTGAAATTTCGGTTCAGTATCCCTTTAAGCTATGACCATAAATAGACTATCGCAGGAAGTGGTTTAGCACCCCTTCTAGAGCCTACACACAGGAGAAACGAAATTCTGTTAGCCCGGTGACAAGCGAGCAGGCGTCTATTCTCTCCGCACAGACTGCAGTGTCGTCTGCATCCCCGTGCATTCACAGCATCCCCACCTGCAATCCTGTATCTTTCAGTCTTTGGGCAATACAAATTGTGCAAGGCTACAGGATTGCTGCCGACAAAGAATCTCATTCAAAGTGCAGATGAGAAAACACTTAATAAATGTTGTAGCAATCACTGGACCCCCCAACTTCTGCTTTGTAGAGCAGAGGTTCCCGAACTTTGAGAACCTTCATTTGGCGAGCCTGGTAGCCGAGGGACCCCTCCCAGTCTCGGCATTGACGCAAATAAGGCGGTAGAGAACCGTACAGGGACCATGTAAACAGTCGTGCGCATGACTGGAAAGTATGGCTGTGCGAATTCTTGAATATACGAATTCAAGTCGAATACCAAGTTCCCGAATAATTCGATTCGCGAATCGAATTCCTAGTATTCGGTCACTCAAATAGTGCTGACAATAGAGCCGTTTTTTCTCCCGATGTTAGCGCCTTGATGTTAGACCTTACGAGAAACGCCTCTTGGTCCTACCATTCCACAAAAACCTAACGCACAAGTTAGGAAAAAGTAACGAACGCCAGAACCTTTATAGCACACAGATTTACTCATGATCGTGACGCAACCTAATTTTGAATCGCAACCGAAACATCCTGTTTGCGCCGCTCCAGAGAGGAATTGTTGGGAGGCTGGAATTCCGCGCCATGCCGTATTTTCACAAGTAAAGCCCCTTGTTTCAAACTGAAGCGCCGATGTAGAACACACTTGCCACACTCGCAGAAATCGGCGACTGCATGCTGGAACCGCAAGGGTCAAATTTTGATTCAAAAACGGAACGGAAAAATAGTGTGCCTAGACTTGAGAGGGTTTCCAACCGTTCGACAGCCGTGTTTGAATTACGAACTGCCAGAAGGTGACGAAAAGACGAAAGCGTCGACCGGGCAGGCGTCATCGCTCTTCCGTTTGCTCGCCTTCTTTCCACGCGACAACACAACACATGCACACTTACGACCAATCTGCGCAGGAGCCCTCTCCATTGTTTCTGTTCCGCTTGCTCCCTCTTTTAAATCTAGGCTCTCTAAAACAGGATAGACGGACGGAGGACTGGATGCGTAGCGGTAGTTGGACGGTGACTTGTGCCACCTAACCACATGTTTTTTTCCTTCTTGCCTCAGATTATATTGTTTAAGCCTGTTTACTCAGATTTCATAGCTATCTGTTTATTTATATAAAATAACATCCTGGGTGCCTTTTTCCTCCCTTAAATATGAGACCAAACTTCTGAGATACTATATAAGTACTGTAAACGACTAAATTTTTGCAAGGACCTAATTTTCGTGAATTTCGCGAATCAGCTGCAGTTCGCAAAAAATATGTCCCGCGAACAATTCTGGCAATACGTGAACGCTAGGGAAGCTACACTCGATTCCCGAAAATTGGAGCCCGCGAATAATTTCAAATTTTCAGCTTTGGCCCGATTCGCGCAAATTTTAGCCCACATTAAGGGGAGACACTGCCCAGAAAAAAAAATTTCTGCAAAAAAAGTTGATTTTGAAAAATGATATCTTTACATCCACAAACATCTAGAGAGTATTCCCAGAAGGTTTCATTAATTTTCACTGTATAGATAATTGTTTATAAATTATTTTCTGTCCACTGAAGCTATAGTAAAGGTAGGGTTTGGAGCACTTTGAACACATTTTTCTCCGTTCCACTTTTTGGTATAAATTCCATTTTAGTCAATCTATCGTTTGATAATGGCAAAACAGGGAAAGCTCATTCTTCCCTTTTCCTGACTGAAATTTAATAAGGAGTGCGGCTATGGAACTTTTTCGTCACTTTACGGATGTCTTTTGTAAAAAATGTTGACATTTTGTCGAAGGCACAGAAGACCAAAAAGTTGACCAATTTTGCAGAAGAGAAAATTTATAGAAATGAATTACTTTCTAGAAAATATGTTCCATAGCCGCACCCTCTAGGCATTCTGCTACATATCTAGCAAATAAAAATCTTTAATATCGCAATAGTTTTCTGACGATAGATTAACTAAACAACGTAGGCGTGTTGCTGATAGAAGCTACTCTTATTTCCTTCTCATTTAACCGACAGACCTGAAATTTTGTTATACACCCTCTAGCATGACCACCAGCCTACCCTGTAAATTTCATTAATTTTAAGACAAGGGTTCAAAAGTTGACCCCCCTAGGGGGTGTGCCCCCTTAAGTCGTTTACAGTATAAGAAAAAGGACATGTTGTGATGTTTGGTCATGCTTTTAACAAGAAAAAAAGACACGCGTGGCTCTAACTTTGGGTTTTTTATGACACTTAGGGTAGATAGATTATGTTTGCGCCATAAAATTGGATCTTTAGTGCCCAACGTCCATCAGCAGCTGCCTTTCTTTTTCTTACTTTTTTTTTTTTTCACGAGAACTTGTATACATTTGTGTTTTTGTTCCGTACGAGATGCATATTCTGCATCAGGTGCATACTCTGCACGTATAATAATCTCATTAACAGCACACTTTGAAAAATAATTTCTACAAATAAAATCACTATTCAATATTCTATTCGATATTCGGCTTTTTTTTCTTAATTCGATTCGGTAACTACTATTCGGTATTTGCACACCCCTACTAGAAAGTGTTCTGACTCGTAATTATGTGTCGAAGAGTTGTCGAGGTCTGCTGAAATGGCGCTTAAACTGGCTGAGGGAGTTTGGGAGCTCGGGGAAACCATTCGTTGTAGTCTAGCTGGGGAACCCTTGTGTCTAGTCTGGTGAACCTATTTTGTGGGGAAAAAAGCAGAATATCGGTTGCATCGAGACATATGCCAGAAGCTATTCACAGCGGTTCTTTCAGAATCCGTAATGTGCAGCGGGTATGTCGAAGTGCAAGGAATGCTCGTGGCGGTTGTCCCATGGTGCCTTTCTCGCAGAGGAGTCCAAGGCCAAGTTGGAAAGCTGCAAGGAGGTAGAGAAGAGGGCCACCGCCAAGGTGAAGGACCTGGAGGAGAAGGTGAAGGACTCCAAGAACATCCGGGAGCGGGAACTGAAGGCGGCTGAGCAGCAGATCGCTCAGTGCAAGAAGAGGGCCGACGAGTCCTCAAAGAAGTTCGCCCAGAAGAAGCAGGTAGGGGCCTCTGCAGTTTTCGAAGCCCTTTCAATTCTGCGAGGCGATTTCTTTGGGCGGCAGCTGAGTCCGCCTTGATGCTTAACGTCATGATCGTCCTAGACTAGGTACTGTAAATTTAATTTTTGCAAAGACCTATAGTCCCTGGCTGTGCGAGAACAACAGGGAACAGCTTCGGTTGTCTTGCCTCCAGCGTGAGCTTTCTGCCTTTGACAAAACTTCAACGTCTCGTGCACCTCATGCTCGCAGCCAAAGCGTAATGAAGACGTGGAGTGCGTGAAAGAGGCGAAAAATAGATCGTGCTAATATATCGCCCCCTGGCAACGAATACGCAGCACATCGCTCTAAATCGCAAAATGTTGTGCCGCAAAATATTTTCTAAATCCACACCTCGCCGAATTCGCAAAATATTGAGCACACAACGATAAAGTTGTTTCCTGCTCGCAAAAGAGTACACAAAACTGTCTATATTCTGCTTCACCTTTCGAAGGACTGCAGCAGATTCTTTGAGCCATCCCGGCCTATTCAGCACCACGAATGTATCGCGCAACTATGCGTGTCGCTGTACCCCTCCCGAATGTCGCGTGACACTCGCGCAGCATTGAATCGACCTCGTTGGGTCGTGGCGTCCCCTGCAGTCTGTTGTAAGATGGAACGGAGTATGCATACTACGGTCTAAGCTCGTTATAACAGACCTTGATTTTAACAAAGATTTCGGTCTGTTGTAAAAGGAGTGTTGTATGCAGATATGAAGTTGAGTCAAGGGGGCATAGAGGAAAACCAACCGAACTTCACAAATCGGTATGTTATATCCAAATGTCTGTTACAACCAGGTCTGTTGTAATGAGCTTACACTGTATCACTGGCAGCATTACTGACAAATGAGAGAGCTGCAAGATTTGTAGTGCCCACTTCAAGGTGTAGCAGCAAACTGGACTCTAGCTTTTTGCATATGGTCGACCTATATCAAGCACCGGAGTGGAGTGTACAACCCTGTTAAAAATTGTGACGCAGTCTCTGCTTTTCAAGCTTACGCCATTTGATGGCACATTTGTAGGAATGCTCTTGCTCATTCAAGTTGTGGAGCTTCAAGAAGTAATAACGCTGAAGATCCGAATGTTTTTTATTCTCAAGTTACATCTCCACACAGTTGGGAGCACAGTCGCTAGGCACCCTTATTCGCACAGTGTCACCTTGTCCTTCACTTTATTGTCTGTTACCAAGCTTGCTCCTGATTAGCATTGCTCTTCGTCCCCATAGGAAGCTGAAGGCCTGCAGCTGGAGATAGAAGAGCTGCAGAAGTGTCTCACTGGTTACAATGCCCAGCTGGAGGTCAGCAACAACACCCTCAAGGATCTGGAACAGGCCCTGGCCAATCATCAGCAGAAGTTGGCAGGCATCAAGGTCTGTCGAGATTGTACGCGTCACAGTGCCCTGGAGCTGAGGTCACTGTACGGGGTGGGCGGTAAAGCTGACGTCGCACTGCGACGACATTGCAGTGCCAACTGCTATTTGTTCTTAACTCCAGACTTGATTTGCTACGGGTGTGGCACTTGGGTTCGATTTTTGTCTAGGTAAGAGAGAGAGCGTTCTCAGTTCCCTGATTGAACGCGGCGCCACAGCTTGCACATAATCAACCAATGAGACATTTGGGGCCCTTTCGCATGTTCATAACCAGGTAAAATTTTGGCGAGAATGTCTCGTCAACTTCCAAATGGCGATGAAGGTTTCTCGGCCTCCGATGTGCTTTTCCTTGGTACTCCTTCATCCACCAGTCGATGTCTGCTTGTGTACGGCAGCAAAACAACTTGAGGTTTGTAAAAGAAGCACAAGTTCTCAGTGGCTTCCAGAGAGAAAATAGCAGATGATGTCTATTTTGGACTGCATCCAATCCCACTTCGCCGCGGCGCTCGGTCCGTTAGCAGCTGACATACAATGTTTTCTTTTATTTTCGTAAGCTAATGACTCTTTGTAGCAGACAATCCGCATTCTGCACTCGCATGAACAGATAGCTGTCTACGAATGCTACTTTGGTACAATTTGTTGCTACTTTGGGACCACTTTCGACGCATGGGTTGCATAAAAGGACGGTAAACACACCAGTCGAAGACGCGTTCCTGGCACTGTAGGCTTCGGATTCACAAAATATTGCTATTATAATGTAGGCTAAAGGTTCAGCTAGCACTAGTGCTCAGCTCCAAATTGAAGCATTATTTTGTTATAGATAGCTTGAGACATTTCTCAGTCGTGTAAATGAAAATATCGGTCAGGTGATTTCTTTTTTTTTTTTTCTTTCGAATCAATGGCCTTAAGCATTGTGAGAAAATAGCTTTATACATGCATTTATGTACACTGTCCAACACTGTTAGCGCAAATGCTGGGAAGTTACAGTGCTCACTGTTTGAAAAATTGCTGTAACTAAAGCAATTGCACTTTTACAACAATAATAAAGGCACTTACTTATTCACTACGACCCAAGTAAGAAAAGTGATTCCTGTTACCCTCCGGCAAAGAAACAAAATGCACGCGCATTTCCCATAGGAAGAGACAGTTGCGTCTGCTCATTTTGAAACCGGAAGTTCTGTAGACACTAGCGTTAGTTGAACTCTAGTTTACATTAAAAGTAGCTGTGGTGATGGCGTGAGAGTTGGTAAATTTTGACTAAAGCTGCGATCACACTGCCAATGTATAAAAGACATGCTGCAGACATTGTCGGAGGCGTGTTTCCTTGTACGGCGATCCTGTCGCATTCGTCGTATATAAACTCTGCAGACATGTTAGAACATGCTCCAGGCACGTCCACAGATGATCCTGGCCTCGAATCCGCAACGAACACAGTGTCTCTTGTGCGATGTCTGCAGTGCAACCTTCAAGGGCAACTCCTGCCAAAACTCAAAATGAAATAAATTACTAGTATTGCTGCAGTGACACAAAATATGACCCCAGCCAAAAAATTACGTCCGGGGGACGCCGCATTCTCAACTAATGCCGATTATAAAAATGCGACCCGCCACAAGCCGCTGCTCCTTAGCGGGCGGCCAGTGGGTTGCCGATTGCTAAAGCAACATTGGGCGGTGACGTCTGTATCATTCTTTTTTTTCCTCCGGTCCAGGCGTTGTGCGGAGTGCACTTCTTTGAGCCGCTACCACCGCTACTTCGGCTTGTGATTGGCGTGTTTAGCCGTTGCTTTTATCTGTAGCCTGTGTAGCTTCAGTATCGCCTTTTGTTTATTTGCTTGTGAGGGCTCCAAGACTCGTTTTAGCGAGCAACTCGGTGTGCCCAAGACTGCCTAGCTGTTCCTCGAAAGACGCAGAGTACAACTTGTAGCGCTGTGGGCTGCTCACACAACCCGCTGCACAACCCGGAGGTCCTTTTCCACAATTTTCCAACGGACCGGAAATTGGAGAAGGTGTGGGTGAACGCTATTTGACGAGTGGACTTTGGACTTCGGCTTTTGCGCACCCGAGGAAAAAAAGAACGAAAGAAACGGACATGTACAGCCCAGCTCACATGTGTTCGGGCGCCGCTGACCATGCCGGAGAGTCTCAAAGCTTTGTGTCTGGGACTGACCTGCAGTGCGAAAGCGAGAGGGCCCCCAGTACTGTGCGTCAGTACTGTACGTCAGCGCGGCGTAGAGCAACGCCGCTCCATCCACAGAGCCCCGATGACAATTTAGGCCTAGTGACAAGTACGGAAGACCGCACTCGCGGAGACAGCCGCCGAGTAAGGCACCGAACGAGTTCACTCGTTTTCCAGTAGCTAGCTTTTGGGTATACAAGCGACGAATACGGCATCACACGCACGGCGGCCGCCGCCGAGTACGGCACCGAACGAGTTCACGGGTTTTCCAGTCACTAGCTTTTGGGTATACGTGCTAACTCTTGCTACATATGCTGGATAACTACCACGTATACAGAATTAAAACAAAATCGGCTTACCTCCTATCTTTAGACGGCTAGTGCAACAGAGGTAGGTGCCGCTCGGCCTGCATACACATTGAACGAGAATAATCCTGATGTCACGTTCACATAGCGGCTGATTTCCAGTGTTGCCGGGGCCTCGAGCGGCTAGGTTCGGTTTTGTTGGCCGTGCCCCAAACAAAACTTTAAGGCGTCGGTATCTTTAAAACTACGAACAACAACGAGAAAAAAATTGCACCTTGCAATTCAGGGACGCTGACTATGCTAAAAACGGTCATAATCCGAAAATCTAAAGTATGGACTGGAGTTACCCTTTAAGAAAATGTTTGGGTTGAGCCGGCTGGAGGCTGAATGGGACGCACATGCAGGAGCAAGTGTCCAAGGCGAACGAGGACCTGAAGGCCCAGAAGGAGAAGTTGAAGGCGGCCAGCCGAGAGATCGGGGCCAAGTACACAGAGCGGGACGGCCTGCAGAAAAAGGCCGACGACCTCAAGCTGAAGATCCAGCAGTGGGAGCACGACATCAGCAAGGTCCAAAAGGAGGCCGAGGATGCCCGGCGCAAGGTACGTGTCTTGCCGGCGTGCTCCCCGAGCCGGACGTTTTGCCGCTCGTGGTTTACAGTGGTGGCCGTTACTGCAAAGTCTTGCGGCCGATTCGGTGTGTACGGTGTGGCCCGCTATATTTGGCGAGGAATCGCAGCGCAACACCGCTTGACGCTGTGACCACGCTAAGCGTTACCCCGTCTTTGGCAGAGAAATTGTGACATAGTCTCTTCGCCTCGTCGCTTGGAGCATTTCCTGCCTCACGCTGTCACTCCTTTCCTTCAACAACTACAAAATGCACACTCCTCTCTGAAATTCGCCACCTACCTTTCTTGACCTCACCATCTCTGGCGACAGCAGCCACTTTAAAACATCTGTTCATTACAAGCCTAACGACCTGCACAGCTACCTTCACTACTCTTCTTGCCGCCCCAAGTGCCAAATCGACTCCATCCTCTTTTCACAATTTCTCCGCATTCGACGCTTTTGCAGAGACAACAATTTCCACAATCAAGCCCTTTCTGTCTCCACACTTTTTCTGAACCGGGGACACCTTCGCCCCATTCTCGACTAGGCATTCGGCCACGTCTCCCGGATTTCCCATTCTGACTCGCTTTTGTCTCCACTCAAACCCAAAAATCAACCCTCTTGTTCTGACATGCCACCCTTTCCTCCCTAAACTCGCCCATCAGCTTCTTCCCGCCACTGGCCGCCTCCACCCTTCCAAACACGTTTCAGAAGTCCCGACTCTAGCCTACCGCCGCCCCCCAAAAATTTCTGATCTCTCTTGGTGAAAAGCTGTCTTCCGTCTGCCACCCCCAAATTCCCCACACAAAAATTGCCCGGTACCATGCCATGCAAGCATGTCGCTACCTCTCTCCCTCTGACAACCACGCCTGCAAATCTGCTAACATCACTTACGTAATTTCCTGCACCTCATGCCCTGATACTTTTTATATTGGTGGAACCGATCGCAAGCTCTATGAATGTGCGAGATCACCGCCGCCTCGTGACCCTTAAGCTCCCTAACAAACTGGATTCTAACCTCTCCACGCATGTTTCCAACCACTTCTCCAAATAAGGTCACAGTGAAGTCAATATGCGTGTCTGCTTCATTAAATCTGGCTTTCCCAGCTCCCTCTCCCAGAAAAAAGAAAACTGATCTTTATTTTCTGCGCTGAATTCCCTAACAGGTTGAACAATAGACTCTTCTTCGGCTACTAATACATCCACTCTTTCCTCTGAAGTTCCCTTTCCCACACTCCTTCGTTCCCCTGGCCTTCCCCGTCCCTGTCAATCTTGACCCTCACGGCATTTCTTCCCGACCCTCATTTCCACATACATTCGTCGTTCTGCTCTGGTGCCTTTCTCATTTTATTTTTGTTATCTTCTGGTGTCATGTTGCAACAGCTCTCGCTTTCCCCTTGGCTTCCCTTAGTTTCTCCGTAGTCTGACGAAGGGCATGTGCCCAAAACGTCTCTTGTTTCCTTTCCCCTTCCTTTTGCACGTCTTATCTCTCCCGCTTTTAGTTTTTGTTCCCATCTTTACATGCCAGCAGCACCCCACCCTTGTACTTCGCATGACACCACTAAGAGCGTTTCATCGCAACATTTTTTTGCTTGAATTTTTCATTAGTTTTGATTTTTATGACAGGTTCCAAAAGGGGTCCATGCAAAAAGCTGAGAAGCCTGACGAGACACTGGGATATTGCGACTAACGACACTACACGTCACTTAACACTTACGTCGCGTAAAGCGTTCCGCACTTAATTTAGCAGGAAACGTTCTTCGAAGAACTTAGCGGGAGAAATTGTGACACCACGTGTCACTGCGACGTCGCGCGACATTTCAATTTCCCCGCTTTCGGCGCTTCATTAATCATGCGTCGTGTGGCGACGTAGTAATCCTCGCACCTTTGCCGAATTTTGAATGGTGGTGGAATAAGATCATGTGGCAGTCTGTCTGTAGCTGAGCGTGCAGGACATGGCAAGGAACCGGGGAATTCTTTTTTTCTCTTCTGTAGCTGGAAGACCTCGTGAAGCATTACGAGTGGATTCCGTCGGAGAAGCAGTACTTTGGCCAGGCCAACACGGAGTACGACTTCACGGTCAACAACCCCGTGGAGGCCGGCCGTCGCATCCAGAAGCTCTCCGAGACCAAGGAGAAGTTGGGCCAGAACGTCAACTCTAGGGCGCAGAACCAGCTGCTCAAAGCCGAAGAGAAGGTACCCGATACTTCGATTTGACCAGAGATTGATTGAAGACATTGCTCAAACCATAGCACGATGGTTCTCAAATGGGAATCCATGGATCCCTTTAGGGTCCCTGAAGGCCTTCTGGAGTCGCCAAAGCACTTTACTGTCAGTCAAGCCGAGCAGTACATAGCTTGCAAGTGTCGCCATTGCTAGGTACTGATGGTTATTTTTACTTACTGGTTTCTTCAAACTACAACTTCTGCGGTGTGAAGCTAATACGGTGAACCAGACGCTCGCATAAAATTCTGGCCTGGCCGCAAATTATGTCACATGGAAGCTATGTATAAAACCTTGTTGCTTATTAATGCTAACTGTCCCGTAAAGCTAAATAGTCCAAACCACATGTACTGAGTGACTAGGGTTGATTATTATTTGTTTCAGAGCTTCAAAGTTGGTTTGCTGGTTTGCACGGATTTAGTCTTCTTCATATTCCCTTTTGTGATTGTAATAGTCCAATACCCCCCTCTTTCCCACTGGATGGTGTCCCCCATCACCTCTACCAATGCAGGAGGGGGTTCCCGAAACCTTCATTGTTGAGACATTGCAGACCAGGGGCTCTCAAACTTTTTAATATTCGCCTTGAACGGCAGCAGAGTTACCCCCCCCCCCCCCCCTTCTGATCCCAACACTGGTGCAGTGAAGCCGTGCAGAAGCATATAGACCTTGTAAACAATAAGGCATGCATACTAACTAGTTTGGCTGATAGTATGCATCAGTGGGCACCTCGGGCCTGCTAAAATAGTGCTTAAACTGGAGAAAAACTTTACTTTAGAGGTAGGGACAGTCGAGAAAACCTGGGGGCTCTGAGAACCCCCCAGGCAACTTTGGGAAACCACTACGTTCCTGGGAACCCAGTTTCAGAACTCATGTTGGAGACCATTACATTGTAGTGGAAAGGTGTTCTTTTTGCTACGTTTTAAACTCTGTGGAATAGTACACCTCTCAGTGTTGAATGACTGCAGAGGAACCCTTAACCTTCTCGACGTTGCCTCGATAAAGTGGTGCAAAAGCCTTCGGACTGCTAAAGGTAATGCATACTGGAGTTCGGGCCAGGCCGCGTAGTACTCGCCGTTCCTGGGCTTGAGACTTGTGTTACAATCCACTGTTGAGGTACCTCCAGTTAGACCAGGCTTCGGCGGGGCCCGGGTCAGGGAAGACCGATAGTCAATGGGCTCGGTCGGGTCGCAAAAGGTAGGCCCGTGCAGTGCTCTAATGCACGCGTAGTGCTCCGTTTCGCCTTGCGGCGTACCGCAGCCAGCCCTTTGTGTGTGCGCCAAATCTCACTATGGATTGAGTTTGATGGCTCATGGTATCCATTGCAGTACATTGCAGCATGGTGTAGAAATTGTCTCATGTTTGTGCGAGGCTCGGTTTTTCTGGAGTGGGGTTTCAAATGGGACAACGCTTGGGTCTCACATTAAGCAACAGTAAGCAAGTAGTATGCAGAAAGGCAGGTGTTTTGTTTGTTTATTTCAGTGGTTCTCAACCATGAATGCTTCGCGGACCCCTTGTAGATCGGCGGTGATGGAGGACCCCATTTGTGGTGAGGGAAAGGGAAACAGGTTAATTATGATTGATTTAATTAATATAACTAAGGGCTGTGTAAAGTAGACTTCTCTTTTTAACAGATACAGGAAAAAACTCGCCCAAAAAACTGGAATGTTTCTTCGCAGTCTGAGAAAAGACACCTTTTATCGCCAAGTTTGACTGATGAGGCTAGTCTTCGCGGACCCCTAGAATGCCTTTGCGGACCCCAAATGGTCCATGAACCCCCATTTGAGAACCACTGGTTTATTGATTTACTTATTAATGCGAGAGCCCATGGAGGGAAGCTGGTGTTATCTGATGTCTGTTTCTCCAGTTACTCTGCTATGCTAAGACGTCCGGCCCTCGCAGTATCAAGATTTGAGCAAGAAGAAGCGGACGGTGCTGGCAGACAAGGCTAAGATCATGACCGTCATCAAGGAGCTGGACGAGAAGAAGAGTCTGGCACTCAAGGCTGCCTGGAAGAAAGTGAACAAGGTGAGTCAGCTTCGGAAGGTGCATCCTATACTACGTAGTACTCAAAAAGCATATTCTTGTTCTCAATGCCACGAGTGTTGCTCGTGCCGTCCCAGAAATCCCGACTATGGGCCTGGCCTGCCCACTACAGGTTCTTTTGCTGTCTCTGTTGAATTTTCACAAAGCTATCGTCCCACAGACACAAAAACAAACACTAAAAATCATTCCGAATGTCACGAGCTCTCTGCCATTTCCGATGACGACTCGTACCGCCTCTCTGACGGCTCGCAAACTTTATTTGAATTTGGTAATTTCCACCAAAAATTAACGAAAACGTTCACTTGGCCTTCAGGTCTTGTTTGTTGCTCTCTATCATCCTGAACGTTTCCAAGAGTACCACGCACTGAAACTCTGCTGAATCGACACGTCAGATGGCAAGGAATTAATAGTGGGTCACAACATCTGGAGGTCAAGTGGATGTTTTCTTAAATTTTCGTGTAGATTTAAATAAAGTTTTGCAGAATGTTTTATGGGGGACAAAAATACATTGAGTTAAAGGTTTTGGGAAGGATCTGTCCTTCTCAACATAATTAATAGTTCTGTAGATAATTAATTATGAATTAATTAATCATTAATTTATGCAACTGCTAAAATACATGCCCCCTATTAACCTGAATGCTCTCCCAAACTATAGCAGTGACTATTTCAATTGCAGTGAAAGATTTGTGTGATGAGTTGCATAAAAATTAATAAATGCATGAGTAAAAAAGTTTTTTTTTTGTATTGTGTGCCATGTTGAGTTTTTATGCTGTTGCTGCATATTTTTGATGTCACATGTGTTATATGAAACTACATATATGAAACCAGAAGCCGAAAAGAATCCTCTAGCGGTGGTAGCGAGAAACAATTCTGATCGAAGGTCAATGTTCGTAAATGGTTTTAATAAGTGCGTAAGAGTGAAGTGTAGTAACTCTTTGTGGTTGAAAATAGGGTGCACGTGTTGTTTTGATCATGATCATGCAGAAAGGTGTAAGAAACGAATGCGCCGCTCAACTCTGTTTTGCGCGGACAGAATGTGACCGCTTGGACGGCCGATTCCCGGCCCTCGGCGTTTGGCGTAAGGATTATGTCGATCGTTCCGCTAGTCGCACTCTTCCTCCATCATTTTGGATGAGCGTGATTGAAACATCACGTGTACCATATTTTCAGCCATCGAGAGTTACTCCAATGCAGTTATCAGGTTTGTTTCTCGCGACCACTGCCAGGGTATTATTTCCGGCTTCTGGTTGGCCACATTCAACTTCATGAAGACGCCCTGGAACACGCCCAGCCCGCTTTCGGCCAATGGCGCTTCCTCATTTGTCTCCTATACTTCCCAATGAATGGCCAAACTCTCTACATATACGGCTCTGTGTAAAGTAACTCCAGTTAGGAAACTGAAACCGCGAGAGTGTCGTGGAAGCGGACGCACCAAAATGAGACCAAATGGAAGGGAGGTGACAACCTTCTGCCTTCAGTATTTCCATTTGATGCTTCTAAACCTGAACAGCTTGCAGACACTGTACGTACTTCTGTTGAGATAATTACAGTGATGTGATTGCTGCGCCAATTGTGCCAAACTGCGCCAAGGGGCTAACCCTGATATATCCTGCTGCATTTTGCCGAAATATGGGTAATCTGCGCCAAGCCTGCGCCAAAAGACCAATTTTCATCATCTTTCAAAACCGAAACTAAACCGAGTACCGTAATTGAGCATGCATGAGCTGTGTAGCGCAAGCGCCTGCCCAACAAAAAGTACCCCGTATCAATCGCCCACCTGGTTTTGCTTAGTTTTTCCCGCCACCTCTCGTTTCACGCTCTCGTCGTTCATGTGTCTCGTCTCGCGTCTTTTTAAAACAAATTTCAACGATAGACGCGGCCGTGTGTTGACGCTTCAGTCGTTGTACAAAGCGCTCCAAGTACTTTTTGACCCTGACTCGCGATCTCTTGTTTTGACCTGACTCGCTCAGGTTCTTTTTTTCTGTGTGTTTAGCTTGTACCTCGCCTGCCGGCCTGGCAAGCACGTGCTGCTGGACTTTTTTGTCGTATTTTGCATACAATTTTGCGACGGAGCGAAGTGGCATGGTGTCTGTCTCGATCCAACAGCCATCTCCGCTCGCGCGACGAAGCACGTGCAAATGCAAGCCTGCCGAAGTTACCCTCACACGCATGCGGACATGACTGCACGAGAAGCACCAGCCGGGACGCTTGCAACCCATTGCTTTACGTATGCTTACTTTTGACAAAAATCTGGCTCGTCAGGAACCAGTAAAGGTAGCAAGCGGTTTTTCGGAATTGCTCGGCGACGCGCACAGCACTGTTCACTTGTGGGATGTCCCAATGTCTCTTTGGAAACATTGAAAGTAGGAATTCATTACTAGCCAAAGGCAAAGCGAGGCTTGCAGCAGCCTTGCAAAAAGTTTTGAAAAGCAAAAAGAAAAGCACCCGCTAGTCTTAATGCACCTTTGTCTTGTATACAATTTCGCGTTGCACTGCAGTAGTTACGTGTTTCATTAGTCGGAGACAGCTTCCATTTATTATATTATATAACTATGTAGTCAACCTAATGCTGTGATATTTACTACTAAGCTGGTCATTTTCAAATAAGGTTTAATATGTGCAGTTTGGTTCTTATTTATCTATAGCGGGTACATATATACGTACAATTTAGCTGAAGCATTGCAAAATGTGTCATGTCATTGGCATTTTAGTTGCATGTTGAAAGACTCCCAGGTGGTCGAACTTGACCATAAATTGTTTATTGCGGCGAGCGAAGTGGCCTTCGTTCATTCAGCACTTAAAACGAATATGTTTATTTTTTTAAGAATATCTGCTCCAAAAGCCGCTTTTGCTGTTCAGAAACACTGTTCTGGCTGCTCCAAAGGCCACTTTTGCTGCTCCAAAACGCCGTTTTGGCTGCTCCAAAAGGTGCTCCAAAACGGCTTAGGCGAATCACATCACTAATTAATAAAAAAACAAAAACTGCTTATTGACCGTTCCTTTATGCTATTCCTTTGAAAACATAACCCGACCACAGAAAAAAATCTTTTGGGAAAGAAAAACTCTACAGTCGGAGGTTTCATGGGGCACGTCGCACGCAGGACTTTGGGTCCATCTTCAGTACCCTGCTGCCCGGTACAAATGCCAAGCTGGAGCCGCCCGACAACATGGACGTACTCGACGGCCTGGAGGTCAAGGTGGCCTTTGGGGGGGTCTGGAAGGAGTCCCTGCAGGAGCTCAGCGGGGGTCAAAGGTAGCCTCCTTTGCCCTTCCCGAAGGCGGTGCTGGCCAGCCGAGCAATCTCAGCTAGAGCTATTGTCCCAATAGGTCAGCCCGTTACCATGGAGGTGGTTTGAGGTTGTGGCCTGGATTTTGCTCATGTGCGCACGAATGGGAACCCGGCACCGTCTGCTAATCCTACTTGCAGACAGTACTCCTACATTAAAGTTCACATTACACTCCATCCTCGAACAACAGCAGACATGCTTGAGTGAATGGATTGAAGTCGTTAAAGCGGCCAATACGTGCCGCCAGCTATCTCATGGGCACGGCAATATCTGGGACCTAAAGAGGGGGTAAACACTGGGAGCAGGATGCGGCAAATCCTGGGCGCCGACATTGGCTGTCCCGAGAGAAAGAATGAGAGTGGCAGAAGAGCAGTGAAAGAAAGCGGACGAAAGGTTTGGAGTGTTTGTTTTGCTGTGACGAGTTGGAAGTTGCTCGAGCGCTTGTCAGCTTTATTTTTATACACTGCGGGATTCTGGAGTTTTCCACTGGCTAGAAACGAACAAGGTAGAGACCTTGTAGGTGATGTTTTCCTGCTTGTTTGTGCATATATTAAGGCGTCGCCGGCGATATGTGCCCATCAGGACTGACAATTGGGACTGCCGATGTCTGCTTCTATGCCCCGCCGTTCCCAAGGGGCCCCAATGCATGGGACTTTTCCCTCTATGATATTGTATTAATTCTACAGACCTAAATGGGGGGTTACCATTATTGCTTCTAATATGGCACCTTTACCCAGTGTTTGTGCTGCAGCCAAATCTCCCACTCACTGTGGCCCTAGTTCCATCTATTGCAGTCTGTGATGCTTGCATAGATGTGTCATTAATTGGTCAATTTTAGGTAACTATTTTGATAATTAGTGTTTTTTTGCATTCTCTGACGCCCACCTTGTCTAGCAGTTAGTTCCCGATTCGCTGAAACGCCCTTTATATATTTTTGCTTCCAGGTCGCTGGTGGCACTGTCGCTGATCCTGTCGCTGCTGCTCTTCAACCCTGCACCCATCTACATCCTGGATGAGGTGGATGCGGCACTGGACCTGTCCCACACGCAGAACATTGGCCAGATGTTGCGCACCCACTTCAGGCAGTCACAGGTGCGAAGCCGGAGTGGAGGGCGTGGCGTCTCAACGCCTACTACAGTCGCATTCGTTAAATTACCTGGGGTCCGATTTTCGTCAATGCGAGAGCAAGTCGTAATTTGGCTCGCAGGGCGAGCGAAGATAGGGTTCGTAGACAGTTTGTCTGCTAATGTGAGCAAAGGATGCGGCTCGTCTGCTACGAAGCATCATTTGCAGACAAAGAAAACAAGAAAGCACAGTTTGTCGTCTGCTAGCAGAACGGAAAAACAGTTGATTGTCTGCGACAAACTGAGCACCACGGCAAAGTGAGATAGGACGCAGGATTGTGACCCTCTGCGATTTCGCATTGCAAGACATTGACATCACTCGCTTCGTTACAGTTTCTGCTGCCATACGCAAGCTGACATCAACCGGTGGATCCAAGGTCAAACACATCACAGGCCGCAAAAACTGTCTCATTATTCGCGCGTGGGCAAAACGTTCTCAACAAAATTTTGCCCGACTGCAAACCCGCCAACGAGTCAAATGTCTCGTTGATTGATTGCACGGAAGCTGTGAGCCCAACTGTGGGGCTGTGGGGCAATCAGCGGCTGAGAACACTCGCTCTCTCTTTGACCAAAACCAAACCCTTGGTCTGGAATCTTTTAGTCGAGCTACGGGATAGAGTTTCTTTTGGGACAGATGAAAGCATCGGATGCACCCCGCTGACATTAGGAGTCCGCCCGATTTCTCGGAAAACCTAACAAACGGATGTGGGTTCGGAGGAGCCACCGCAAAGAAAGTTGCTGGACGCGTGCATGTGCATGTTTCTGCCCTCGACAGGGAGGGCTATGTTGGTGCAGCGGTATTGACTTCACTGTTGGCTACAGCGCACCTCACTTGCTAGGATTAACAGATTTGGGGAATTTTGTGCAGCTCGAACTTTGTTTGCCAGTTTTATCAGCTTTTAGGTGGAATTAGATTGAAATATTTGGCGTGTGAGCTCTTCAGGCGACGCTAGAGACGCTAAAATTCTGGCATATAAGCCACAAATATTAAGTCTCAATAGTTTCATACTGAAACTATAGTTTTCCTAAAGTGAATTATATGCCAAAAAGTGCAATGGAGAAAAACACGTTCAAAGTGCTCCAACCTCTGCCTTTTCTCTAGCATCGGTGGACCGAACATAATTTATAAAAATTAACTATGCAGTGTAAACTAATGAAACCTTCTGGGAATACTCTCTAGACGTTAGCTGATGTAAATATGGCATTTTTCAAAACCAACCTTTTTTGCAGAAATTGAAATGAAGTATGTTGGTTTAGCGCTGTGCTGTAGCGTGATTCCGGGGAGTCCTGCCGTTTCTTCCTGTCAGTGGTTGTGCACTCATTCGTTCTCTCTGTGTTCCTCAGTTCATCGTGGTGTCGCTGAAGGAGGGCATGTTCAACAACGCCAATGTGCTCTTCCGCACAAAGTGCGTCAACGGAATGTCGTCCGTCACGCGAACAGCCCAGCGCCTCGAGTTGGACAAGTGATGCACATCTTCACTGTCGTCTTCATCATCATCCTCCGTTTCTTTCTTACATAACCTCTGTACATTGCATTTCATTGACCAGGACAGATCAGTTTTTTTAGATACCTTTTTTTGATATAATACTTCCATGTTTTATATCCAGTCTTTCCAGTTGTATTTTTCCTGTCTTTATTCTTTTATATGTGCATGGCCATCTCTTTTTCAAGGTTTAAATAAAAGTGAACTATCTTTGTCCAAGTGGTTTTTCTTGTTTTCCTCTCCAAAATGTTGAACTACCATTTGCATTTAAATGCATTTGCTATACAGTAAAAACTTCATAGAGAACTGTTTTATTAAAATGACTATTTGCTACTACGGGGCATAATCAAAAAAGTTTGGAAAATAGTCCTAAATATAGTACAATGAAGTATATGCTTTACTTGTGTTTCCCTCGAAGTGTTGTCCTCGCTTCCTTTTGCTGTGATAGCGTTCCCGGCGTTTTTACCACATCTGGAAAGCTCTTTCGAAGCCAGTACCGTGCAACTTCTGTTTAGGACACAGAAGATTCAGCGCACACTTTGCAGCAATGCGGTGCACAATCAAAACACACGAGAATTGCCTGCATTGCTCAAAACAAGATATTGAGTATCTTAACAATGTCCTGAATGAAGTAGGGTTGTAAACTGCCAGTTGCTCATAGTTAAACATGATGAAATACAGCCTCAGTAAACACGGACGATGAACAAGAAACAAACATCACAGGACAATGGCTGTTTATTCTATGAAGCATGAAAGGAAACTTCCACGTTGCATGACTCATTGCTTCTTTGCCATAAGCCCAAAGAATAATTTCGAGGCTCTTTGTTCTAGATTTTCTGAGTTTGACGCAGCTAGATGTTTACACCGAGTTTGCCAATCTGCTCATGCATGTGGTCACAAAAAACTTTTGCAGTTCAGCTCTAAATGTTCACAGAATGATACCTTTTAGCACATTACCTTCGACAGTTGCACAAGCATCACCGTGCTGCCCACCCTTTTTACGCTACGAGACTAGTCTGAACTTTTTTATCGCACCTTGTATCTTAACCCCATCCTCGCATCAAATGTCTGTAGCAATATATTACGAGCATTTTAGATTTGCCACTGATCTCTACTGTATGGGGCTGGATGGCACATAAGCTGCTCTCCGTGCCTGGCGCAAGTGAAGCCACCGGAAGTGTGACGCTTGTCCTGCAACTCGAGTCTGCTGGGCTTCGTAGCGCATTCAGTTGATGTTTTCATCCATGCTTTTCCGTGTCAGAGTTGGTTTAAATAATTTTCGTTTTGCATCGAATTCCGAGAGTAAGGCATCTGAACATGGGACATGTGTACGCTTGATCAACTGGAATCTGAAAGTTTTCACAGAATGGCTTCCCAGGAGACTTCTTGGGTCTGCATGTGCTGTTACTGTGCAACAAACAGTCTCTCTTAAGGTGACAAGAAAAAATCCAGCACCCTGAACGGTTCGAATGAGCACTCGGAAGAGTTGAAAAGCCTGTCAAGCGCTCACTTCCGAGAGAAGCGGCTTGCTTCTGGTGGCTTCATACCTGTTTGCTCAGTGTTACATCCAGCCCCCTAGTGGAGTATTCCAGTGAGATTTGCTTGGCTATATGGGCACTGGCAACCATAGCGGTGTGCACAACAGCCAAATGAGTGCTGGTGGCGAGCTTCCAGAGTTCTTTTGCAACATGCATTCTCACCATCAAGATTGCCGTCTTAGCAGCTTATTAATGCAAGCTCATTCTGAGCATCCGCTCTAAACGGCACCCATAAATAAGGTGTTTAGTGAACACCTTTTATGGGGGTATTCACGGGACGCCATATTGTTGGACGTTCACAGCGCATGCTCAGAACTAGCTCCCATTTATTGGATTCTAAGAACGACAATTCTGTATGTGTGGAATGGATGTTGAACGTACATTCTTGTTCACTCCTTGTAGGCGGTGCAGCCAAAGCTATGGATATCCGTGCGCTCGCGGACCTTGAGCACCGATCAAGGCTGTGCGTGCCACTGCTTTGATCGGTTCGCCTCTTTTGAAATGCCAGAAACAAATGTCCTCGAGCACCGTTCTGAGCGTGCGCTGCGAACAACGTTCAACAAGATGGCGTTTCGTTAATACTTCCTATAGTGAAAGTGTTTTCTTTGTAGGGACTCTACTGTACTGGCCTCTTTGGACTGTCATTTCACCTTTGCTAATGGTCTCCCAGCAAAGATTGTACCAGTGCTTTGCTGCAGCTTCATGTAGCGCCTGCTTTATTTTATTTGTCTCTGACTGCAAGTGACGCACCTGTTGCGACATTTTGTATCATTTCAGATTTATTTAAATATACAATGGCAACCACCAATATTAAATATAACAAAAATAGGATGAGAAAAAATATCACATTGTGTCTGTCGAGATGCTTGTAGAGGCATGTCCTAATTAAGCATTGCAATCTATGATACTTTAAACGGTCAAAGATGCAATGCAGCTCCCACAATCCGTAATGTGAACATAAACAATAGGGCAGTGATCTTGCGAGAAAATAAAAAAAAGAAAACTGTGACGGTATGCAGCTAGGATATGTGGAATCTTATGCGGGCATGGTGTACCTGGGTGTAAGGAGTGCCGTACTGAATTCACTCAATTCTAAGCAACCCTAGCTTATTCTTCATCTCATAATTTAAATTGCCTTTCTATTTCACAAGATGAATACCGTAAGTTATTCTATTCACGAGCAGTTCATGTACACCGGTGTTCCAATGGCTTCTAAATTCTTCAACTTTTCTATGTCTCATTGTCGACGGGGCAAACACTCGAGTGATTTCGGGTGATGTCATCACTACTGATGTCTAGTGGTATTCTATTCCCAAATGTAGCTTTTTCAACTACAATTGTGAAATGGCTATTTTTACAAAATATGCTGCTTACATATTCTAGATCCTGGTCTGCACCTGAAGGACAGCACCAGAATTCCCAAAGCTTGCATATGACCCGGTGGCCCCTGACCATGCTTCGACGCTTCGTCCATAAGTAACCTTGCATTTCACAAACGTGAAACAAGTGATCGTTGCATGCTGTGATACGTGTCGCAACATGCCCTAACCTGCAGATGTGACATATATGTCTGCAAAAAAAGTTTGTGTCGCGAGATGTGGACAGTTGATGGCAGATGCAGACCGTTCCGATAAACACTTGTGCAATGCTCGGCATCGTCGAAGAATGTGTGCTTTGTCCATGGTGCTCGCGATCCGTGGCCGCCTCACTCGGGGAATGTCGGGCAGATTTTTCTACCCCCTCATCCACAGCCCTAACTGCTGCGGCAGGCTCAAAGTTGCTTCTTGACAGCAGTCGGGGTCAGCACGACCTTTCCCTCGAGGCACCGCTTCATGAAGTCGACGACGCTGCCGACGTATCTCTGCCGATTCAGCACAAAGTGCTGCACGTGCGGAGAGTCCTCCCACACGACCTCTTCGACCGGAACGCCTCGTGCCCTCCTGGCCTCTGCAAAGGCGGCGATGCTGTCGTGGGAGCAGACGGCGTCCTTCTTGGAGTAGAGGAACAGTTGCGGACACAGGGGCTGTTCTTCGAGCAGGCTGTCGAAGGTGGACGCGTGGCGGCGCATGTTGAGGAACAGGCCCCCCACCCAGTTGAGCGTTGAGTACAGCCACACAGTGAGGGCCCAGAAGAATGCCACGACGTACCGTAGTGGCATCTTGGTGCTCACGAACGATGCCATCACGTGGACGCCCTGCCAGAACCCGACGCGGGCCGGCCCGCTGTCGAAGACCACGCCACGGATCTGGAGAAGAGAAATAGGAGGGCCTTTTGAAAAATCAAATGAGAATCGCTAAATGGCAGGATAATTCACTATACTGGTGAGGTGTGTCTACCAGCACAGCTTTCACAGTATTCAGCTTGCATCACTAAGGTGTCCGGAATCCCTGCACCATAGCGGACTAAAACCTGCAACGTCGCAGCACACCAAGCACACCCACATAAGAATTTGATGAGTGCAGTGATGTTGCGCTTCTGAAGCTATTTGATTGGCTCGTCGGCTCCTAGCTCTGGCAGCGCTCCGACGTTTGCTATCTGATGAAATGACTTGCACGTTCCACAATATCAGTTGTTCTGCCATTGTGCAGTGGTTCAGACCTAACAATCGGCACATGACCCCCAGGACCAGGCTAAGGTGTCCCTTTGCTGTCGCTGCTGCGTGCGATTAATTAAGCCGTTTTATTTATGGCTGTGTCTAGAGTGCCGTCTGACAGTACTCTTGCAGAGCGTTCAAGTGCTGTCCAACAGCACTCCACTTGGCGCCTTCAAGTGCCATCCGAAAGGAAGTCTGACGGCACGTGTAACACTGGGGAGCGTGTTAACCCTCCCCCCCCGCCCCCGCCCCCTGTGTTCATGCCGCGACAGTCTGTGGCTGCTAATTACAAAACTATTAACCCACTTGGCCATGTTGTACATGCCACTTCAAGGTGTCCAGCTGGCAACCGAAGCCCCGCCGTCCCCCATTGCACCTCCAGGAAGGGAGTCCCATACCATTTAAATCAGCAAAGTTTCGTCAACAACATTTATTTTTTAAAGCGGAGCTGTTGAGGTCTAGTTCCCCAGGATCGTGTCCACCAGCAAATAAATGTCGACACAACACTTCAGACAGCTACCACCATCTATGAGCGATGGCGGCAACCTTTCCAGCCTTTCCACTCTGGCTTGTCAACTTGCGGCCGGCTATTACTTCATTCCCATTTAGTACAGCTTCGCTGGTCTTCCTTCTACACCAGAGTGGAAAGGCTGAAAGTTTTTTCAGCAATAATTGTAAAAAAATAAAAGCCGTTTACAATTCCCTGTAACGCCGGTTGGAGCGCAGCTCTTGAGGAGGAGGATGGAAGCGTACTGAGGGACAGGTGACTCCTTAAAGGGGCCCTGCAATGACTTTTTGACTGGTTTTTAGTTTGCACTGAACCTGAGCGTACTGAACGCAGTAACCTAATCCAACTTTTCTTTTCTCAAATTTCGCTTTATTTTAAAAGTTATAGGCAAATTAGAATTACAAAAACAAGCAAAAAATAACCTCCTTCATGACGTCTTAGGTCCTGCCTTGAGTGGCCTTGAACTAGAGGAGGAGTAGTGAGCTCATCGAGCGCACACGGCTGCCGCACTCCGTGTCGACGGCTCGAGAGGGCGCCACTAAAGCACGTGTTGGATAGGCTGTATGAAGCGGGCGGCCAGGGCAGTTCGTATTTCATTTGCAGCGCGACTAAACAGTAATTCGGCATAACATTTCATTGGCCACAAACGACAGCAAACACGGGGTAAAGATCAGTTCAGAACGGGAGCCACTTCGCGCTGACGCACCGCCAAATGGCCAAATCGCCAGCAGGGCCCGCGCCGAAGGCCTTCGGAACGCTCGGAACCGGTCGGATTCTTGAGCCGGTATACGACCACAGCGCCGCCGCGTACATCCGGGACCTTTCTGCGCTCCTCGTTTGTCGTAGCCTCATTCCACTAGCCTTTTCTAGTATGCGCCGTTTTTTTCCGCCGCTTGGTGGCGGGTATGTCGACAAGTCATTTCTCGTTTCCGTACTTTCTAAACTGCATTTGTTTCTTTTCTGATCTAAAATAGTGAACAAAAACTACTTTCATACATAATTGAAACGGTTCGCGACACTAATATTTTGTATCTCGACTAAAAAAAAGCTCTTAGCAGCTTTGACCAGTGGCAAGCCCAGGACCAAAGACATCACATTTTGCGCGCTTTCGGTACCGCGGGTCGCCCTCGTCGGTGGAGGAGGTTTCCGCGTCGTCCGGTTAAAATATGACGCACTGATATTTAGTTACTCTGTCCGTGCCCGCTGGCTTGCCCCAACCCCAAGAGACGTGGAAACTGCAAAAAAGGTAGATGCTTAAATATGATTGCAGGGCCCCTTTAAGGTCAAGTGACCTCATGGGAGGTCGGGTGACGTCAAAGGGGTCACGTGACCTCGGGGGGTCACGTGACTTCAGGGGTCAAGTGACCTCAGTGGGGTCACGTGGCCTTAGGGGTCATGTGACCTCCGGGGGTCACGTGACCTTGACGATGACGATTTGATGACGTCATCACTGATGACGATGTGGATGCCAATGACGTCATCAGTGATGATGACGATGACGATGCGGATGCCAATGACGTCATCAGTGACGTCAGTGATTGCGTCATCAGTGATGATGACGATGCGGATGACGATGACGTCATCAGGTTGCATGCAACCTGGATTGCATGCAACAGGTTGCATACAACTAGTTGTATGCCAGTTGCATGCAACCTGTTGCATGCAACTCTTGAAGGAACCCGAGGTCCTCCCGAGGTCCTCCCGAAGAGACCCGAGGTCCTCCCGAAGGACCTCGGGTCGCTTCGGAAAAATTTACCCATAATGCACCGCGCGGTAACGCCGACGGCGACGCCGCTCAAGCCGGAAACGGGCGCCTAAGAGCTGCGCTCTAAAAAGAAATGTCGTAAATATCAGCAAATGTTATAAAAAAAAAGTTATGCCTACTGTGAATTGAACCTAGGTCCACTGTGTATGAAGCGGGCTCCTTTCCACTAAGCGACACTACAGCTTCAAAAACCTTGTTTTGACAATTCATTTTATGCGAGGTTCTTGGAGCTAGGCACTTTTTTATGTGCGTCAACAAAAACTCGCAGCATCCTCTCTATGTTGTTGTTCCAAGCGCTTGCATGCCTAGTTTCCTTCCGCTCTCCCGGGGTAGCGATCCTGTAAACGCGTGTCTACTTCCTGCCGGGTGGCGGTCCCGTCGCGCGTGTTTAGTTTCCTCTGGCATCTCGAGGCGGCAATAGTCGTCCACATGAATGTAAAAAAAACCAGAGAGACAATTGCTACCGTTCTCCAATCTCTCGTAATGGGAAGGCCGCGTATGTGCAAAGCAAGTCGTCTGCTTCTTGCACAGGAGTTGCGGGGATGTCGGAACGATGCCGTGCTCAAGCTCAGCGTCATTGTGTTTTTGTTTATCAATTGGCCAATAAGTGCTCGGCATTCTGACATCATTGCGACCCCTGTGCAAGAAGCAGACAAACTTGCGCTCCGCGAAGTCTGGACTCCTGAAGAGCAACGCACCTACGAAGAGCAACGGCGGGAACGGCAAACACCACTGATGAAGATCGTCCACAAAACGCCAAGCGCATGTGGCAAACCAGACAAGATGACGAACGTCGCAAAGCGGAGAACGCATCACAAAGACGCAGGTACCATGCTGCTAAATTGGACAACTTTAATGCAGCATACGCTAAATTCAAAAGGGACTTTCTGGCCAGACAGTTTGGGTGTAGTTGTAGGGTGTGTGATCGGCTGTGGTTCGACAACGACTTAACCAACACCGGCAATGTGCGGTATCCTGCAAAGCGGACTTGTGAGCTGTAAGTATTGTCGGTGATCACTTGATCGATGAACACCGATCACGACAATAAATGTGTTCGTACCTTCGTCCAGAATTCTGTGTCTCGTCTGTCGTGAGCTAAACAGCGTTGCTGGTCATCCATTTTCACGGAATGGAATGGCTCATGATTTTTGCTGATTTGCGAAACTGGGAATCGGACAATGATCGTACGGTTTTAAATAAATGTTCGATCTACACTGCATGAAGTTTCGTCTCGCCCACCTTTGACATGATGTCGACGCGGTCTCGGAACTGCCGACTCATCAGCAGGTAGACGAAGGCACCTCCGTTGCTGAAGACGTGAAAGAACAGCGGATGGTCTTCGAGCTTGAAGTCTTCGAGCAGACTCAGTAGCGTGTACGCGTGCTCTTCTAGGACGCCGTCGCACTTTCGGTGGAACAAGTGCTTCACTGGAGCGATGTAGCGTATCGTGATGCACCTGCAAGAGACCACAGTGCTTTCGTAGAGGGAACCTCGAGTTCAAGGCCACAAGCATGCCGATAAACAAGTCTTATATCGGATGTCCGGGCGTAACTTATACGTACCCTTCGTCTTCGTAGATAGACCCATACTTTGACAGATGCTTGTCCTTGCAGCCGGCCCAGCCGAGTAGGTAAACAACCGGCTCTTTCGGCGTCGGCAGCGTGTCCGATTGCTTGTTCGGCGAAGGGAACGTTATGTCGTACTCGATGTCGTCCTCATTGACCTTGTTGATCGTCTTCCGCTTCGTCGATCCCTGATCTTCGGACGTCAAGGAGCTCGAAGAACGACTACTCGACTCCATTTTTAAAAGGAATGCCTTCCGTGTTTCGATCTTTTGCTGTTGCCGTGACCGCCGTGCCTCCTTTCGCTTTCGAACCTTGCATCAGTTTCGTAAGAGATTACGATATTTGAAATTAAAATATATTACTGGTCTAAACAGTTTTTGCGTCAATCATAAACTTTTATTTGTTTTAAGATCGGCAACTTACATATTTAGTTTACGTTATTTTTCTAAAAAAAAAAAAGTTTATAGATAATGCTGCGTCATCTATTCTACGTTTCGAGGAAACCCGCGACTGCCCGCCTGCCCGCGACATGCCAGCTGTTCTTGCGGTGTTAAAGGTACGAGTAATGCAGTGTTACTAGATTTGAAGCAATAAAAAGACCAGAACCGTTTGTGAGAAAATGCGGCCATTTTTCAGCCGACGAAACGACATTCCGTGTGCTCTTGGCGCTCTTGGCATGCTTTGAAGTTTGAATCATCTTTCAGACTGCTCGGATGGTTTAGATCGACTACAAGGTCCAGAAATTGATAACCGGTAAGAAAGACAGCGTCTGAGAAGTGTCAATAAACCCATAAATTACTTCCGAGCGAAGCCTATGGAGTAAGTTAGTGACTTTAAGGACGAATTACTTACCCCACGATGCTGCAGACAATATAAAAAGCTGCTTATTTGCGTGCTTTTGCACTTCAATAATCTTACAATCATCTTCATACAGCGGAAAACCTAAACGAATGCAGGTTGGCGTCGCAAAAAAAAAAACAGCATATGTGTTTTTTTTTGTTTTTTTAACGATCATTGTGTTTGGTTTTTTAGATGAATCTCGACGACTTTGTCAGCAAGCACTTGGAGCTGCTTGAGCTCGAGAGGGATGAAGAAGTTGAACAAAATGCGTAAGTAATGAAAGCCGATATGTTGGCATGCAGCATCCCGTGCAGACGCCAGTCGAAGGTGGAGGCACTCTTTGGACACTAGGTTTGGTATACGGTTGCTTCATTTCTTTTTTCTAGGAAATTGCAGGAGAAGTTTTCACTCAAGGAGCTTCAGAACAAGGGACTGTGTATCACGAGGCTTTTGTTAGGTTCCAGTCGCACCGGTCTCTATGGACGGAACATCTGTAGGTTCAGATCCTCCCACCATGGTGCGCCACTCCCGTCTCACAAGTTCTCGAGCGGTAAGCAATAAAAACAATCGAAAACAAAAATTATACCGAAATTGCTGCCGTTGCTACTCTGATTCTCGACGAAATCACTGCTGTGTTCGGAGGGCCAGTGGGCCCTCCGAACACAGCAGTGTTCTTTGGCATCGACGGTTTTGGATGCGGCCACCACAGCTTCGCTCATTCGCCGCCTATGGTCCACACACTCTTGTCTTCGAAGAGCCAATCTTTCCTCCTGGCTGTCGGCGCTTTTGCGCAAACGGCGTCGTTGCTGCTCCTCGGTTTTACGTCATCGCATCTGTTGTGGCGCCACCACGGCCTCTCGGTCCCCTCCTCCTGCTCTCGTGGCACGTCTTTGGAAGCGGGCCAGAAGACTCTTTCCCTCTTGTAAGAGGGAGAGTGGACGTATTGGGGCGAGAAATTGGGGTGAAAGAGTACGGGGGGAACCGCGCTGCGGTCTCGCGAAACTAGTCCAGTCCAGTCCAAACCATGGCCGCCCAAACGGAAGACGGCTGCATGCACCAGAGGGCAATAAATGCTGATGCCTTTAATAAAGAAACTATGATGGGTCAGTCAACCCGAGACCTTCAACTCCGAATCCTAATTTTTCATTTACTGCCGTCAACGGGAAGAAATATCATTATCGGCAACTGTAGTACAGAACCGCAGACCAGGATAAAAATTTGAGGTTGTCACTTACCGATGAACCATCCCTTAGCTTTCTAAACTTTTGTCGCAGTTTAGTTGGGCCATTGCGCTGTACGTTGCACGTTACTTTGCTTCTACAAAGTGACCGCGGTGGAAATTAAACTTTGCTTTTTCGAAGAATAAGAGGGCAAGCTAGTTCCTATGTAACGAATTTCCTCAGCTTCAGCTTCAACCATTAACTTACGACACACTTTCATTTGAGCAATCATCCGCTGTAACTAGACAAGTCAGCTGGCATCCCTCTTGGATACGTCACATCTCGGTAATGCAGACCCCGTTAATATTCCGTAAGATACTGAGCATTCCGCCCATTCTACGGTAAGCGCCCGCTCCTCAATTTTGTAACATTAAAGAAATAACACAAAAGACATATCTTTACATATTGTTGACCTAAGAAGCGGCCATCCCCCAGTTTTACACAATTATCTCTAAATTGTGAACGGGCGCTTGCTCGGAATTTTATCGTAAATTCTCTTCTGCAGAGACGAACTGGGTAAAATACACATATTTTTGTCTAATTATTACGGACAATTCTCTGGGAAAACAGAGGTGTCGACAATAACTACACGCCACCGCTACGGTGCTTGAAACGCGTCTCCGACTGGCGTGTGTACTGTGTCCTAACAAGTTGTCCCTCGATTTCCTCCCGATGACTTCGTAGAAGTGTCACGCTGTCGCCGGTCACGATAGTGGCACTGCAACAACAGCGACACTTGCATTCGCTCAAACTTTTTGCTGGGACTTCTAGCGCCGACCGCCAGGATGTCGACATCCGACAGCATGACACTCTCGCTTCTACAGTGTTGTTCATTGCCACTTGGGGCCACTTTTGATGTGGGGATGCATTCCAGGCATTGTGCCACTTAGCGAGCAAGCAACCATTTTTAGTCAAAGGCCCGTCGGCGATTTGGGAAACTTGTTTCATCCTAGGTGACATTGCTGGGGTGGTCGTGGCCAGCGACCCGGGAAGGGAGGTCGTCTGCTCGGGCGTCGTTTCAAACGTCTCTCAGACCGACGTCACGGTCGCCTTCGACGAGGGGCGCGACGCACTCGACGGCGACGACGGCCGCACTTTTCACCTCCTCAAGCTGGCGAACGATGTCACATACAGGAGGCTCAGAAGGTAGCCGGATAAACTTGTGTCATTCAGTGTGCTTGGAATTTCTGTTAGCTAAACTCGCCGTACCCAGCATTTAGTTCCCAAACCGGCGCTTACCGTAGAATACTGTGCATCCGCCCATACCACACTAAGTGCCCATACCCGAATTTGTAAGATCTGAGAAAATATGCACAGTACATTGATATGTAAAATTGATGACCGGACAAGTGCCCATCCCCTATTTTTTCGCAATTATCTCTAAATTTTGAATGGGCGCTTGCCCGGTATTTTACGGTAGGTCACGTAAGCTGAACTTCGAATACGCCTCGAAGCTCCCTTGGAAATTGGTAATAACAAGGATATACGAAACATTGATCCAAGTTGTTGGTCTGGTAGAGCGACGTCGTTTATATCATGGAGCGCGACGTAGGGTACATGTCATATGCCGACACCTTTCTAGCTTCAGTCTCAGTGATAGAAGCGCTGCGCCATTTGTACCAAATTGTGCCGTGACCAAATTGTGCCTACTAAACGTCGCACCAAAATTACATTTTTCCTCAAAAATGTGCCACACCTGTGCCAGGACGGGCCTAAATAAGTAAAAGAAACATATAATATTGGTAGACATTAATATTGAAAGAAGTAGAAGAGAAGGAAAATAGTAAAAACATGTATTTCATGGCGTATCTAGTTACCATAGCTAAACTTTGCTCATCTACCGCACTGGCCACGCCATCGTCCAAACTTTCGCATAGTGATATCGATGATGTCACGGAGCTAGAAGCTGCAAGGAAAATTCTTAAAATGGAGGTATGGCGGCCACGCTGATGAGACAGAACCAAGGTGTCATACTATCCTAATGAGATCTTTTGATTTTTATCTCAGCTACATGCCTTCATGCCTTGGCTAAATCACCGCTCGTGTCAACCGTCACCACATAGCACAGGCGCGCTTGCATCGAGCTTCACTGCGTCGCATCGGCGCGTTAGGAGAAGTAGCTTATGTGGGGGGAACACCCAAGGGTTAGCGCCGGGGGCCCGGAAATTGTGCGCAAAGCTATTCCAGGTCGACCCTTTTTTTTCTTTTTTTTTTTGTATTGATTGTAGGTTGATTTTTAATTTGAAAAAGCAGTTCTGACAAAGAGAAGGAAACAAGGAACGCGGACCTATATTTGAATAAATAGACGAGGTAGTTCCTGCGCAGCAGTCAATTGAAGGGCCCCAAACTCCATTGAACTCTGGCTCCAATGCCGCTAATTCTTGCAGGACTAGCAGTATCACTTTTAATATCTTGTAGAACATATTTTTTTTTAATCGACGTTTTAGCGGGTTTACTAGTTTTCTTTTCCTGAATTTTTCGTAAATGATATTGACATGCTACATAAACTATGAGCATAAAAGAGGAAGCGGGAGAGCCACTTTATCTCAACTGAAGTATCTTGCTATGATTTATTTTTCAACCATATTTTTTCCCCATTGTAAACGGCACCTACTTTGACCTGTGCCATATTCCTAAAAAGACAGTTATGTGTCATGTACTTTTCATGATCATTTATATAATGATTACAAAGGATACTAAGTAAAACACTTCTCTATCAAAGATAACCCTGCATTATTGTCAAAGATTGGCTCATTTAGGGGTACAATTATTGTTTCCTTTTCAAGTCATGTGCTAACACAAGTTGGAATCTATTTTAAAAGGGTCAGTGGCTGCCCCAATCAACATTTTGTCTTCTACAAAACTTGCTGCAAAAAGTCAAATGTCGCTTTCATCACTGGAGTCTGTCTGCTTAAAATCGGCAAGAAAAAGCAGACGCCCAGAGTATGGTATCCTTGCTATCATTTTGGAAGTCACAATCTTCCTTGACAATTCACCAAAATTACACCTGTCAATTGTTCCTCTGCGTTTCGTCAATGTCTGTCACATTGATGTGGATTGTGTGCATTGGATTTTATCCCTCCTTCTCGTTGTCTGCGTCTCCTCGTAGGACCTTGGAAAAGCTGTCCAAGGACAAGGAAGTTAGATACTCGAGCCTAGTCGAAGTATTGTTTGGGACAAGCACACCCGGCGAAAATGCTGAATCGTCGTCCACTCCTCCTCTAGGTAAGCGTCTGCTTCGAACAGCAGTTCAAGCTCAGGTCTCTTTTGCGAGTACTCA